AGTCGATTCCGGCGCGCTCCAAAACGACCAGTGGAATTCGCCATAAAACACTCAGTTGGAAAACTGCCACAGAGACTAATCTGAAAAAGTGGCCCCGATCTGTCCTCAAGAACTGAGCTAATGACGAACACAACGCCGCCATTTCTCCCGCAGCGGCCACTGGAGGAACTGTACGTTACTTCTATTTTGGCTTTAATCGGCCGTTGCTGAGCCAAAACAAATACAGCGGAAGAGGTTACAGGGGTGCCACCCCCGTCTCCCCAGCGAACGCACCGCGACTTACTACCGAAGTTAAAATGCACCTAGGTCGGGACGCGCTACCTGAAAGCACCGGTGAGGCATGGTTGTATAAAAACAATATTAATTGTGCTGCAAAACCCTGCAACCTAAAGATTTTAAAAACATCACGCGCCCATCATTTGGTACTAAACTCCAATAAATTTCATACAAAAAGAGTCTTTTCCGTCTGTTTTTATGCAAAAACAGGCTTTCTAAAAGCTCAAGGTGACCACAGTACAGACAAATGATAAAGAGTGGCGCTGTTGTCGTATTTAGCTCGGTCTCGGTGGACCCCAGCGGCCCAAGTTTCGACGGCGAGTTTCCCAACTGAGTGTTCTAGTAACATTGCAGACCTGTAAGTGACAATGATCCCATTTGCTATGGTTTATCCTCTTCATCTTTCATACCATTATGTCTGCAAACACTGGCGGTAGAGATACCTTGGGGTGCGAGTAAAATAGCGTTGTGAACACACTGGTCACGCGAAGAGTCAACAACACATAAAGAAGTGGTTGATTTAAAATCCTTACTTAAGAAAACCAACTCCCTCTACCGATACTGCGTTTGTCAGTGTGCATTTCGCCCAGGGAGTTAAACACGAAAGCCGTGTCATCCGACACTGCTTGTTTGTCTATTTCATAGTCTTGTTGCCAGCTTAGGTCCCTCTAGAGAAACAAATATGCATTCAGTGTGCTCTACGTCGTGTGCGCCAGATGGGTTGGTGAGCTCCGACAAACAGGTAATCTATCCAGTGTACTCTTTTGCTTGTTTTCGTTGGTTGCTGTTTGTTGCACTAGTGGAACGGCTGCTGTTTTGTTGCACTAGTGGAACAATTGTTTATTGCCCTAGTGAAATGAGGCTATACTACTTTTGGTGCAAAACCCCAGTGCAGATGATGATTAGATGCGCTCAGTAGCGGCTCCGGGAGTCAACGAGCTTGCGCTCTTTCCCCTAGACAGCAAAAAGCGACTTTCTGTGCACGCTGCTCCAGAGTAAGAGAGTCATACTCTCGTTCACAGAGTCCTGAGATGGTGCGCAAAGAGTGAAAGGAGCGCGGCATTACGTTTTTCCGGATCGCTGACAAGTAGCACAAGAAAGACGGGACACAGAAGAAGCAGAACGCAAAACGATCGCTAACTTGCAACTAAAAGGTTTACTGAAAAATTCTGCCGAGCAAACATATCTAGTGCACACACACGTGGCACAATGCCATAGCTATCTTGATGAATAACAACAACACAGCCCATTCGGAAAAAAAATAAAAATAAACAACAACAAAGTTATCTTCGTTATTCAAGGTGACAATAGAAACAATTGTCGTGATCCATGTATGTGCACTAAATACAGCGTCATGATGTAACAGGAAGGGCGCAAAATGAGCATTAAAAAGACCAGAACAAGGAAACTGCCTGTACTCGACGCAACCAAAACAGAAAAAAGCCTAATCCCTCTTGATAAAATCACACTCTTTCCATTAAATGAACAAATGCGGCGGCTACACAACACAATTTGCGGCTCGAAATTCGTTTTCTTTCGGCTCGAAAACTGGACGGTTTGAGTCGCACTCACCCTCTTCTCCATGGTCACGTGCCGATTTCTATGGTTGAGACACAATCACCAAAGATAATCAAAGTCGTGGGTAATCGAAGGCACACACCCGATGCTAAATATAGACAAAAAATATGATGCCCATTTTTCGTGGCTTGTAAAAAGCTGCAACTATGTTGAATGAAAAAAAAAAAAGTTGCGAAACCATGTGATTTTTGGTAACTTTCTCTATATTTCTTCTTCCCCAGTCCAGTTTCGGTTTCAAGCAGTTGCATTTTTTTACTTTATAAAAAATATATGTGACGCTGTCGCAAAATATTGATAGGGCAGTCTTCCGACACCATAATGTATTGCCTGGCAAAAAATAAAAACAATTTTTGGGGGGTGTCACTGTCCCTTTCAGAACTTAAAAGCCATAATACTGTACTCAAGAAACATCACAAAAAAATTGAAGTCATGCCTTATGTACATAAAATATTGCACAGCTTGAAAAGAGTAGCAGCCAAATTCTGTGTGGTTGTCATCATTACGACCCTTTGCAAGTTCTCCAATATCTGCAATGCTCGGGACCAAAGGTTAAGTTGCTGGTTTGTGGTAAGAGGCATGGTAATCAGTGCGGCCTCACTTATCAGTGGTTATGGATCACACCTGCCAATGCACTGCAAAGCTTATGGATGTTCATCTGCATTGAACGGTGTGCAAGTGGCAAGGCGTAGGAAAGGAAGTGGAAAGGGAGATGCTAGAAGCGGCTCCGATACATGACTGACCAAGACTCGTGTATTCGCATCGCATCTGTTCTTTTGATAGAAAATAGTATTTTATTTTATTTTAAAATAGTATGATTTTATTGGTAGGAATTAGGCTTTCTTCTTTTTTTTGGTTGCATAGAGTGCAAGGTTTCCTTATTGCGATTTGTTTTTAATGCACTTTTTGTGCCCTTCCTGTTGTCACGACGCTGTTTACTGTGTAGTGCACATACATGAATCACGACAACCTTGTTTCTATTGCCGTCTTCAATAATGAGATAACCATTATTTTTTCGTTATGCTTCATATTTTTTGTTGGGCATATTTGCGCGCCTTGTGTTGCACTGCCAGTGCTCGTGATGTAAACTTGCTTTCGTGCTTGCCTGCTCGCAAGTGCAATGTGCCTGAAATAAATGGATGGATTTCTAAAGTTGTGTGCAGGGAGTTTTGTTGTCGGGTCTGCTGCATATATAGTCGACCATGCTGATCATCTGAGAATGTCTTGCCTCGTATATTTTCCCTACTGGTTTGAGAAAAATTAGGCATTCCATGATTTGACTTCACATGGCCCAGTGGAGGTCATGCAGCCAGAAGTGTCAGTATTCTGTAGTGGAAATTTGGGTTGATGGAACCTCACAAGTGGTTAACATCACCAAGTTTGGAAAAGAGGACAAACTGAGATGAGAGTGCTTATTTTTGTAGCTGCTGGAAACAGAAACGTCAATGGCAATGTGCCCAAAGTGTAGTGCATCTTTTTGCGGCTGCATTTTGAAACCCTGTTGCTGAAGCAAAGTTCACGCTGGCTGACCTCGGTTTCCCTTTATGTCTAGACTACCTATTCACCAATGCCAGGTGCCAGTTTGGCCAGCTTTTTGTAGTCGCAAAGAAAGATGGAGGTCAGGCAGGCAAAGCCAGCCCTCGCACCGGGGGGCTATGTTGCACGTTTTGGACTCCCAGGAGACTAGGGAGAAGGAAGTGACGTCAACGATGCTCGCTGGATGTTGATTGGTGTAGTCGCTGATGACAGTATCTGCAGAAGTTGCCAAGACACGTTCATTCACACCTACGTCACTTCCTTCTCCCTAGTCTTCTGGGAGTCCAAAACGTGCAACATAGCCCCCCTGTGTCGAGCACAGGCTCCAAGTCACTCGGGCAAAACTATCCGAGGCTTGCGGACATGTGTGAATACAATCCTTTGAAGATATTCTGAGGTAAGCATAGCTAGGACAAATCTGACACCTGCTGTCTGCAGCATGCGTACGCATAACAGTGGGCATATCACATTGCAGAGGCTAACTGGTAAGCACAGCGAGGACGACCCTTGACATCAACCAATTCGTTCACACACGTGCCCAGTCGTCGCTGCAGGTGAGGACGATGACAGTAGATGGCCAGTCGGCTTGTGGAATATTTTCTCACTGCCCGCTTCCTTCGCTAAATTTGTAACAATCGCTACGTCACTTCGCGTCACTCCACTGTGGGTGTACGAGTGCGTGCACGCTGCCCGCGGACATGCTTCAGCCCCTCGAGTGATCGCGCAAAAAAAAAAAAAAAGCACTGGTCGAAGCAGCTGCGTTCACGCTTTAGTACCGTTTCCAGTGGAGCACAAAAAAGCTGACATCGGGTATAGATCAATTTCGCCGCAGGGTTACAGGCTTGACAATGCACTTCTCCATTTCGACTAGCTGCGGGGAGCGCGATTGATTCTTGCAGAGGCGTGACAGTGTATATGCAAAGCACAATTCAGACGTGCACTCGCGGTTCAGATCACCGCTTGTGCTCCGTTGGCGTCTCATACGTACCTGGCGCGATTCCTGTTGAGGCCAGCAACGGGCGAATGATGTTACACCCGTGAATAATGCTGCCAAGCGGCGAGTTGGGCATCGCTGTAGGGCAGACTACACAACACCGCAGCGGCGCGTCGTTCGAATGAAATAAAACATTAGCTACACTGGACGTTTTAGCGAAAGCCAAACGAGCTGGGTTTATTTCCAGGCCGTAAATGACTTCGGAACGCTGGCAGCGGTCACGGGTCCTTAGGCCTAAACACACCCTTCCGCCCTGGAGTACGCGAACGTTACGGCAGAAAGCATAAAACGGCCGTAGCGTAGCTGCCCAGTCAGCATTGAGACCTGTGCGCGTATGTTATCCAGTTTCACACTAACGATACCTTCCAATATCTAGGACTGCACCAATGCACTTTTTCGACTGGGGCGTGGAGTACTCCAAAACAAAACGGCAGGGCGGCTGCTCGCGTCGGCGGTAGCGGGGGGGAGGGGGGCTGCACGCAGCTTAGAACAGCCCGTAGCGCGCGCGTACCACGTGACTGCGCCAGCCAATCGCGGTATTCATCCCTCCTCCCTTTCCTCCTCTCCCTCCTTCTTTTCTCTCTCGCGGGGCTTTGCCGTGGGGGGTCTCACATTACGCCTCCGGGAAGAGCGCGGAAACGCGGACCAACGCTTGCGAGAGTGCGGGGATCTCGCCGATTGCTTGGCACACATTATAGATAAAAACCATATAAGCGATCATTGCGAATCAGGCGGCTGCTTGCGCCACCTACCCAGTATTTGTTTCTTTTAATTCTTGCGCTTGAGTCATTGGGTATTCCGCGAAATAGGTCAGAAAAAGTTTGCGTGCATGTAGGTCGTCTTCAATGCCAAAGTCACACGAAACGCCTTCAGCAGGCTTGCTGTCAGCTCGTTGCTTGATGTGCATGCGAGTTCGTGAAGCGAAGCCCTGGCTCAAGACAACACGTTCGCGCTTGTAAATTTAGTTATGAAGTTCGCACTTATGGTGAAAAGAATCACAGACGTCCAGCATCATAAGCAGTAGTGGAAACTTTTATTTTTGTCTTGGAAATAACCCAGTGTTTCTGAAAGGTCTTTAGTTGGGTTATCGTCGGGAGGTAGGATTAGCAGACGACGGCCCGATTCCAGCAGGTTCCGATCCTAAACTTTTCCCTGACGGAACGAGGCTTATTTTATTTTGACTTTAAAAAGACCGAGTTTTATGAATAGAAATGTGTTTTGTAGCTATGCATTTACCGAACAGTTATTATATTAATTTTTCTTTTGCATTTCACAGGATTATTCAACTGGCGTTCCTAAACGCTACCAACCATGGGCCTTTGACGCGCGCGCGGTTTCAGTTTCGGTTCGAAGCGGAGGGCGCTTTGTCTGCAGCTTGAAGGCGTGGTCTCGATGGTACGCTGGGTCTTGTGACGTATGTTGTTGCCACTTCGGGACCACTTTCAGTACACCGGTTGAAGACGCGTACCAGGGATTGCAGTTAGGCGTGTAATTAAGAGGGTAGAAAGTTGGGAGAGAAAAAACAACTTAAACTTTGCTGAAACCGTGTTCCGAAAATCCTTCCAGGCTGAGGTTGTCGACGGAAATCCAGCCAACCTCGGCCCGATTGCTGTAGCGGCCTACTTGTAGGCGGCAAGTTCAATTCGTACAAAACAACGGAAGGACTCGCAGAAATTGTGTCAGTCAGAAGCCAATCGGGTTAGCGCTTGCCTCCTCTAGAGCAACCCCGACCTGCGAAGGGTTTTCATCCATTCCGCGGCTGTCGCCGAAGGAAAACGGCATTTGTGGCCCATCGAGTTATCGCCGATCTCAACAACGTCCAGCAAGGGCCATTGTTTTCGCTTTGGGGATGACACTGGTCTTTGACACCAAGCCTGTTTGCACTAACTGCCCTGGATTTCCCTGGATTGAACTGTAGCCTATGTTTTTACATTTAATTTCAGTTGAGCATAAATACTTTAAAAATCACTGCTGAAAATCTTTGCTAGAAGGGATGCCTATGAAAAGGAACAATTTTGTCACATACTTATTACGAAAAAGAAAAAAAAAAGGCCCCGATAAGACTCTTTAGGAAAACAAATCATAGCACGACAACCAATGCAACAATTGGCTTATCAGAATATAGCTTGATACTTTCTTGTCCGACAATCACCTTTAAAATTGGGAATCGAACTATAATTTAACGGAAGGCCGATGATCTAAGTAAAATTTCCGAAACCATCGAACTAACCGACATGCTCCGACAAGTCGGCTGCTTCTCCTAGCACACCCGTGCATGGAAGTGAAACTTGACGCGCGAACGCCGGTCGAAACAGCGAAGCTTGACGCGGGAAACCGGAGACCTCCGAAACATAACATACATAATGTCACAAAAGAAAATTTGCATTTTTTTTTTTTACCGCAAAAATAAACTAGGCATTGCCGAACGCTCATTCTTCGCCCAAAGGTAGCGCTAGAGGTCACAACAAGATGCCAAAGTTTCAGCCCGATCCGATATCTTATTCGAAAGTTATAAGTGATTTTCTGATAAGTTCAATGGGAAAATGGCGGCCGACGAAAATCTCGAATACATGGAGCTCTATGGCACCAGAAACCGAAAACGGGCAAAAATGGGCTCCATTTTCCCATTGAAATTTTCAGAGAATCACTTATAACTTTTGAATAAGGCATCGGATCGGGCTGAAACTTTGGCATCTTGTTGAGACCTCTAGCACTACCTTTGGTCAGAGCAGGGGGGTAAAGGTGGGTGAGGAGGAGTGGCAAATCCCGTGCGCCGACATCCTGGGTCCCGAGTGAACGATCGCGAAAGAGAGCGACAGAACACGAGAGAAAGAAAGCAACGTTGCCATGGTAAACGCGGTAAACACGAAGAGTGTAAACTCTCAGCAATATAAACAGTGATAATTTAACGTGTTAAACTAAATTCTGAGCTATTCTAACGCTTATAAAAAGCAATAAAGTCATTACGCTGCATTAACTTCCCTTCTGTCGAAATCTCGGAAATCTGGTAGTTGCGCAGTTTCGTATTCCTCAACCGCGCCCAGCCGGCCCAGCCGCGCCCCACCAGCGAAGCCGGGTATATGGTTTAGTTTAGCGTTAACGCGAGGCCGTACATCTGCGCGCTATGCAAAAAGAAACCTTCGAAAGGAACGCGAGTATCTTTCCACCGGTAAGTTCGTGGATTGTTGAAGTTCACGAAACTGCTCTGATGATGTAACCGTGTTTGGGACCCCGAGGGTCTGCCTGCATGGTCCGCCGCTTGCGGCAGCCAGAATGTATGGGAAAATGGCAGACCTTTTCCTCTAGATTTAGTATATGATCTCTATGGGTCAGAGAGAGGCATGGGCGAATAGAGGATTTTGGGTCCGAATCGAATTCGAAGCAAATAGTGATTTTGGCCGAATAACTTCGAATTGAATAGTTCGAACAGTACAAGCAACAAATACCACAAGGTATGTTTAAATTTTATATTTGCCCTTATTTGGTATTAGAAGTACTGTAATTGTTAATTTCAAGTGTATTGTTTGGGAGCACGAAATGGTCGAAAGCTTGCGCCACCTGGCCGGAAATCCAAGCCAGAGTAAGTCAAACTCGTTTATATCAAACTCGCAAGAAAACGTCTAACAGTTCGATATAGCGGGTAATTCGATATAAGAGTTTTAATGAATATGACTCGAAAATCTACTTTCTGCTAAATTGTCACTTAATGAAGTAGTCTTGCATCTTCTGCTGCTTTTTCTTCATGGCATCCGCGATAACGATATTTTTCTACGCTATCGACGGACTCCGAAATGCTGAGGCCGCTGCCTTCTATATTCGCGCATTAGCGCCGAACTATGCCCAGAGCACGGACCACGTCCGACCGCGAGCACCTTCCCCTGCAGATTTGCCGTTTTGCTCTGCAAGTTGGCTTTCCCCTACAACAGGGAGGCTGCGCTTGGGGGAAGCCAGATAGCAAAACAAGCTGTCATTTTTTTTTGGGGGGCGGCCGCGTCAGTTGTTTGGAAGAAAAAAAAAGTATTTCTTTTGCGGACGGAGCGGGGAGAGGAAGCACGAAGCACCCTCTCTTCGCTAGCTATATTTTCTCTTTTGGTCAACGCGGCCGCCCGAAAAAAAAAAAAAAAAAAGAAAGCCAGCGTGCTCTGCAAGTTGGCTTTCCCCCAATGTGACCGCCCGCGTTGGGGGAAAGCCAGCTTGCAGAGCAAAGCGGCGCTCTTGGCAGTTCGATATAGCGGTAGCGGCTGCTATTTGTGTTCGATGCAACCATAGTTTTTGCTATATATTATCACTAACATTACTGTGCACAAAAATTTCTCGACATAAGGAATAATTCGATGTAAACGGGTTCGATATAGTCGAGTTTGACTGTATTTAGAAAGCTCAAATAATCCTATATTGTTGAATAATTCGATTTTGTCGAATAATTCGATTTTGTCGAATAATTCGATTTTGTCGAATACTTAAATTCGATTCGAAGCGAATGCCGAATAGAACAGAATTCAACTGGCTATTCGTAATAACCGAATATTCACCCATCCCTACCGTTCGGCGATGCATAGTTTATTTTTGCGGTAAAAAAAAAACAAAAAAAAAAAACTGTAAATTTCTTTTTTTGACACATTGTAGTAAGGATAAAGACAAGCTGGTGAATGTTTACCATGTTGCATAAACCTGAGAGTGGAGCAGAAATGAACCCATAAGTCCTGTCCTTTTCTGTTCCTTCGACTTATTTGTCCATTTCTGCTCTCAGGTTTATTCAACATGGTTATAACCTCCGAAACATTCTTCATGAGTTAAAAAAAAAACAAAAAAACTTTCAGCCTTTCCACTTGGGTGACGAAGGAAGACCAGCAAAGCTGTACTATGATAAGACGGCCTCAAGGATTACTTCTTGGACGACCTCAAGGACAATGTTTAGGACAACCTTGAGGGCGACGTCTAGGACAACGGTTAGGGCGACCTACTTCTAAGACGACCTCAAGGATGAACTCTAGGACGACCTCGAGGACAACTTCTAGGACAACTTCAAGGATGACCTCATGGACGATGTCTAGGACGACCTCAGGGACGACTTCTAGGATGACCTCGAGGACGACATCTAGGACAACGCCTAGAGAAATTGAGCCTTTCTATATTCTGGTGAAAACCAGAGTGGAAAGGTTGCCGCCATCTATGAGCGAGGCCGGCAAGCCGGTTGTTTGGTTGCCGCTATCGCTCATAGAGGGCGGTAGCTGTCCAGAGTTTTGCGTCGGCATTTGTTTGGTACCAGACACAATCCTGGGGAACCTAGCCCTTAACAACTCCGTTGTAAAAAAAAAAGTAGACCAGTAAACATGTGCTGCAAATTGAATCAAATATCACAAACACTACTCACGATTCATTCTAAGTTTCGAATATTCACACGCCTCCACTATAAAAGAAAGAAATCGGTTGTTTCCTCTTAAAACAGTCCATAAGAATTATGGTTCTCGTTTTTGCAGTCTTTTCGTACAAATCGAAGGGTGTTCTTTGGAGCCTATTTTTTGCTAAACATTCAAAGATTTATCGGAGTTTATTTTTCAAGAATTTTCATAATTTTGATGTTATAAATTTTTCGAAATTTAGAGTAAGAATAAAAAAACATCAAGAAACAAACATACTCTAAATTCACCTGTATCGGATAAAAAATTCCGAGGACACCTAAGCCCTTGCGAAAACAAGAATGTCGTCCTTCCGCTCCCTCAGTTCATCTGCGGTGTACTGGCGTGGACGGCCACATTTCATTACTGCTGAGGTTGCGGCCGCCGCCGATATAGATGCCTCAGGCGCAGCCATGTTCCTCGGCGCCGAGAGGAGCAGAAGCGGTTGCAGACCCTCACCCCCTCCGGCAACGCCTGCCACGAGAGCGGCGGCCGAGTCAGGAGGTGTTGGCCGAGTGCGCGCTCTCGTGATGCGGCCGCCAATGGCATATGGCGACGTGCGCGACCGAAAGCGTCGCTGTGGTCGGCCTTCCACGATTGGCCGAACGCTGACTATGACGTCAGAAAAGGATTTAGCATCGACAAAAATAAGAGGAATGAAAGAACTTTAATTTTGACGGTGTTGGCAGTGTTCCATTGAGAGCGCAATGATTTCAAGCTTCCACCATGCTATTTACAAACACCATCGAACTTGTTTGCAAGGTACCTAATGAGGTCACAAGGGGGAACCGTAGGAGGGCGCCACTGAAACATCTCGCCGCTAATATCTAGGAGCCGTTTTGCTCAGCCAATGGGAAGGCAAATAGATTGTATATTCTTGGATTTTCGAAAAGCGTTTGACACGGTCTCACACTCGCTTCTTCTCAACAAACTAAGAATGTTAAATCTAGACTTGGCTGTGCTTAGATGGATAGAAAATTACTTGTTCCAGCGTCGTCAATGTGTAGTACTGAATGGCAAGAAATCCGATTACGTTGATGTAACATCAGGAGTTCCACAGGGCTCTGTCCTGGGTCCACTTTTGTTCTTAATTTCTATTAATGATATTTCTGTTGGAATTTCCTCTTGTATTCGACCGTTTGCTGATGATTGTGTAGTGTATAGAAAGATTAAGAGTTCAGATGATGTCGCCCAGTTGCAAGTAGACCTTGATCGTATTCACAGTTGGTGCTCTACGTGGAAAATGAATTTAAATCACAAAGTGTGTTAACCTTTGTTTTACAAAGAAAAGGAAACAAATTGAATCTCAGTATTTTATGAATAACGACCCTATAACCAAGGAACTTCCATACAAATCCTTAGGTGTCATATTGTCATCCGACTGTTCATGGAATGCCCACATAGAAGTAGTCTTAAAAGCTGACAGGGTAATGAATTTTATCCAATGAAACTTAAAATGCTCACAACCTAACTTAAAGACAACTGCTTATTTAACATGTGTTAGACCCATTTTAGAATATGCATGTGCTGTCTGGGATCCAGACCAAAAAAACGTTGATTGATAAGCTGGACAAAATACAAAACAGGGCGGCTAGGTTTGTTCTTGGACGATACGGGAGGAAAGAAAGCTGTACAGAAATGAAAAAAATGTTAAACTGGGAACCACTTTCCGTACGTCGGGAAAAACTGCGACTAAAATTTTTATACTCAATAGTTAAAAACCAAAAAGGAATAAATAGCGAGACTTACTTAAAAGAACCCTATTATGTTTCTAGTCGTAATGATCATAGTCTTAAAATTAGAGTGCCGCGCTAAGACATGCATGTTTGCAAACTCCTTTTTTGTACGAACAATTGCACAGTGGAATCGGCTGCCTGAAGAGCAAGTGTGCTGTTTCAATAAAAGTGTTCTTTTCATCCTTGTAACCCCCCTGCTGTAACGCCCTCGGACACTGCGGGGGATTCATTGAATAAAGAAAAAAAAAATATACTCAATTGCAATGTATGAAAAATTTTGGATTTTTGTGGCGCTTGATTAATCATGTGTCACATGGTCACGTCATGTCATGGTGTTAAGATATGCTGTCAAATAATGTAACGTCACGTGGCCTTGTGACGTAGTCACGTGACTCACCGCGTTGTCGGCTTAAATTGAGACGTCATTATAGTCCGTTGCAGCTCAAGAAGGTAGAGCGAAGGAAGGAAGGCCAGAGAGGAGGAAGCAGGCGGAATGCTGGAGGAGGAGGAGGTTTCCCCCTCCCTTCTCCAGCGTTCCGTCTGCTTCTTCCTCCCCGGCCTTTCTTTCCCTCGCCTTACCTGAGTTGCAGTGGACTGTAGATCTATTAGCAAAGAATGTTAAAAAAGTGAGAACAAACGGGGACAATGAAGAAACACGGACGACAGGACAGGCGGTTCACTTTCAACTTTTTTTTTTATTAACACCATTGTCACCTATATATATACACATTGCCCAAACCACATCACATTCAATCGCCACATTCAGAGCGATTCTTCCAGAAATGCCATCTCAATCTGAAGCAGATACACAGACGGACGCTGACGCAATTGCGTTGTTTACACTGTGATGTCACATGCCATCACGACTTTTCAGTGCGAGTCATGTGACATCGTGACGTACTCGACTGTCATGAGCCCCTGTGAAGTGCTCGAGTTCTTGACAACCAGCGTCACCAAACATTCGTGTTGTTTTGTGTTCAATCAAAGATGAGAAGAGCTGAACTCTAACACCGGCTGTATACAATTAGCGTCATATCACATCGCCGCTTGTTCTAATAGAGAGTTGAAGAGGAAAAAGATTTCTTTCTTTTATTTTTTTTTGCGTCTCCCATTGAGCGAAGAGAAAACTAATGGGTGTTTTTCAAGCTATCAACGTCAGGGATTAGCTCTTAGCTGCATTTACTGAAAGTACAAAAAATTGTTGCATGATCCATTTTACATGTATGCATCGTTGAGGCAGCCAAAAAGGTTTTCGTTGTTGTTGACCTGTCTCATGAAAGTTGTCCCCGAGAATAGAAGGATTGAAAGGACTATATGTGGCTTATTAATCTGACGTTAAATAAAACTCCAAGTGTGTATGGCAGGGATACCTGAAAAGAAAAAAAGTCTAGTGGCCTTAGAGGAAGCCGCTCAAATTTTCGCAGTTTTGTTTAAACTTCACAGTTTGCGGTTGAAAAATAAAATAAATGGAGGATTACTGTTAACAAATGACAGAAATATAATTGTCGAATTGGCACCCCCAAACGGAAGAAAGAATCCTTCAGAAATCAAAAGTATTCTCTGGAGGAGCATGTAAAATGAAAAGCGGAAGAGGGGAGGGGGGGGGGGGGGGGGTTAAAAACACATTGTGTTGTAAAGGTTCCTCTGCTCTACATCTTGGGCGCAAACCAGACAGCGTGACCCTGCAAGGCTGCTTCGTTTGCAAAATCACTCCTGCCAGAAAGCGCGTTTTCGGGGTGCCAGACGCTTGCGACCTTCGTCACGACGCCGCACCAAGAAATAATACATGAGTTGCACTGAGCGCGAACTTTCAGCAGCGTGCAGTGTGCACCACAAGATTCGATTTTCACAGCAAAAATAAATTTTTGACCACTAGCATATAGCGCAATTTTGTCATGTGCAAAGCATGTTAAACAGTTCAGTTTCAACACAATACTCGGTTTCATTTTTAGTGTGAGCGTAGCAGAAGCTAAAATAGCGAGCTTCGGGCTTTCAGTGTCCCTGCCAAGCACGCGCACTCCTGCAGTGCAAACACTGGGCAGGACCACAAGCTCGCGCTTGTAGCATCGGCTGTGTCTGGACTTGAAAAGGCCCTGAAAGCGTTTCTGACCATTTTTTAATTTGCATCGCGTTCACTCAAACTATACTCTATTTCACCTTACGATGTACCGTAGTAAAGGCTACAAGCGCGAGCTCCTTGCTCTGGAGCACATCTCGGCAGCACAAGCTCTTGTGCAGCAGGAGCAGCTGCCAACGCTATGAGCTCGGGCTTTTAGCCTTCGCTGCGCTACAACATAAGGTGAAACTGAGTATAGTGAGTGTGACTCTAGCAACACATTAAACATAAAATAAAGCAACAAATAGTTTAAGTGAACATAATAGTTTAAATAAGTTGAGAATTTTGAGCACATTTTTTTTTGTTGATGAAGTCCTTGGACTGAACCAATAGAGAACCCAAACGACAAAAGCATCCAATAACCATGCGCAATCTTCCTAAATGTTGGAAATTAACATCCAGTTATGAAGGTGTGAACGCCCCACCAATTTACGGGTGTTCCGAGCAAACATTTGAGTGATAGTCACGTACTTGAAGAGATGAGACAGGGTCACTTGCGCCTATTCAGCCAGTCCTTCCTCTAGAATTCTATGTCGTCATTATCTGACGCTCTAGACCAATGTCGTCCCTGAACGCTCACGTATGACACTGATAGGAACGACTTTCGAAGCAGCATTTGGTTTTCTTCGTACCTTTGCAATGCCCTTTTAAGCTGAAACGAAGTACGTGTATAGCAAAAGGGGATCTCCAAATTGTAAAGTCGTGCAGTATATATAGCAGTCTCGCGATGATACGCGGCAGCCTGATAAAATGTTAGAGTGCGCATGACTGATAAAACACAGAGTTGTAAAATGAGGCCCCAAAACAAGTGCGCGTAAAATCGAATATAACTTTAGCCTCCCAAGAATGTATTCTGCGAAGTTTCGAGCTCGTACATTCTCATGTCAAAATGTGATATAAATTAGAAATATATTGTCTGTTTTTACGATAAGGAAAGAGGGACATTTAAGACAAACAGACAAGACAACCTGTCTTGTCTGTTTGTCTTAAATGTTCCTCTTTCCTTATCGTAAATTAGAAACCAACATGCTCAATCATCTCCACCATCTGTTCTTCGCAATATTTATGTATAATTAGGAACGTCATTGCTCGCATCTCTATTAGAGAAAGACGGACGATAACTAACCAAGTCCTGAACAGTTAGGAGTCCGACGTTTCAAAACCGGTTCGGTATTTTCATCAGGGGCGACTATTTGCGCGTGGAGAGCTGCAGCTTCCTTTCCATCTACGGTGTGTCGTTTGCTTCCTTGTTTTAATGCGAGAGCATTAATTGTCCCATGGAGCAAACCGACGTCATCAGCTTTGAAGCCACGCCACACGGCACCTTCCCCCGTCCCAATGTCGCGTGTAGCAGAATGATGGATATGCTCCCACTGGCTAGCGCGTGTCATCAAGGGACGAAGCTCCCATTGGCTCTCGTGCGGCGTATACATTCCAAAAACGCTACCAGAGAAACCCTCTGCATGGCGACGCAGCGCACACAGCGGCCCGGCCGCCGGTAAGGGGTGCGGTGTTACGAGCGTGGCTGCACAGCCCGCTCGGGCAAACTCCAAAGAGGTTGCACGGCCGAGCTCAGCGCAGTGAGGCCACTTCACAAGAGCCCGCGCTCAGCCGACGGCCAACGAAACGGAGCAGAAGGACGACATTCATGATTTCGCCTTCACAACTCACAATAAGTGCTTAGGTGTCCTCAGACTTTTTGGTTCTTAAAGTGGCCTGTAGTCCGTTGACATACGCCGATGGTTAAGTGGCTATCGACCTATTTAGCTCGACCTATTGAAATGTCGGGCTCCTAAATGTTTAGGCCTTGGTTGGTAAAGGTCTGTATTTCTCAAATTTTTTACCCAACCAGACGGAGTTCCGTCAAACATGTTAACGTTTATAACCTTCATTTCTATACATTTATTTTTGGAGTAAGGTGTCCTGTATAGGATTATTTAAAATAATACCTATAAGTATCTCTTTGTGTACATTTCGTGTATTTGCCTTCAGATCTATAATGTGAGCAGTACTTTCTGGCGTAGCCCGCGACCCGGTGTTTCACACTGCCGAACAACAAACGAAAAAGCGTGTTCCGCAGACTCAACAGATGGCGTATGCTTGCGTATCATCCTCCCGTGTCGACCTCAAGCGGTTATGTGAACTTCATACAGTCAAATTAATTGATGACAATAAAAAAAATTATTGCTGCCTGAAGACTTGACAACACAAGTAAGGAGCCGATCACCCCAAAGATATACATTGTAAGTTAATGCACCTCCAAATTATCTGAAATATGCTCTGCAAATCATTTCCGACCATTTCATCTTCGATAGACACGTCTATAAGTGATTTGGGAAAACCTTAAACAAATGTTTTATTTTTAAGCTTATTTAAATAACATATGTGTTCCTGGTGCATATTTAACTTCTCAAACATATAGAAGTATCTTGCTCCTTTTATGTGATGAACAAGAACTTTGTGTCTGTGGGCAGGACGAAAACAAAGTACACAGTTGCGCGTGGCAGATCTATGACGATTGCGCACGCAGACAGTCGAAAAGTGACCAATTAAGTAGCTGTAATGTCGGGCAGAGTATGGAATACTACTTTGTTCTATTTAACAAAAAAATATAAAAAAATAGCAAGGGTGATGTTTATTTGCAAATTTAATTGACCGGCATTTTGACAAGAACAAACCTCAAATGCCAAACTATGTTTAAAACGTTCACTTCAGTACGCGCTATTTTAGGCCAGATTCGATCTGAGTACGAAGGTCAGTTTTTTCCGCACGACTATTCACCGGCATCACGGCGCCGAGTGTAAACAATATTGGTCAGGAAACCAAGCGTTGTGATTGCCACTCAGTGTTTTTATAAGAGGTAGACTGAAAGGGTTTGTCCTAAAACGTTCCTGGCTTTTTGAAAATATTATTGCTTTTAGCTCAGTTGCGTCGTCATCATATCTATCTATTGTAAAACGTATCTTGTAAACTAGATATTAGGATATATATGGTGAGGACGGGGTGCCCCTTTTATGATTTTATGCACTGTCCTTGGTTCAAGAGCACAGCAGGATACGACGTTTAATACTGCGACGCTAAGTTGTAGCATCAAGGGTATTTTAGGCGACCTGCCAAACTGATAACCTTTAAATTCAGATAAATATATGTGACGAAGGAAAAAAATATAGATGTTGAGTCATATATCATAATCTAGCTTCATTTTACTGCGTCATTGAAATTAAACAACGCAATTTATTTTTGTGCCTGAAAATAAAGGCGAAGTCTACGAATGATAAAAAGATATATAGATACTCGTTTCACTGTTGAAATAGTGCCTATTTATTGCCAAAAAAATGCGGAAAATACATTCTCACTTTTGCAGTTCAAACCGGTTTGAACCGGTTCGAACCATTCTCTTTTGCTTCCCGGAACTAAACCGAAAGCTGTGAAACCGAACCGAACCAATAAAATTTTGGTTCGACACCCTGCCCCAAGCGTGTCGTGCGGTCGGTGTTGTGCGGGGGAACATTCCCCCCTCTGTCTTGCACGTTTGCTGTTTGGTGTGGATTCAAATGCTGCGGCGTGCATCGCCTTGGGGAGATGCATTCGTCAGCCACTACACGTATTGCACAGGGTCCAAGATTAGCCTCTGCGCGGTGCAGTTGTACAGGTCGCACTTGTAGCTGCTCGGAGGTGGGATTCCTGGAATTGTATCTGCCACAGTGTAGACATTAAACATGGTGAGATAAAACAGCGCAAAAAGGTACAAAAGGAAGAGACAAACCAGACAGGACAGAGCAATGCTTTATCTCATCCGGTTTGTCTCTACCTTTTGTGCTGTTTTATCTCATCATGTTTAACAACTACCAACTAGCTCAGCTCTCAACCTTATTACAGTGTGGAGACATCCTTTTTTTTTGCACATAAGGCGCCACTTCACAAGAAGGAAGATGATGGTGGTGTAAAATATATAACCACTCAACGGACTTCTCTGTATATATGCACTACTTGAATGCTTTGCTCTTTACCGGCTGATGGCACACAGTCTGTGCAGTACACAAGCCTTTGCATACACTATCTTCAAACTCCCTCTTTAAAGTAATAATTTCAAGATATGTGCAGTGATTATTACGTGAGAATATTTCAAAAACAGTATGTGTTCTCTTCGGAGCTCCTAGGATGTGCTCCCTCTTAAAGAACATTATATTTAACCGACAATATATATTATGAGAGTTACACTGACTGTAGAAGATAACGCCCAAGGTGAGCTGCTCTTTACATTGTGTGAGCTGCAAACTGAAGCATTTCAACTCCCCAAGTACATCACAATTCCAGACATTATTTAACTGGTCTCCGAAAAATCGAGAATGGACATTGATGCCATTCTGCAGAAAAGAACAGTCAAGATCAGCGTAAAGATAGTAGACTTTCCGACCATGATCACATGCGAGTCAAGTCAATATCTGAGGTGATTCTGCCTTCAGCGTACAGTTGGTGCTAACCCCAAATATTCTAGCTACCTCGTCCACCAGATTCAACTGGCACAGCAACAACAAATAATGCAGAAACAACCGTTTCAACATAGATAGAATTAAGACAGCGTGTTGGTTAAATGCATACCAAGAAGTGTTTGAAGCCATTGTTGAGCTTTCGAGAAGATAAGAAGCTCCACGATTTTGAATAGTGAAGCCAGGCAAGTTTATGGTCAGTTGACAAATTCTGATGCCTAGATACCATTTTATAAACACGCGCGTGAGAAAAAAAAAAAAAAAAAAGTAAAGAATATGCAACTTTTTTTCACTGGAATGGCAAAGAAGTGCTACAAACTGTACCACTTCTGCAACCTACTATCTCGGTGACCTGGAAACAATGAAAAAGGATTTTTCAGTCTGCATTTAAAAAGAAAATCTGTGGAGAAGTGACATAAAGTCATATTCCATAAATTCAAAGCAGAAAACATCATAAAATATTTTTACAAAAAAATGCACTTGCTTTAGCTGACAGACTCACTCATCGGTAGTCACACTAGAGATACACGGACTTCCCAAAAAGCAGCAAACACAGATACAAGTGAAAGCGCCCAAGACAGTTGTAGTTGTGAAAAAGTGCTTTCACAAAGCAAGCATTTGCACCCTACGAGAATACGAAAGGATGCCGATCAGTGGTGCGCATCGTTGGGATGCAAGCAACGGATTTCGTGATAATAAAACATTGTTTCACGTGCGTTTCGTGAATAAAACAATAAAACTAGTTTGAGTTTTGAGTTCACCGTGTCTCCCATGCAGCCTCACTAGATCCGAACAGAAAAACAGGCATTTATTTAGTTTTTTTTCTAAACTTTTTGCGCTCACCCCCCGAGACATAGCCCATCCTGGAAGTATGCACGGGTCGATATTTAAGAGCCTGGCCCTTGCCGGCCCGCTGTTTATTGGGCTCGGGCCAGCCCACGTCCCGAGGCCATCTTCATAGACTTTTCTTTCAATTGAACCTGAGTACCAAAGAGGATGTTAAAAAAAAAGGGCAAGCAACGGTAAACAAAACCATGTCTAGAATTTAACGAGGAAAGGGAGCGTCACCGGAGGTTCGGATAAAAGACAATATTCTAAATTGCCTGCCCTGGCTGCGCAAAACAACCAAAAAGTAGATCTAAACAATACCGCCGTCTCTTGCGGTAATCCGAGAAAAATCGGTCGGGAAAAGCACACCCAAGAGAACTATACTTTGACAGAAGTGGATTCTCTTCACCCATATGGTGGCTGCAAGCACTCAAACTTGCAAATGGCTCATGTCTGCGGGGTGTGCATCTTGTAGGCGCATAAGTGTGCATGCTTGACAGGGACAAGAGACTACGATGGTGCCAACAACGAAAATGAACGCCGCCATGCTGGTGCTCTGGAAGAGCGGTTGGTGCCCACGCACGTACAAACACAGTTGCTTTTAACATTTGGGTCTCCCTCACTGCGGTGTTCCGCCCTAAGCCCCCGAGCAAACTCCAAAAATGTCTGCGCTAAAAAAAAGACACAGCAGGTTTGGCCAGTTTCGGCCCGCCTCATAGACTCGAATGCAAAGCCCGCGCCCAGCACGGGTCCTCCGTGATTGTAAGCAAAAAACCCGAGCTCAGCACGTGGGCTGGCTCCTACCCATACAGACCTCTAGCCCAGTCCACATTTTCAGAAATAAATTTCGGGTGGCAGGGGGTTGCGCAATGACTCAAAATATTACGGTAGTGTGGTTCATTTTTTAAAAACTATGGGAACCGATTTTTTGCAATCCCGATTTCGTGAGATTTCTGTCGGTTTTACGCTCGTGGGTTACAGCCTTAAATGTTGCTTTTACGGTTGAACAGTAGCGGTGCTGCTGCACCTATGACAATGCCCAGGGCTTGGCTACGGTTTAGAGCCAATACCACCTCCAAGATAAGGGCTCCATTTTTGCTCTTCTAATGTCGTCGCTGGTGGACCCACGAAGCGCCGCCAGTCTTGCTCTCGGGTCACCGTGATGGCCTCTTGCAGCATTCTACATCGAGTGCAATGCTAGCGCAAGGAGACGCCAAGATGCGTGCGTCTGCCTCCTTGCCAAATCGAGCTTCGGAGCGTTTGCCACTTGGGGTGGGTTGCGGACTCACTAAAGACGACACAATGAGCGGGCTTTATCTTCTCGGCGGTACCGCTCCAGTGCTGTGCGAGCTACGCTAGCTCTGGCACAGCTCCATATTTTTGTCTGCCCCGATCGTCAAAAACCTTTTGACCCCTGCCTTGAAGCTTCCCAGGTGTGTAAACTCGGCAAGACTTAATCGACTTGCGAAGAAAGTCGATAAAGCAATGCTTACACCCAGGAAGGAAATTGATACATGTCAGTCGACCTTGATGGCAGACAGTGGCCTCTATGGCACGTTTGGGGACACCAACTTATATCACTAACTTATATTATACAAGTTTATTCTAGGTTTGGGCGTGTAAAACTTACGTGGCTTTCAACCGTTCTATTTCACTTTTTAAATCCAGAATCTGAAAGAGCATAAAAAAAGAGATGTATGAACAAACATAACGGTTGTTGAATCTTCAAAAATTATTCAGTTTAACTCCCACAATAATAATTTTCTATGGAGACTGCGCACTCTTCTCAATTCTCTGTGACCCTCAACCTAAAACAAAATCCAGCTAATTTTTGAGGGCCTCATTTTCTTTATTCCTCTCAAAACCACTTACAATATTTTACGATGATACAAACTACACAGACTTGACATAACACAAATAACAATTTAATCGGACGTTTCGTCTCCCCTACACAAGACATCATCAGTGAAGCGAAGAGGCAGCAAAGAGAGACGCCAACCAGAAATGAAGGAGGTCCGCGTACACTTCGGGAAGGGGGGCGCAGTTGGAGTTACAAGCTGATGAATCACTCCGGATGCACCATCATTCCAAGTACCTTTGTGAGCCCCACCTTTGTTTGTGCGCCAAGGTCGAAGCGTTCTTGAAGTCAAAACTGTGACCCATTGTCAAACGATGGTCAACCAGCTCCGTCTTTGAACTAATTCATGAGTGGCTTTTGCCACGTCACACTTGTGTTCTTTCGTACGGGTGCAACGTTTTCAGCCAGTCTCCCCAATATATGATGCGTCACAATCTAGACAGTTCAATTTATACACAGCACCACACTAGGACTCTGGGGGAGTGTTGTCTTTTGGTTTCAAAACGAGGTCACCTAGTTTAAGATGAAACTTGAAAGCAGTTTGGATGTTTATAGGGGAGAGGGGACTGGAGAAATGCCCTTAATACATATGCAGAATTATTACTTGCCCTGCTCTATTGCGATTTTTATCTTGACGTCTCGCTTCTCCTATCTTCCTGCCTGTGTTTTCGATAAAACATCTAGGAGAATCCCGCTTCACCAGCAAGTCGACAATATATGTACCTTCAGATGTTCGTAGTTCCAGATTAGAAGAAATGTGTTCAGAGAGATGTAGCAGGGTTTTTACAACTGCTCTTTTGTGCTCAACTGGATGATGTGAGTTGAAGTTTAAGAAGTTACCTGTGTTGCAAGCTTTATGGTACACAGTTGTTTCTATGTGTCCGGTGTCGTTTTGGCATACATTAACATCTAGGAAAGGCAGTCTGCTGTTCTGTTCTACTCTACGTGTGAATTGGATTGACGGTTCAATGCTGTTAAAAGCTAAATGAAAGTCATTAACATGGTAGTCAATATAAGGAAGGGACAAGGGAGAGAGAACAACGACAAACGACAGCTCCAAATACTAGTTACAAACATTTATTCACCCGAAGTCTGTATATACATAGCAGGGGCGGCCGAGCTGCGGCTCGCGAGCCACATGCGGCTCTTCGCGTAATAAAGTGCGGCCTCGCGGCTCCCTCCCCTACCCTAAACCCAGCCCCCCGGCACTTTCTCGCCTCCTTCCTGGTCACATGAGCACTTCCCCAAAGAAAGGAATGAAAATTAAATCTAGACAGCTTGCGGTTTGGTAGTCTTGTGCTACTGCTACCTTACGCACAGTTGGTCTGCTTTTGACTCGGATAGATTGAAAGTAGTTTGAGTTTAGTCTATTGCTCTGCACAAAACGTTTGCCCCCCGCGGCTCTTGGACGTTTCGTGGTTTTGTTGGCGGCTCTTAGGCCGGGTCAGCCTGGCCACCCCTGATATATAGGGTACGGGGAGAGAACAGGGGAAGGGGGGAAATGGAAAGGAGGTGACCCAACCTTCTAGGACATGTCACCGTTCTGGATGCCAGGAAGAAGATCCGGACTGAGGAAGCTTATCTTCTTTGCAGATAAACCGATGGAGGGGGAACCAAAGTTGACCTTGCTGTGGTGCATTGCAAAGGCTTCTATTATTTCGCGCCCATACCGTGAACTGTGACCACCAATTCTTTCGGTCGAAGGCAAGTCGACTGAACAGGGTCTGCACTCTGAAGGGTGCCTCACGATTGGGTGAAAGGAGGACTCAGTGACATTGGTGGCAGCCTTCTTGACCTCGTTTGCATGCTCTCATAAGAGGTCATTGAGGCAGTGCCTCGTTAATCCAATGTATCTTGCAGAGCACGACGTGGGAGTCAATGCACTCAGTGATGCCACCAAAGTAACTGAGTACTCCTTTCACCTGATCGCGAGGCTGTCTTCAGAGTGCGGACCCTGTTCAGTTGGCTTTCCTTCGACCGAAAGAATCGGTGGTCACAGTTCACGGTATGGCCATGAAATATTAGAAGCCTTCGCAATTCACCACAGCAACACAGCAAGGTCAACTTCGGTTCCCCCTCTATCGTCTCATCTGCAAGGGAGACAAGCTTCCTCGGTCCAAAACTTCTCCTTGGCATCCAGAACGGTGACGTGTCCTAGAAGGCTGGGTCACCTCCTTTCCATTTCCCCCTCCCCCTGTTCTCTCCCCCTACCCTATATATACAGACCTCAGGTTAATAAATGTTCGCTGCTATTTGGAAGTTGTCATTTGTTGTTGTTGCCCGCACCTTGTCCCTTCCTCACATTCAGTACCCTTAAAGGAGCTGTGCAACAATTTCAGGGCTTTGCTTAAATAATTGTGGAAGTTGATGCCTGACACTTCTGTAGTGAACTACAGAAAACAGATTTTGCCTGGATACCCTAGTTTTTATTTTAAAAAATGAAAAAGATCCAGGTTTTTGCCGCCTCTCAACTCGTACATCGTCTTCCGGGTCACGTGCGCAGTGACGTCACTTGAGAAGGCGCGGGGTTCTGGAAAAGTTATCTCTTTAGAGCCATCAGCGAGCAGCGAGAACTCATCCGCTCGCGACCGCGTGACCACGTGCTGGCGGGCGCCCCGCGAAATATACGGTGAAAAGAGGAAAGTCTCATCCGGGTCCGGCCATACCCGTCCTTGCCCGTCCGGCGCTGTCCCCCTCCCCCTCCGGCTTCTGGCGGCTATTCGCGGTTTTGTGGACCTAGGATAGATGGCGCCACTAAAACTCCGTATAATAAAAGTTTTCTCGATGATACCAGGGTTTTGACACATTTATATATATGTTGGAACGACAAGATTTATAGAAAAGTTACCTTTTATAGAGCAGGTATTCACACAACTTGCTATCTTTTTTTACAACTACCCAAGCGACGTCACGCCGCTTGTTTCTCATGGCCGCCGCTCGTGGCTGCAGGTTGGGAAATATTCTAAGTTTTGCCTCGCTATTACGCGGCGGAATCGCAACATTTCGATGAAAGGAGGAGTGTTTTCTGCCATTTGTGACACAGTGAACAATATCGAAAGCAGAAAATGCCAATTCTTTCAACATTAAAATCGTTGCACAGCTCCTTTAACAACCCGCTCATTCTTTATGTATCAACATGGTCTTTGTTGAAACTTATGAAAGTGTCGTCCACGCAACGTTAATAACACCTTGCTGCGTGCACAGTTGGCTGTAGAGCGGTTTCCTCCACATGCTCTATGACCAGATTCACCATAGTCACAGAAACCGGACTACCCATTGGACAACCTTCTATCTGGTGATAGATTTGTTCTTCAACAAATCTATCAACAGTCAAACAACAGTTTTGAACTTCTAGGACGATGTCTAGGACGACCTCAAGGACAACTTCTAAGATAATACCTAGAGAACGACCTCCCGGGTAACTTCTATAACAACCTCGAGGAAGACTTCTAGGACGACCTGGAGGACAATGCCTAAGACGACCTTGAGGACGCCGCCTAGAGGACAACCTTTTGGACGACCTCAAGGAGGACTTCTAGGACGACCTTGAGGACGACGCTTAGAGATGATAACAAGGGACCAGGACCTCACTACCTAATAATGCCAAGGGAGGCTGACGCGGGCTGGTTGACCCCTCTTTTCGTTTTTATTAATTCCTACTTGACCCATCTTTTTGATTTTATTTATTCATACTTGCATGACCAATGGGAAGTTTTCTGTCAACATGTGAGGACACATTTTTTCACAGACCCTAGTGTATAACAGCTTCACTGTAAAAGTATTGTAAGTGGTTTTACCTAAGAAAAACACTATTTTATAACTATATTTACCCCTAAAAGACTTGCGCAGATTCTTTAAAAAAAGCCCTTACATCACATTTTTATTCATTTCGAGAATTATGAATCTTCTCAGGTTGTTTTGTTGACGTACAGAAGCTGACATCCCCCAGCATACAAAGGAGCGCTCTGAACAAGTACATCAGGAGTCACAAGACATCTTTCACCATCCATGTGTATGTGAAAAACTCCCGCCAAAATACTGCCAGCTAGTAAGCTTGCGAATGGGTGATAAATTTTTGGTCAATAACGCTCGCTACGTAGAAGGTTGCAATGCCACAACAAATCAGCAGCCAAATATTTTCTCGTTCTCGCCAAGAACTGAAAGCGAACCCCGGGCTAAGGAAGAAAGGTTGTGGCCCTCAGTTTTGCTTTGCTCCCAACTCGGGCGGTCACCCGACCTTATGGCTCACCTTTTGATGGTCTCTCTCCTGCTCCTTGACCGTTCTGGAACGCGTATACTTTGGATGGGCTCTCCGCTGTTCCATTTTATGCAGTTTCACTGTTAGCCTCTGGAGGCGTTCCTGCACCGCCTTCTGCACTACAGCAACCTGCGCATTGGAAGGACCTTCGTATAAAACAAAAATTGAAACGTTTGATCTTCAGGAGCCAAGTCTTCAAAGCTTGTGGAATTAGTTTCAAGCATGTTTGCAATTTTGACATACTTGTAATGGCTCTTGCTGCCGATTATGTTCCCACCACCACCTTTGTAGAGGCATGAAAATAATATAACACCTAAAACGCGGTCCATTCCTTTCTTTAGAGGCACTGACATGCCAAAAGTATTCTAAAGGCAAAGCAACAAATAAGTGGGAACTGAAAATACCATAAAGTTACGAGATAGCCCACTTTGAATCAAGAGCAAATTGGATGGAAATAAAGAGTGGGCTAACATATACAGTAAGACGAAAAAATAAAGATTAAGAAACATATCGCAACAGAGCTGGAAAATGAGTCCTCGAAAGAATGTGAAAGCAACTTGTTACGCACATTATCAGAATGCAAAAGATGGTTTATGGTCCGCGACAGATTTTTCGGACTTCTTTGCACGACTGTCACTGCCTATAGAGTTCATGACAAACAGTGACTAAAATTTCAGATAGCATTTAACCCTTCAAATGCCAAGTATTTTTCGCTGCACAAAAAGATTTTTTTCTGAATGCAGACACACGATTGCATGCTTTAATATGTACATTTATCGGGAAAATCGGTGGCCGAGTGGGCCAGCGCACACCAGCACAGAGCACATGGAGCGAAAGCCCGCGCTGCAGCACCCAGGATCCTGGGCTCAATCCCCACCCCTGCTCGTTTAGATCTGGATGAGCATCGTGCCGGCGTGCGTTCGTGCATCACTACTGCGTGATGCACATTAGGTTGTACTGCACTGGCTAAATTTCTCAGCTGGGAGACTTGTCGCCCGTTGAGGCAGACCAAGTTCTAAGCTGTAGAAACATGCACACCAGCCGATTTTGTATGTACATTTATTTCCCAGACTACGCTGCTTTACGCTCAAAGAGCTCTGTCATATAACTTCTCGACTGAAGTGAACATAGAGAAGAAAGTCACATGGAGTTCAGTTGGGGCCAGTATCGAGTTTTTCCTTTTTGAGTGGCCATTCAAGTGGTAACGACTCGTCATCACTTTCATCAGTATCCCAAGTACACTCAGCTTCACTGTCATCAGATTCTGAATTCATCAGCAGTTCCTGGATTACAGAATTTGTCAAGGGGTGCAAAGTTGAAGCACGTGAGTTCGCCATTCAAAAACAGTGTTGACTCAGAAATGCATACGAAGGAAGTTGCCTTCACAAAACTCTCCACCTGGCGTCAAAAGGCGAAACCACAACTAACAATTATGTTCAATAAATTGTTCACAGATTCCACCACCAACAAAAAAATTTTTGTCAGCCTTAGTTAAGCTGGAAGCGGCAGGGAATAAATTGAAAACTTGCAACGAGTACACAGTAGGCTTGCGATAACTCAAACTTGGGTATTTTGTACTTCTGGTTAACCCAAACAAATTTTTAAATTTTGGTTGTCGCGCTATGTTTTTAATGTTTAAGTTATTTAATAGACGTAAATGCCGTGGAGCTTGTGGTTGCCAACCAGATCAAAATTCGGAGTGCGCGCTCTCGTGGCGCTCGGGCTTCGGTAAGCTTGCTCATTTGTCGACAACCTCCTTTTGGGTTGTTACAGGTGCCCCCCTCCTAGAGATGTAGACGACAGAGAGGTGTAGACCATGCGACGCGACAATCTCGGTGAGGTGGTATGATGGAAGGAGTGTCATACAAAGGAAACGCTGAATTATGACAACAAGAAGAGTCACAAAGTGAAGTCTCAACGGCAGCAGCCAAATGCGCTGTCTTGAGGCGGTCGACAGATGCAGTGCCTGTTTGACCTCCTAAGTCCACCACAAAATGTTTGTCTCGTCGTTCCACAACCTAAAATGATCCATCGTACGGTTCTTGTAACGACTTTTGACCCACGTCTCGTCGAATGAAGACGTGTGTGGCCTCATGAAGATCTTGTATATTGGCGATCATTGTTCGCGCTTTGGTTGCACTGGACGTACTCAGCGGAGTTCAGTTCATTTGCATGTGTTCCAGGGTCCAATTCAGCATGAGAATCACCCTGAGAAAAAATATCACCTGGGAGACGTAGAGTGCTGCCATAAACAAGCTTCGCAGGGCTGCAATTGGGCTCCTCTTTGACTGCTGATTGGAAACCAAGCAGGACGAGAGGAAGTTGTTTGCACCACTGGTGGTGCAAACAACTTCCAACGATGGAACCGTTGGATTATGCCATTGGCGATAGGATGGTAGGAGGTCGTATGGGATGCTGTGTGTACCAAGAAGCTGCACACTGAACAAACTGAACAACTGAACAAAATAAATTTGATTTAAACTGTTGCCTGCGGTCTGTCGTTATGTTGGATGGCACACCAAATCTTGCAACCCATCCACTCACAAAAACTCGTGCTACGGTGGCGGTGGTGATGTCAGGAATCAGGTAGGCTTCTGGCCAACGAGTGAACCTATCTGTTCGTGTAAGTATATAGGTGTTTCCCTCTGATGTAGGTAAAGGGCCGACGATGTTGAGATGAACGTTATCAAAACGTGTGGTGGCCACTGGCAATGGTTGGAAATCTGTCAAGGTGTGGCGATGGACCTTTAATTTTTGGCAGCCAATACATGTTTGCATCCATTCTCATACATCCTTGTTTATGCTATGCCAAAGAAAAGGTTGTGTGATCAAATGTTGTGTTTCTTGTATCCCAGGGTGTGACAGACCATGGAGTGAGTTAAAAACTTGACGGCAAAACGCCGCAGGGAAAACAGGTTGCAGTACTCCAGTTAACACATCGCAGAGGAGAGTGTAATCTTTATGAGCTTCAGTTGGTTAGAGAACTGAGTGAGCAAACAAATGTCCTCGTCACTTTGTTGCACAGCAGCCATATCGGTGAAATCTGTGGTGGGGGACAATGCACTGCAATTGAAGGTGGATGAAATGCGTGACAGAGCATTCACTGTGTGGAGCTTAAGGTCGCCGACCAGATCAGAATTCGAAGTGCGCACGCTCGTGGTGCTCGGGCTCCAGTAAGTTTGTTCCTTTGTCATTGTCCTCTTCTGGGTTGCTAAAAATGTATTCATAAGCCGCTTAATTCGAACGTCGTTTTCATGCAATTTATTTATACTTTGTTCCCTTGAGTGCGCTTCTTTCCGAGTACCGGTGCACTGCAGAGAGGCAACACCCGCGGAGCTTACTTCTGCGGGTGTTGCTTCTCTGCAGCGCACCGGTGCTCGGTGAGAAGCGCACTCAACGGGGCTCAAGCAGAGCACACACAGCTATGAAAAAGTCCAAGGACACCTAAGCTCTTCTTATGAGTTGTGAACGCGAAAGCATGAATGTCGTTCTTCCGCTCCCTTAGTTCGTCTGCGGCGTAGTGGCATGGATGGACACGTTTCGCCGGCCGACGGCCGAGCGCGTGCTCTTGTGAAGTGGCCGCGCCGTGCTCGGCCGTACGCCCACTCTGGAGCTGCCGCCACTGCCGGCCACCGCTCCCTCTTACCGGTGGCCGGGTCGCTGCGTGCGCCTCGCTGTCATGGAGAGGGCTTCTCTGGAGGCCTTTTTTGGAACTACGCCGCATGAGAGCCAATCGAATCCTCGTTCCTTGATGACATGCGCCAGCCAATGGGAGCCTATCCATCAGATTTCTGCTACATACGACATTGGGACAGAGGAAGGTGCCGTTTGGCATGGCTTCGAAGCTGATCACGTCGGTTTGCTCCATGGGACAGTTAATGGCGCCACGCGAAAATTTACATACCAACTAGCGCGGACATTTTGACGTGGTGGCATGGCATAGGCCCACGTGACAGCGTTCTCGCAAGTTGTTATGGGAACTGCAGTGCGTTGCCTGTTTTCATCGCTTGTGGCTTCCGCTTAATACTATAGTCCATTAGACAACATTTTGGCCTGATGAAGAAACCTAATTTTATTTTGAGTTGTCATGTGCTGTCTAAACAGTCCACGATAAACAACATTTTTGGAAGATAAATAAACTTATGTCATACATTTCATAAATGTTTCATGTGTAGCACACCTGCTTATGATCAGCAGGCCCATCTGGAGGAAATCATGAAACATTTGCTTTATAATCTGTAGCCATTCATATGGCGAATCATAACTTTATCTTGCATCATATTTTGATGAATTTCTGATAATTCAAACATCTGATAATTAAAACAAAATTTGTGGCCCAGGCCTGGAGTTTGAATCAATGAGAGTTTACTGCACTCGGGCATGGCAGGGGGCTTGCATGCGCTCACAGACTTGGCTTTCTTGGCGTCTCGCACTTCAGCTTCCACATTTACCTTCCGCGTTTTGAGCATGTGATTTTGAGAGAATGGTGCCTATGGCATTGCGCATTACCGATAGTTTATTGCATTAATGCTGCAAGACCAGAACAGTTTCCTCAGCTGCCATTTGAGAGAGGTGACCATTCCTCGAGATCAAAGCGCTTGAGAACCTCCGCAATGGTATGGCGCCTGGAACGCGTCTTCGACTGGTGCGTTCACAGCGTCCAGAAGGCAGTCCCTCGATTTTTGGCCGACAACATCGTAAGAGTGTTGTGATGTTGCCGACTGTGATTCTAGCGGCAGACGCCAGTTCCGCTGCGGGTTTCCCTCCAGCACAACGGACCATGGAAGCTTCGGCAGCCAGGAGTTGGGACGCCGCGATGACGGCGACATTTGCGTCTGCTCGCACTTTTTGCCTCAACTTCCCCGACCTACCACCAGGATCGTGACGTTTGATGGCGGGTCACTCCAGCTTTTGCGACATCAATTTGTTGCCCCTTCGGGGCCACTTTCAATGCGTGGGCGGTACGGGACGCTAAACGCTCCGGTCAAAGACGCGTTCCAGGCACTGTGGCGATAGTGCATATGCAGAGTGCAAGTTCGCCTGCTTCTTGCGGGGGGGGGGGGGGGGGTTGCCGTGACGTCAGAATGCCGAGTTTCGATTGGCTCTGATTGGAAGGATAGTGGGTAGACCTCAATGCCAGCTGCCTCGAGGTCTATCCGCTATCCTTCCCATCGAAGCCGATCGAAGCTCGGCGTTCTGACGTTGACACGACCCCTGCAAAAGAAGCAGACAAACTTGCGCTCCGCATATTTTTGGTGTAGGATCCTCCATATATGCCACCGTACTGCAACCGATTAGTTTTTCCAGGGCACGAGACAAGCGAAGCATTATTATTATTCATTATTAGTATCTCAATGGGGGCTCTCGCCGCCGACACACTCACGTCGGTCTCCACGAAGACGTCGGCCCACGAGCCCACGGGTGCCGGTGTCCACCCTTCCCCGACGGGCGGTCCCGCGGTGCCCCTGTGCACCACCCTGAACTCCCGTACCCTCGCCAGCTGACGCACGATGGGGGCCAGGTCGTGCAGGAAGCCGGCATCTCTTGGTTCCACTGCCACGTGCGCTGACGAGGAGAACAAGGAATCGGGTCGCTCGTTTACAAGATGGCACAACCTCCGTGCAAGGCCCCGGCGACATAATTTGTTAGCTCGTTCGAGGCAGTCTATACGAGACAAGCATTGATTTGGGAGACACGTGGCAAAAGGCAGCGGGTGCCTGACGAGGCCACGCCACCCTTTCGGATACCCCCTTTCGGATATGGTGACAGAGCAATACGGGGGTCACACATTTCTGTTTGCGAACCATTTCCCACAGATAGTCCATAGATTTGATTTCGCAAGTACTGCAAGACCTTCAGTCTTGCTATATGCAGTTCCAGGGTCACTTGATAGATGGCACCAGTAGCATTTTCTTTCATCGTAAGCGGTTAACAAACTCGGTCACACTGAAGTGTGAATGTGTGAAGCAGCCTTGAAGGGGCACTCGAGCGAATTTCGTAAAGCTTGTTTTTGATGGCACACTGTTTGTTGGGCTTTAGTCAATAAAAGTGACCGGTTCTAGATGGCAAGACGTCCGCATAAACTCGCAGCAATAGAAATACACGGGACACTATTTTCTCTTGGGGGGACCATCCTCGGGGTCCCCAGCATTTCCGTAAAATTTGGCCAATGAAAATACCGTATTTACTCGCACAATGAACGCACTCGCGTAATGAACGCACCCCCCAAGTCGGCTCTCAAAATTTCGACTTTTTTTTTCACTCGCGCAATAAACGCACCCCCAACTCGGAGGTCAAAATTTTGACCTCCTCCTCCCACGCGCGAAATGAACGCACTTTTCTATCCTGGTGCAACGAGGTCGCGAATGCATGGGCAGCGTGGGCGAACAAAACGCCTTGCAAAAGGCGTTAAAAAAATTCGCAAAAATCCAAAGGAAGTAAGGAAAAAAAACATGGAGAGGAGCTTTTCTTTTTGCACAGCGCAGTCTGGACTTTGGGTTCGCGCGCCGCCGCGGCGCGCAAGGAGGTAAGAAAGAGAAGGGCTCTAAGCGAACGAAACAGCTTGCGAAAGGCGGCAAAAAGAAAAAAAAAAAACAGAACTGCGAAAAAACAAAAACAAAGAGCCTTTTTTTTTTTTTTTTTGCACAGCGCAGTTTGTTTACAGGGGGTCGCGCGCCGCGCGCTGGAGAAGCCCTCTAAGCAAACGAAACAGCTTGCAAAAGGCGGCAAAAGGAAAAAAAAACAAAAAAAACCCCACGGAACTGAAAAAAAAAAGAAAAAGAGGAGCTCTTTTTTTTTTTTTCTTTATTTTTGCACAGCGCAGTTTGGTTACAGGGGAGTCGTGCATCGCGCGCCGCGCACAAGGAGATAAGAAAGATAAGCGGAGAGCCCCCGCCTAAGCAACGCCTAAGCAAACAAAACAGCTTGCGAAAGGCGACAAAAAAAAAAAAAAGAATTAAAGGAATTCTTAAAAAAAAAGAAAACGGTTGTTTTTTTTTTGCACAGTTTAGTTTGGTTACGGGGTCCGGCGCCACGCGCAAAGAAATAAGAAGTTACTTTGATTTTTCAGGATAAAAGGTCCGTTCATTACGCGAGTAAATACAATACAGATGCAAAAATTTTACTTCACGTAATGAACGCCCCCCCCCCCCCCCCCCCCCCAACTTTGCATCGATTTTTCGGAAAAAAAAGTGTGTTCATTCTGCGAGTAAATACGGTAGTCAATAGACCCTTTCCGGAATTCAGTGCCATCTGGTGACTCAAATTGCAGTTTATCTTTTACTATACTAATGGCGGCAATGAACCTGTGGTCTGCAGTATTTAATAGGGCTCCGTCACTTAAAGGTCAACGATAAAGGAGAATGTGCACTTCACGACAATTATTTTTCAATTTCTTTTAGTGTCGATGGCAACACAAATGCAGCCAGTCGGAACGAAGCGCCAACCCACATCGACACCTTGATAGAGTTCTATACATCAAGTGGCTTTGAAGCCGAGTGAGTGCTACTAACAGATTGACTGGGACCGAGTTAGAAATGAACGCTTACGCAGCTCTTGCGTCCAATTCCTGCTTCACGCCGCGCTAACATCTGGAATGTATATATTAGGCCTCGAATCATCTGCTTAGGAGCATCTTCAACTTCTTCCTTCATCAGTAAACAGAAGGCCGCCATTAGTATAGCACATATGCCGTTTTCAGATGATGATGATAATGATCAAAGTGGCCAGACTGAATTCCGGAAAGGGTCTATTGCGTGAAGATTCTTAACGTTACTATTATTGTTACTTTTAGGCGTGTTGTGCATTATATATTCATATCTTTGGGTGTAGGAGATGTAATGCAGCAATTGTTGTTGGAAAACGCCGTCTGATAGTTCCCCCTGGGGTCTGCTCCAATGTGCAGAAACTGAATGGCCAACTAGTTCCCAGAGAACACTGCGTGGCACTTCGCCGCAATGGGGTGCTCCGAATTTGGGAAGAAATCTATTTGCGATACTCGCTCCCGTCATCGAGCTCGTGAGGGTTTCTGCGCTTTTGTCTGCGACCTGCGCGCGCGGTATCGGTTCCAGTGACACCCGAGTTTGTATTGGGTTCTCGCATGTTTACTGCACCGTGAAGCGCAAATCTGCTGTGTCCGCATTCTGCGGTATTTGTTCCTGTGACAGTGAAGCTTGTAGTGAATTCCCGAGTGTTTATCAAACCGGGGAACGCGGATTCACCATGCCTGCGATCTGTGATATCAGTTCCCATTTCACGTGGTTTGTGGGGTCGGGGGGGGGGGGGGGGGGGGGGGGGGGGGTTTTCCTAATTTTTTATAAAGTTTTGCTGTCGCTCTGAGGGTGGCCAAAACAGCTGTTGGCACAAAGTCAGCTCTCCTTTTCGCCCAGTAGCGTCTCTTGGTTTTGGTCATGGTCGGGGGCATGTCCCACAACACTTCTGGCTTCACCCCTGGTGGCCTCACGTCGCCTCCAGAAGCTTCCTACCGCATGAATTTGACTGTACATCGTAAGACGAAATGAGGTATAGTAGTAACCAATTGCCGATAAAAGGTGGCGAGAGGGGGGAGCAGTTAACACCCACCGGAGGGCTCCTTGATGCCACAGGAGAGTCGGACGTTCCTCAGAGTGGTCACCACTTCCAGGGCCAACCGCACCTGCCTCTCGAGGTCTTCGTTACGCCACTGGTCCCACTGAGAAAAAGGAACATAGCCATCCCACATGACACGGGTTATGCCCCATTGCAGATGTTGGTGGAGGGTCTCTGACCAGGCATGCATGCACCCCAGACAGAAACAAGATTCCTAAGTACCTGTCAACAGATTCCCTCAAGAGCTCGTTGACCTAGACTCCCTTGAAAGACACTCTGTCAGCCTGCAATCACTCATACCCAACGACGTGTGCAACATACGTATGGGTAACAGCAACTTATCCCCCTTTATTCATCTCGCTCTGCCACAAAGCACTCATGTATCCCACTCCTTTTTTAGTTTATTTTCATGTTCATGTTACATGTGTGTTATCGCAAGCTACTGATGACTTATCAAGCTGTTAAATTTATGATATTTCATTCCTTTGCCTGCACTACATTATGTTACTGTGTGCTTATGAAGCTGTTCAACTCATGATGTTTCGTTTTTGCTGTACTACCAGTACTCAATTGTTGCCTTGGCCTCTGTACAAGCAATCAACAAGTCCTTAAATAAAAAAATAAAAGAGTATATGAAACTAAAAATCCAGCTTCTTTCCATAAGAGAAACAGTTGCAAACCATCCATTTGCTGCTTCCACACACTCTTTTCCTCGGTCATGCGTGATGACAACAGAATAGTGGACATCTAACAAGTAACATCATCCAAGGCACACTTTTATTAAGAAAAGACACTGCTCTTCGGAAAAAAAAAGAAAAAAGAAAGATATATTATTTAAATTGTGTTTTTTTTTTAAGATTGTCATCTTGTCCTGAAGGATTTTCGTGAAATAAGTCTCTCTCTCTTCCTCTTGAAATATTGTTTTGGAAGCAATGTAAAATGGGTCTGTAGATGTGCTATTATTTCTGAGTGGTCTATTTACAAACTTTTTATGAAAGCCACATCTCTTGTACAGATCGGATCTTCAGCATTTTTTTTGCTCTCTGGTAGGTGTATGTGTGATGTATGCAATAAAGGGTATAAATATATTAAATATGATATCCGGCTTTTTTTAGGTGCCTTTTAGGCATCCTACAATAAATCATTTTGAAATTGGAAAATTCAAGTCCTAAAAGGCCTATAAGTCTCCCTAGAGCTTTCATTTATGTTTATTGGATTCCACAGACTTCTTAGTTACTGAAATATGTTTATTTTCTGATTTCAGCATTCAATTTGTCTTAATCCTTTTCATAATCTTTGCAAATGAAATTTTCAATATTAACGGAACTAATTAGGTTACATCAAAACCAAGTAAATATTTGTAATCAGATTGTAACAGCAGATAAGCTACTCAGATTTCAATTGAATTGAAAAACAAGTTATATGAAAAAGGTCTAGAAGCAGTGTTGCCCCTTAACCAGAATGATGCGGTTCATGGAAGATATAACAGTGCAATCTGCTTATTGCGATACCATACATAATGTGTACTTTATTATGACGACTGCTTTCTGGAGGTTACATAATGAATTTCTGCATTGCGTCTGTGTAAAAATAAACCACATATTGCAACGGAGCACTCCAGGCACCTTGGATACAATCGTAATCAAGCTGCTTGGAAAGAATTTTCTATAAAAATTGGGCAAAATATTACTTTGCAGATGAAAAAAAAACATTATTGAGCAAACTATGTCAAATCGGAGGCAGATAAAATCTACTGTGAGTAACTCCTACGAGTGGCCCGAAAGCTGACCACTATTGTCTCCATCGGCATTAGTAATAATCACACCTTAAAGATAACACCAATGAAACGTATGAAGAGACGATGCAAGCCTCTATGGTTTCAATGGAAATGAAGGAAACAGTAATGCTGTAAGATTAGCATGAACATTTGAAAAGCAATTGGCTCTCCTGGCATTTTCGATGGCGTTCTAAATGCATACTATTTATAGGGCCTTATCGTGCCCCTCCTCTACCAGGCATAGCAAGGAGGCCACTGAAGGGTACATTGCAAGAATTTTGTGAACGTTAAGAGCCATCAAAGTGTCTCATGACACTGTGACATTCCATGACATCACGGTGTCACGGGGCATTATGACATCGTCAAGGTTACATGCCATGGACACAAAATCCCCAAAATTGGCGCTATGAATGCTATGCACCTAAAAAGTTGCGAGCCTCGTCCAAACGTACGAGCTCTTTTCCTGCGCTTCCTGTGAGGCCCTGTAGCACAGACCCGATTGCTTTTATGACCGACGCTTCTATAAAAAATGAAAGCCGTTTACAATTCCCTGTAACACTGGATTAGAGCGCAGCTCTTGAGGAGGAGGATAGAAGCGTACTGAGGGATAGGTGACTCCTTGAGGTCACGTGACCTCAGGGGCGGGTCGTGTGATGTCAGGGGGGTCTTGTGACCTCGGGGGACGTGACCTCAAGGGGGGGGGTCGCGTGACCTGGGGGGGTCGCGTGACCTGGGGGGGTCGCGTGACCTGGGGGGGGTCGCGTGACCTAGAGGGGTCACATGACCTGGAAAGTCATGTGACCTTGTGGGGTCACATGACCTGGGGGTCACGTGACCTTGGGGGGGGGGGGTTCAAGTGACCTCGCGGTTACGCCGACGCCACTCAAGCCGGAAACGGGCCCCTAAGAGCTGCGCTCTAAAAAGAAGCACAAAACAGTATTTTCCTAATTCTCCTGTAATTTTAATTACAGCTGGAGACATAAGCGTGACGCCAAAGTCGTTAAAAGGCTTTGAGTTGGTTTCTCCTCGAGAGTACCACCACGAGAAGTCACGGTGCATTTCTTTGTGGCCACTCCCTTGTTGGCTGTGCTTGAAATCTTACTCGAGTGAAACTAACTCACTTCGGCGGGTCATGTCCCGCGAAAACATACCTAGGTAAAGCTACGCTGAGTGCAGCTAGGTTTTCGAACACCAAGGTACAAAACATTTCCCAGAGAGCATGGGTTCTGAAACTGTGTTTTTAAAAACCCGAGGGTTCCCCAGAGAACGCCTTATGGGTTCCCAATTTCTTCGATTATCCCTGCCCCTAAGCGAAGTGTTTTTGCTAAAGGTGAGCGAATACAGAAGAGTAATTTTCTAATCGAATACCAAATCGAATTAAGAAAAAAAAGCTGAATATCGAATCGAATATCGAATAGTGATTTTATTTGTAGCATTTTTTCAAAGAGTGCTGCAAATGAGATTATTATAATATCTGCAGAGTATGCGCCTGGTGCAAAATATGCATCTTGTACGAAACAAAAGCTCAAATGTATTTAAGTTCTAATAAAAAAAAAAAGAAGAAAAAGCAGTTGCTGCTGGACATCAGACACTAAAGGTACAATTTTATGGCGCAAACATAATCTATCTACCTTGAGCGTCACAAAAAACTAAGGTTACAGCCAGGCATGCCTTTTTTTCTCGTTAAAAGCACGACCTAATACCGCGACATGTCCTTTTTTTATATTTATGTATCTCAGAAAAGGGGCATTTTGCAATATTTGGTCTCAATTTTAGGAAGAAAAAGGGGACTCGGGATTTTATTTCACATAAACAGATGGGGGCAAAATCTGAGTAAACAGGCTTAAACATATAATCTTAAGTAAAAAAACATGTGGCTAGGTGGCACAAGTCACTGTTCAACTGACGCTATGCACCCATTTCTCCGTCCATCTGTCCTGTTTTAGAGAGCCTAGATTTAAAAGAAGGAGCAAGCGAAACTGAAACCACGGAGACGGCTCCAGCGCAGATTGGTCGTAAGTGTGCATGTGTTGTGTTCTCGCGTAGAACAAAGGCAAGCAAACGGAAGAGCGACGATGCCTGTCCTGCCTGTCCAATCCCGATCGACGCTTTCGTCTTTTCGTCACCTTCTCACAGTTCGCATAGTTCGTAATTCAAATGCGACTATCCAACAGTTGGAAACACTCTCAAACCTAGGCACACTATTTTTCCGTTCCGTTTAGGTCCAAATCAGAAATTGTGGCTTGTGGTTACAAAAGAATGGTGACAATTACTCGGCTGGTTTCATCGGTGTGGTTAACGTGGTTTCCTTTCTGTGATCATGCAGCCACTGATTTATGCGAGTGTGGCAAATGTGTTTTACATCGGCGCTTCCATTTGAAACGAGGAACTTTAGTCATGAAAAGAATTAGGCATGGCGCGGAATTCCGGCCTCCCAACATTTTCTCTCTGGAAGGGGCGCAAACGGGATGTTTCGGTTGTGATTCAAGGTTAGATTGCAGATTGTGTTAAGATCATGAGTAAATCTGCGTGCTATAAAGTTTGTGGCGTTCGTTACTTTTCTTCTTACCTGTGCATTAGATTTTTGAGGAATGCTAGGACCAAGAGGTGTTTCTCGCATGGTCTAACATCACGACACGGCGCTAACATCGGGAGAAAAAAAAGCTTTTTTGTCAGCTCTGCACCGACCGCACGTCTTTGGCTGAATATATTGAATATTCGAGTTACCAAATACTAAAAATTCAATTTGCAAATCGAATTATTCAGGCACTTTCTATTCGATTCAATTCCCATATTCCAGTATTCACACCCACCCCTAGTCTTTGCAGTTTACCATAAAATACTGCAGAAGCGCCCACCATTAACACTTCCCAAACTTTAGAATTCTGCAAATTATAAGTGCCCCATTTGACTGGACAAGCGCCCATGTCTAAATTAACCCAGTTTTCAGTGAAAGTGAGGTGGGCCCTCCCCAGACATTTTACGGTGTTATTTTAGCAGATCTGAGCCACCCATTAATGCTTAACTATAAGCCAACCACTTCCTAGTTTGTGCATTACTGTTAACAAAGTCTGTTGGCTTCTGCATTGCTTTACTGCATCAATGCTGACATCGGAAGGGTTTCTCGGCTACTGAGAAACAGATAGGCATTCCTTGAAATAGAAGAGCTCGAAGAACCCCTGCCCTAAAGTGAGACTCAGTAAATTTTAAAACACGGCCGTCGTGCGTTGCCGAACACACCGAACAGAGGACGCCAAGGGCCTCACCTGGTCCCTGGTCGGGTAAGGGGCGACGCAAATGCTGGGTGCCGCGCAGCCACCAAACCTCAATGCCAGGCGCTGGTAGAGCTCTTCGGTGAGAAAAGGGGCGGCGGGAGACAGCGTCTTCAGCGTGACGTCTAGCACGGCGTGGAGGACGCTGCACACGCGTGAGATGTCTTCGGTGCTGTTTCCCCACACTGCAGGCTTGATGCTCTCCTGCCACGCAAAAGACAACGGCAGAAATCAATCCCTAAATACCCTGGTCATTCACTCGGTGCAACTCTCATTTGACTATCGCACTTGAAATATGTTGCTTGTATGATAAACATGTATAAAAGCAATATTGAATTTTAAACCACCATTTGCATCAGTCACCGTGGCACAAATCTTTATTCAGGGTGGTGGTAGGGTACCTTCTTGAGACGTGGCACTGCAAAACTGGCCAGAATTGAGCTTATTCGGGCCTCTTTTGCCTCCACTTAATAAAGTAAAGACTTATGAGGGAAACAATGCGATAGAATACAATACTATAAACGACTTATTTTTTGTGGGCCCAATATTTCGCGATTTAGATCAAAGCTGAAGCTTTGAAATAATTCGCGGGTTCTAATTTTCGCGACGCGGTGGGATCTCAATATAGATTCCAATGTGTTTACATTTTACCGGAATTGTTTGCGGGACCCATGTTTTGCAAATTGTAGGTGATTCGCGAAATTCACGAAAATGAGGTCCTTGCGAAAATTAAGTCATTTACGTTAGTTTAATATTTGAAATATACTACTGCCAAGTAGACTTGTGCATGAAATGCAACAGTTGCTACTGCTTTTTCTTTCTACACACCAGATGCGCACTGCTCAAGGAAAAAAAAAACATTTTTTATGGCCAAAACTTGCCCCTGTGGACAAACTAGGGTTGAGAAAATATGGTACCATTTTGTCACACACTCTAGAAATAAAGGAAAATTCCAATGCACACCGTGGCAATTAACTGCTCCACTGTAACAGTGCTTGAAAGCACCTTAAACCCAAACATAGTAGCACAAGTTGACGTGCACTACAAGAATATGAACTGTTTCCTTACCACAGGAAAACTGTCCATTTTTAAAGAGACACTGACAACCCCAAAAAAAGATTTTTTTTTTTTTTTCATTTTTTGTTAGGCAAATTATTATGGTGTCAGAATACTACCCAATTAAAATTTTGCTACAGAGCCACGCATATTTTTAATAAAGCCAAAAAACGCAACTGCTCGAAACCAAAACCGAAACCCTCGCGCCGCACGGAGAAGTGGAGAGGAGAGAGTGAGTGGCGGAAGTCTCGTCCCGAGACTTTCGCCACTTTAACGAAACCCGATTTTTAAAATTGGGTTTCGTTAAATCGAGGTTCAACTGTATGAGTATCAAAAGATAACATTTTTTTTTTAACGAAAAATATTTTTTTTTGGTCAGCTGTTGGGAGAGGGGGCCAACACAACAAGAATAAAAAAGGATATGCAGACATTTCAAGAAAAAGATAACAGCTAAAAAATTTCAAAATATACAAAATATGCTAAATTTTAATAGCAAGAAAGGTTGCAAATTGCAGTGCTCTTAGATAAAAAAAACAGCATTAAAACAAACGTGTGGCATATATGCCATTCGGTGAATCAGTTTCTAGACGTGGTAAAACACAGTTAAATGTAGCAGGTACATCAGAAGATATTTGTCTTATGCTCAACTTCACACTCCTTGTAGCAGTTTGCAGCTGCACTGCTTCTCCATTTTTTGGGGGGGTTTGTGACGCAGCCATCAAGGGGTAGAAGGAGGTCGGGCACACCCTACATCAAGTCCAAAAAGCTGTTGGGTGAGCTCCGTTCGGAATGCCAGTTGATCAAAGCACGCACTTCTACAGAGGTAATGAATGCTTGGGTACTTCTAACGGTGTGCCTGAAGAAGAATGCAGCTGTGGACAGCTAGAATGTCAATGCAGGGAAAGAAGAGCCTTCACCCACCGGATACACCTCATGAGGATGTTGTATGATCTGATCAAGCATTCGGCATTGTTGTTGTTGACAAGCTGCGGCTTCTTGATGGAGATCTGTGACCATCTATTCCCTCCTTTAGCACTTTTTTTCGCAAGCACGTTCCTGTTGGCAGTATGTACAGTGCTCATCATGCGTATGACAAGTCGGTCTTTCCTTTGAAGACGATCCCGTAGCCGTCGAACATCACCTCTTTTTGCCTTCTTCCATTTGAAATCCTTCAACTTGGCTGAGAATACCCGAAAATCTTTTGTGTAGATGCCATGTTCGAACGGCGGACGCTATCTGCTTGTTTGTGTGTTTGTTTGTGATAGATTGCCATCTCATGAAAAAACCAAAACAAATGTACTATACAGATACTCAAACTAGAGTCACTGCCCAGCCCATTTTTCGGGCCAATATCGATTTCAAAACAAAACACCTTGAAATAACCCATCGCGGACTCTGCGATCTGCGAACACTCATCCTATCCAAATGACGCGGCCGCGGACCTTACAGCTGGGGGACGTCCGTGACAAAGTGAAACGAATAAGGGAAAGACACTTCTCTTTGTTTACGCATTTCCGCCACGAGTGACCCCGAAGTCATAGTGTATCCATGCGAAAAGAAAACGATAGAGATAACAAAATAAAAGTTTGTTTTCCTTACAAAACAATTAGCCCCCCCCCAAAAAAAACAACTTTCAGCCTTTTTACTTTGGTGAAGGAAGAGCAGCGGAGCTGTAGCTTCTGTTCTCGGCGGTGGCTTTCCAGGCGAGTGGTATGCTCTTTTTTCGCAAGGTAACCTGAAGTGCTCGACGCAGTGGAACTTGATAGCGGCCCTGCAGCAATTGCAAAACCATTCGCGCTGCTGTGCACATTGCCGTACAATCCGTTCCCGCTCTTCTTCCTCCAAAGAAATGTTGCCGCCACCTATGAGCGACGGCAGGAACCAGTTGTCTGGTTGCTGAGGCTGGAAAGGTTGCCGCGATCTATGAGCGACGGCGGCAAGCAGAGTGTTGTGTTGACCACGGGTGTCAACATTTGTTTGTACCGGACATGATCCTAAGGAAACTAACCCTTAACAACTCCGCTGTAAAAAAAAAAAAAAAAGTTGAAGAGATAACACAAGCAGTAACCCATTCAGGGATCCCGAGATAAGTGAACGTCCCATATACTGGAGAAGGAGCGAACCCCTTCCTACTCTGGGCACATCGCGACCGCGGTTGTGCAATGTTATAGACAAAGCCAATGGGTAAGTAAAGCTTTGCTGGAACACCCTACACTGACGTTTGTAGAGCAGTTCAAACCACCGTTGATAGCATGCCGTGCACAGACGCATGCATGTACGTACCAAAGAAGAAAGTTGCGCAAGAGCTTGCGATTGACAAGGCGCCCGACTTGGCCCAACGCCAAAGTATTTGCCAACGCGATCACTGGCTTTACTTCTCTCTCAGCATCGCTCTTCGTTGCTTCTTTGGTCCGCTCGCTCACTCGTTGCGCCTGGTTGGTTTTTATATTTTCTTATAGACTTTTACTTTTTATTTTTTTTACTAACGAGAACATGGCGGAGACGTGCTTTCCCGGAACGAACGTTGCACTGTATGCAGATCGGCAGTGTTCATAGCACATATGCAAGCAATGGACTTCGTGATAGTAAAACATTCTTTCATGCGCATTCTTTGTATAAAACAATAACACTAATTCAAGTTTTGAGTTTAATGTATCTCTTGTGCAGCCGCGCTAGATACGCAGAGAAAAATGGGCGGTTTTTTCTGCTTTTTTTAAACTTTTTGTGCTAACCCACAGACATGGCCCACCACCTCGCTTTTCTTATGAATATCAGGCGGCTGGGGGATGGGCGATGACTCGGGATATTACGGTAGTCTAACCACCAGATGCATTGACAACAAGCACAGATTGCCCGGACTTTCACACGAGATCAGCAAAGACCACGAAAATTAAAACCGAAAGCATAACAAACCTTGATAAAGTGCAGCTGTCGACGTTCTGGGCTTATATGACAAATTATTGCTGTCGGAATTAAAATCATCTTCTGACTCACTCGTGCTAGTATCAGTAACGAAATCCACTGCAGACGCCCTCAAATTGCGAGACTTCAAATGCTTCCTAAGAGGCGCACAGCACCACGAAGGCGCCATGTTCACAGCGTGGAGCACTCTTCCTCAGTTGTGTGATTGATTACATAACAAGTCATTAACTCCTGGCAAGAAAAAAAGGAGAAAACTATACGGAAACTGAAACTAGAACGTGTAATCTAACCACTGGATGCCGTAACTTGTCCAGAAACACATTGTACGCTTTGCAACGGGGCTCGCAAATCTTTGATCGGGGGTGATAGATTTTGATGGGCGCAGTATAAAAAGAATTAAAACTGCACTAGGATTACGTTAGAACTGTAACATTATGAACCCCTTAGAAAGCCAAGAAACACTGCTTTGGGAAAAGAAGTTTGGTGTCTCTCCAACCACACTGCACCTCTGAAAGTGGGCAGTGGGGTGTAAAGGCTGGTTCACACATTTGCGATTGAGTCTGCACAAGTGCGTTGCATTGCCTTGTAACCCACTCTGCCATGCAGAAGTTATCTATTGGGTAGACCTAGAGCACTTCTAACCTGCATATAAAGAGTAAAGGTTTTGCAGAATTTGCAATATCAAATGTATGCACCGTCCGCCAAAAAACTTATGTGGAAGACCATGCGACGTGATGCAAAAGGACAGCATCAGCTGGTGCGACGATTCCATGATGTTGCGTCACTACTCGCCAGAAATTACGGCGATGCTGCGTCGCGCGGTGTTCCACATAAACCACAACAGATCACACACGGAACAGCTGGCACCAAACACGCTCTCGAGGACGCACTGCGCAAATTGCCCAGTTGCACCAGCATGTCCATTCTTCACTCGGCAACATTCACTCGTACATGCACCGCTTCACGTTTGCGCATGGTACGATCTCAATGACGAATACGTTCCATCCTAACACCTGGGGCGAGGCCGTTGGCGCTTATATTCGACGATGCTCTTTCTCACTGCCGCGTTCGCGCCGTCAAGCATCCGCCGCCTGCTTCGGCGTATACATCGGCTGCCCCACTCTTGCGCGCAAAGGCTTAGAGCACCGAGAAAATGGACGACCGAACGCGAGAAAGAGCAGGTTGCGAGGAGCGCAACCACGCGGCCCCCGGCGCTATGGCAATTGGCCGGACGTGCCGTGCCTCAACTGCGGCTATCATCAGTGAAAGGGCGAGGGTATGGGTGCTGTACTTGCCCTCTCCCCGATAAACGCGCGCACACTCCTCCTGTTTTCGGCAACGCGACACTTCCTCGGTACGACGAGCCTAATACAGCCGATGCTGCAATCTGTCGCTTACAACATTGTCAGAATTACTTCGAGCCCACGCTAAAAGACCGACATGTAAAAAAATTACGAAAGTAAAATACAGGTTAGGAGTGTTGCAGGGCCACCTGACTGATGGCGCTGCTTGCCAGTGTATTAAGCAGCTCCGAGGGAAAGCCGCACGCTTGAGACTACCACTTAGAGGACAAAGCCTGCGTGTGACGTCATTGTTAGCGGATCCCCGAACTGCCCCGAGCGGCAAACGCGCCGAAGCTCGATGAGAGTCACTGAGAGGCGGCAGACGCGTCTGTCTTGGCGTCGCCATGCCGCGAGAAGCACTGGCACGAGCTAAGTGGCACTGAGTGGATCCACCAGTGATGACTTCTGGGGAGGACAGGTGCGGGGCTCGTCTTCTGGGTGGCATTGTTTGAGCACGCTCAGATGCAGACGTGTGAACCAGCCGCAATACGCGGAGTACGCACCAGGTAGACGTCGCACAGGTGCTGTACAACGAACGCCTGCACTGCAGAAGTGAACAGGTGCAGGTCCCCGTTGGACAGGTGCGCCTGGCTCGCCTCCACCAAAAACGAGAGACGGCTCAGGATCCAGCGGTCCATCAGTTCCAGCTCCACCTGCATAGCATCGGGGGCATTCTCCTCCCAATGTTTTCCAAAATAGATCTGCACCATCACATACTAATAAGTTTCTGAATTGTTTTAAAAACAAGAATGAAGAAAACTTGTCTTGATCTTTCCTATAAACCTGGGGAACACAATGTGTCGTGCGAGCATTATGCACGCGCTATGATATGTTCTGCTTGCGACATTGTGAAATTTATAACGTAGTGAGCTGTATAACGAAGGATTTTCACAGTTCCGGAGAGACGTTTGGCTCTATTGCGATTCATATTTTGATAAGTCAGTTAAGTGTACTGCAAAAAAGTTTGAATGAACGGCACAAAATTAGACTGCACGAATGAGCGCCCAATGTCCCGGTTGTAGATGAGAAATTTTTGCAGTGGCGGTACTGGCGGTACAACTGCTGGCCTGGTGTCTTTAAATTGCCTCACACAGTGGTGAGTGCACAAACGCGTGCCAGTACAATTTTCATTTAGAAAAGAGATGCCAAGATTGTGTAGCGCGAGCTTTCACCCTGCGTGCCCCAGGCTGCGATGCACCAGCTGACTTTGCCACCATTCCCCTTTTGATAAGTCAATTGTGAACGTGCAAAACCTCGTTTCTGATGTCGCTTATACTATATTTGGCGCTACACCTTTTCCTAAAACGCCAAGAATGTCGCGCAGGCACGTCAATGCATGACAGCACAAATTTGGTTCCTTACGATTGATTTCTCGCGCTCAACTACTACAACAAAGTCACCTGTACTGCGGAAAACTACACCAGTCCGGAAGACTTGATTATAAAGGCGTTTCACTGTACTGAAATATTTTTATGTTGAAAGCATAAAAAATCTGAAAAAGATTTTGGAAAGTTTTGTCAATCTAAAATATTGGTTAACCTGACGTTCGCAATACCAAGATTTAACTGTAGTAGCCGTTTCAAGAGCTGAAAACAATTCAAAACTTAACTGTCAAACAAATGAAGAGTACATCGAAAGAAAAACACAGGCACACACCATGGTTCAAATGTGGGCGAAGGCACTGAACACGGGTTTTAGACGTTTCCTCCTTGTGGTGGGAGGATCGTGGTGAGCCTCACCGAAAGGAGCGAAGCCAATTGAGGCCTCTGCCCCAGTTTGTCAGCTGCTGAGACAAAGAAGCGCGTCGCCTGCCAGAGCTTGTTGCAAAAGTGAAGCCAGCGAACAGCATCCTTCATCTGGAAACTGATGGTCTCCGCTGGAAGGCAAGCAGTCACAACCGTCCGGTTACGACCCCGAGAGGAAAAATATGCAGCACAAACATTCCTGACATCTTAGAATTCAGCGTGAAAATCAGCACCCAAACCTACCGTGAAATCACGGAAGGACGCACTCCCCACAGAGATTGCCCATCCTGTTTTTCCGGCTAAATACCCATAACATAAAAATTCCGCAACATTGCCCATCCTCCGATTCCTGTTGGACGTTAAACGATGTCTGACGGGAGTCGCATCAACTGCGCGATTTGCGGTACCGGTACATTTGTCAAGTTCACAGTGGGTTCCCGCGTTTTTGTTTGCTGTCTGTGAGATGCGAGCTCTCGGCGGGTTTCCGTGGGTCCTTCGCACTGTGAAACGCGAATGTGCTGCATCCACAACCTGCAGTATCCTTTCCTGTGATACAGGAGTTCATAGTGAGTCCCCGCGTGTTCATCGCATCGCGAAATTGCCGTGTCCGCGATTTGCAGTATCACTTCCCGCATCATGTGGTTTGTAGCGGATGCCCCGGTTTTATCTTTAATTTTACAGCGAAGCTGTTATGAGCTAGGATCTGGAAAAAAATGCGTCCGCGGATGTTGACAGAAAACTCCCCATTGGTCGTGGCAAGTATGAATAAATCAAAATAAAAAGAGGGGGAAACCAGCATGAGTCAGCCTTCTTTGGCATTATTAGAGATAGGATGGTCCTGATCCCATTGTTATCATCTTTAGGCATCGTCCTCGAGGTCATCCTAGAAATCGTCCTTGAGGTCGTCTGAGAGGTCGTCCTAGGCATCGTCCTCTAAGCCTCGTCCTCAAGGTCATCCTAGGAGTCTTCCTTGAAGTCGTCCTAGACGTCGTCCTCGAAGTTGTTCTTGAAATCATCCTAGAAGTTGTCCTTGAGGTCAACCTAGAAGTCGTCCTTGAGGTCGTTCTAGACGTCGTCCTCGAGGTTGTCCTAGAATTCATCCCTGAAGTTGTCCTAGACGTCGTCCTCTAGGCACCTTCCTGGACGTCGTAAAGGTAACAGCTTCGCTGGTCCTCCATCTTCACGTGAAGTGGAAGGGAGGAAATTTTTTGATAAAGTTTTGCTGTTGCACTTGTAAAGATAGCCTCCAGCGTTTAAAGTCATGAGGGTCTTGGGGGATCTCAGAACCCCCACATATTTTGACGGGGGGTCTCAGACCCTTTTGGGAAGTAGATCCAACCCTTCCAACCATGGCGTCCCGAAAGGTAAGGGGGATTCACATGCACAAAAGCTGCTTGTTTCTGTAAGCACAAATATAGAGGATATACCTTAATATCCTGAATCATTGCCCACCCCCCTGCCGCCTGAAATTCATTAAAAAAAAGTGGGGTGGGCCTAGTCTCAGTGGGTAAGCACAAAAAGGTTAGAAAAAGCTGAAAAAAGTGCCTATTTTTCTGCATGTATCTAGCGTGGCCACACAGGAGATACATTAAATCAGTTTATTGTTTTTTGCAAGAAATACTTATGAAAGAATGTTTTACTATCGTAAAGTCCGTTGCTTGCATATGCACAATGAACACCGCCAATCGGCATACAGCGCAAACGTTTGCTCCGTGAAAGCTTGTTTTTAACACGGCTATGTTCTCTTCTTTAGTCAAAAAAAAAAAAGTCAACAAGAAGATATATATACAAACCAGGCACAACGAGCGAGCGAGCAGACGAAAGAAGCGACGAAGAGCGGTGTGGGTGAAGCGGGAAAGCCGGCGATCGCGTTGGCAAATAGTTTGGCGTCGGGCCAAGTAGGGTGCCCTGTCCATTGCAAGAAGTAGACTCTTGCGCAACTTTCTAATTTGGTGCATACATGCGTGCGTCCGTGCGCGACATGCAATCAACGCGGGCTGAGGCTGCATTGCTACGTAGCGTGGATCACACCACTAACACGAAGCTCGAAATGGGATGCTCTACAGACGTCTGTGTGAGGCGTTCCAGCAAATCTTTATTTATCCGTCGGCTTTGTCTTAAACACTGCGCAACCTCACCAACAGAGGTTGCGACGTTACGGGAAACGGACTTTGACCTTGCACTATGCGGTCATATAGAGTGACCCTACATCTCGAGCCCCAAAGCAGGACTCGTGCCTGGGGGGAGGGTTCTGTTGTGAGATTTGAAAAGTTTAAATTTAGGTAATAACGTATCACACATTCCTTATTATTTCGTAAACACCGTGCACATTTCTCTTCCTTGCAGTTTACATACTGTTTAGCATGCACTTTTGATACGCTAGGTTGGAATATTTCTTTAGTATTCATGCATTTATTTTGGTAGATACTATGTTCATAGTACTGTTCACGTGTCATATGCAAATTAACCATCAGCATCGCTTTTAAGCATATCTTGTATGTTGATCAGCGAAGGCACCCTCTCTACTGATGCATTTTTTTGTTTAACCACATATTTTATCCATTCGCTGTTCGGGGGAGTTAAAACGGGACAAAGCACCATCTCACAAGCATGCTGGCACGGCCGGAAAAGCGAGACCTGTCTGGTCACTTTACGGTTACATTCCAGGATATGGGGTGTTTGCTAATCTTGCGATCCCTGAAAGGGTTACTGCTTCTGTTATCTTTCTGACTTCAACTATTCTTGTTTGATCAAACCTTTCGTAAGCAAAACAAAGTTTCCTTCTGTTATCTCCATCGTCTTCCTTTCGCAAGCATGTGCCACGACTTCGAAGTCGCGAAAATCTAGGAGGAAATGTTTGAAAAAAAAGAAGCGTCTCACTCCTTCGTTTTACTTTGCCCCAGACGTCCTCCAACTGTAAGGTTCGCGGCCGCGTTATTGGGGTAGGATAAATGTTCGCAAGTCGCAGAGTCCGCATTGGGGTATTTGTATAAGTAAATAATTGTTTGGTTTTCTTTTTTTTTTTTTTAAATCAATATTTGCCCAAAAAGTGGGGTGGGCGATGACTCGGGATATTACGGTACATTAAAGGGCAACTCTGCTTCATTTTTGGTTTTGAAAAAACAATGCAGTCCTCTTCACTATCGCCTAGGAAGACCACACGTGAAATCTTACGACGCAGTTCTGTCTAAATGTTTCTTAAACGGTCCGGCAAACTTTGCAACTCGCCAAGTTGCCGAAATCAGCTGACTTGAGCGGGCGAATTCAGGCGCAACCAACAGCGCAGTTAAGGCTACGGCATGGGCGGAGCCAACATTGAGCTAAACGCCATCTACATGGCCCCCTTTTGCTTGTTTTCACTTCTCCGGGCAAGCGTAGCGCATGACGTCAGCAACGTTGCCTCTCGACGCTCAGCAGTGTTCCCGTGATTGGCGTAACGCGCCTGCGCAGCGCGTTTCTTGGGAGCCGTCCGGCCGCCCGCCGTGGTCCCGCCGTTACCACCGTCTTCCGCGTCACAACCGCCGTCGTCGTCTCACCGATTGTGATTATCGTCTCTCGGAGTTTCGTCCACACTACGGACACCACGTGCGCGCACACTTATGCCGCAGTTGTGCAGACGTCGTTGAATGCCGTAGACACCAAAACGTGGCGAAGAGTGCGGTGCAGACACTCGCGCCTGCCACACGCCCGCCCCAATCCCGCCCGTCGTTGGGCCGAGGATCACGTGACATCTCGTACCACGTGATGGCCATGTACTTGGCGACCCGAGGCCAATGTTGCCGGGCGGAGCCGAAGTTTCAGTTTCGATTTCCGCTCGTGTTTAAAATCAGATTTAAAAATATATATCCCATTTTTCGCGAAGCAAACGACGTAGTGTGTTTTACTAGGGCTTTTTAATTCGAAATCAATCATTATCCCAAAATCTTCGGAATTGAGCGGAGTTGCCCTTTAATTGTAGCCCAGAAAAATTCACCACGCAAAAACCAAAGCGAATATGAACGTTGGCATATTTGCACAGGCAGAAGAGTAATGAGAACAGTACTAGGACTGGTGATGACAGTAGGCGCTATGTATGACACAGGGTACTAAGCAAAATATACGTGAGAATGCAAATTACTTTTAACGCAGTTATGCATACACAAAACAGAGGACTAAAAAGGGGGATGTCGGTGGTGACAATGTGCAAATAAATATGGCACACAACTATCTGCGGGGTAAGAATCAGCATGGATATGTAGTGTTTGGTGAGCATCGCGACGTCATTTCTTCACAAGTGCTTATTTTTGCGCCAGTAGCCTGCTGGAAACGGGACGCGGGACGGACCAGGCTTGCGGGCCGGGGTTTGGAGACCCTACTTTGAAGAATAGGATGAGTCACTCCTGAAGGCAAAGAACGAAGAAAGATTCCCACCCTGGACGTCATAAGAGAGCAAGGCCAGTCTGAGGGCATCGCTGCCGCACTTCTCGATGCCGGAGGGGAACGCCTGCCGCTGGCACCTCAGGGCCGTGGCCAGTTCCTCCGGCCCAATGTAGCCTTGCCTCTGCAGCTCCCGGGTGCTCTCCTCCAGTTCCTGAACACGATCACCAAGACATCTGCCGCTCAAACCCAAGCAACGCCCAGGATCATACCGCTGACTGCTGCTGTCAGTGTTGAGTTTCATGGCATAACATCCCAAGTAGCACAATCTGGAAGGGGAGCTGACATGGGTCCCACTTGGGCAGCCCACGTGGGTCCCATGTCACTTTTGCGAGTCAGGCCCAAGTAGAGCCCAGTTGGGCAGCCCACCTGGGCTGCCTCGGGGGACCCACACAGGGCCTAATTGGGCAGCCCACGTGGGCTCCCCTCGTGGGATTCACAGCGGGCTTTTTCGGGCAGCCCACAAGCCCCCTGTGGGGCCCACAGGGGGCTTAGGTGGGCAGCCCACATGGGCCCCCCTTTGTGGGGTCCACAGTGAGTCTATGTGGGTTAAAGTCATTGGATCTGGGAAAGTAGCGCCATTGCCCTCCCGCCTGCTAGCCAGACACAAACAAATACCCACATACAGCTAACAAAACCTCTCAAGGTGATTGGCTGATCAGGATCAGTTGCCATGGTGATCGCCATTTTTGGCCTTTCAAATCGTTGAAGCTTCAAAAGGGTCGTTCCAACCAGTCGCACCAAGATCACTATGAAGTGCCATCATACTGAAAGCGTTCCTCGACCCATACAAGCGTCTTTGGCACTGTGCATGCAATAAACTTATCCCTTGTGCTTATCTCCCCAGATCTCTTACAATTATGATGTTCTTGCGTATTTCAAGACAGGAAAATTACTTTTATGCCTCCAAGCACTGATGCCGCATGTGATGACGTACATCTTCGTACCACCACATGCAACGTCAGTGCTTAGAGGCATAAAAACTAATTTTCCTGTCTTGCTCCCGGCAAGACAGCAAACACCAGCTCCACCTCCCTTTCCCCTTTCCCCCTTCCCCCTCCCTCCTCCCCCCCCTCCCACTTCTCTGCCACTTCCTCACACAGACTCAACAACCACAGGGCAGTTTTGATTGACCTCAAATTGGGATTGTGCAGTACCCCATACTTCGAAACACGTCTTCACTTCCTTTTTAATGTGAAAGCATTAACTGTCCCCTGGAGCGAGCTGACGTCATCAGCTTTGAAGTTGCACCAAACGGCACCTTAAATCCTTTCTCCAAGTGAAGCCAGCTCCCAGCTATGAAACCACGTGAAAAGCCTAGCCAAACAGCACATAGTTTCCCCAATCCGAAAGAAGCAGAGTAAAGCTGATGGATTTTAGCTTCGGTCCATTGGCTGGCGCACGTCGACGAGGCTCCCATTGGCCGCTGCGTGTCAGTTTCAACGACTGCCACCCCATGGCGCTGCGTGTCCGCGAGGTAGCAGCTCCACCGCTCCATGCCCAAAACCAGCGTGCGCGGTCGACCGTCGACGCAAGTAAAAAAAAGAAAGGAGCACAAGAGCGGCTTGCATGCTTTCGAATTCACAACTCATAAGAAGTGCTTAGGTGTACCTCGAGCCTTTTAGAGCGCAGCTCTTAGGGGCTCGTTTCCTGCTTGAGCGTCGTCGGCGTAACCGCGAGGTCTTGTGACCCCTCCCCTAAGGTCACCCCAAAGTCACGTGACCCCCCGAGGTCACGTGACCCCTCCCAAGGTCACCTCAAGGTTATGTGACCCCCAGAGGTCACGTGACACCCCGAGGTCAGGTGACCCACCTCCCTTGAGGTCATGTGACTCCCCCTCCCCGAGGTCACGCAACCCCCCCGGAGCATATTCGAGAATGAGGGGACGAGGGGGAGAATGGGTCTACCCTCCCCCAATACCCTTCCCTCGTCCTCCCCCCTCAGTACCCTTCCCTACTCATTCCTCCTCAAGAGCTGCGCTCTAATTCGGTGTTAGAGGGAGTTGTAAGCGGCTTTGACTTTTCTGTATCTTCTTCACCTGCCATCCACCATTTTCCTCCCTCCCTCTCACGACTCCCCCTCTAGCCCCCTCCATGTTGGCTTTGAGACGGCTCTGCCCACCACTGAAAAAGGTTGCCAACCCCTGGTCTAACGCATTATACACCACTCCGAACGAATTGCCTCTGAAGTTCTGCTTGAACAGCCAGTCAGCCTCTGCATAATGGAAACCGGCTCTGTGTTACTGCTGAGCCTATTGCTCTCATTTTGCAGACGCATCTCTTCTCCTTCCTCTTCATCCTTCTGTGCCCGCCGTCATCACTCCTGCGCCGCTTTGATGGTACACAAAGCCCAAAAGCGGGAGCCTTCATGGCGCATTACTTCACTTTGCTGTTGTCGAGCGCACTCCGAGAAAAGTCGCCGTTCCAAAAGCAGTCGCCGACTGCCCACATTGTGTTGCACGCTTTGTCGAGGCCATGTCTCAGGCTCAGACATGGTGCTAAGAGCTGGCTCTATAAATGCTATGTAAAAGATGTCACAAAAAAATATTCACAGGGTTTCTTTTATTGCAAAAATAAACTAGGCATTGCCAAACGCTCATTTTTCGCCCAAAGGTAGAGCTAGAGGTCACAACCAGATGGCAAAGCTTCAGCCCGAACGGACACCTTATTCAAAAGTAATAAGTGATTTTATGAAAATTTCAATGGGACAATGGTTTCTGGTGCCATAGAGCCCCATGTATTCGAAAACTCTGTCGGCCGCCATTTTTCCATTGAATTTTTCAGAAAATCACTTCTTTTGAATAAGGTATCGGATCGGGCTGAAACTTTGGCATCTGGTTTTGACCTCTAGCGCTACCTTTGGGCGGAGAATGAGCGTTCGGTGATGCCTAGTTTATTTTTGCAGTAAAAAAACCCTACAAATTTTTTTTTTGTGTGACGCCCTGTACAGTCGAGCCTCGTTATAGCAAATTAGCATCGGGAGCAGAAATTTGTTCACCATATGCGATATTTATAACGAAAGTACACACAAAAATTGACAGAAATGTTCTGGCAATCGAGCCCTTGCAAGAACATGCACAGCACTAAGATATAAAAATGCGCTATCGCGGACTACGAGAACCTTACCTGTCACTAAGCAGCCTTAAAAGAATAGATCGGAGCACGAAGATATGGCAACACGAGAAACGACGTTAGCTGGATTTATTATTTCATTTATTTGAAGACGTGATTTTGGGCTGGTGCTTCTTTACCTGGAGCCACCGCGCTGGAGCCACCCACTGCTCGCGCTGGAATCATCATGCCCTAACAGACACACCAGACTGATTGCTTTCGTTTGAAGAAGCTGATCAGACACCGGCAAATTTTGCGACGTTACGTCCTTAAATCATGAGAACAGAGCCTCTTCCACGTCCGGGTCGAGGCAAGGCCTAAGACACTTTCGGTCAGTCTTGACGGCATTGTTTGAATAGCAAACTTCGATCTTCTTCCTTGCACTCAGGATGGTAGATATTGTGCTTGGTGCGAGCTCAAAGTCCACAGTGATGTCTTCTCTTCCGACCGCTGTCCACCGCCCCCCAAAACCTTCACTTTTGTCTCCAGAGAGACAGCTTTTTGCTTCGTCGCCATTTGCAGCTCCACTTTGAGTGGCTAGGCTGGTGGTGGGCTTCAGTCTGCACCGGCTCTTGATGCCTCGCATAAAGGCCAGCAGCGGCACAACAACCGTTATTCGCTCGGTTCATAGGTGGCACTACCTCCCGTAACGCGCATTTTTGCACATCGGGCGATCTAAACTTTCAGAATCTTTAGTTTAGAAATTACTTTTTCTTATTTTTCTACTTTTTAATAACCTTCATAGTATTTTGTGACGCAAGAAAAGCAGGAATTGCTTCACTATAACCGATAGCGCGTCAGATTTCATGGTTTCGGTTTTGTTATATAACTAGAACTCCTATCCAAATAAAGCATGACCAACCAAACTTTGTGATTAGTTTGCTATATTCAATAATTCGCTATATCAGTCTTTGTTATAAAAAGGTTCAACTAGCGCACTTCAAGGAAAGTCACCGTTCCGAAAGCAGTCGCCGATTGCCCACATTGTGCTGCATGCTCTGTCGAGGACACGTCTAAGGCTCAGACAGAGTGCTAAAAGCTGGCTCTATAAATGCTATGTATTACAAAAATGAAAGAAAGAAAATCGCCTTGACAAAAAGCGAGTGAGCGAAAGAAATAAAAAAAATAGCCTAAGCAAAACAAAAGGGTACATGCACAAACCCAAGCCAGGTGGGGCAGCCTACCTCCAGGGACTTGCCGTGGACGACGTCGAGAGGGTCGATTACGTTGCCCAGAGACTTGGACATCTTGCGGCCCTCGGAGTCTCGGATCATGCCATGGAGCATCACCTGCAGGGGACACAAAGGACCCAAACAAAACAAAGAAAATGTGCCTCATTCCAATGCATGTAAATGCAGCATTCGTTAGAGCGGAGCTCTTACCGTAAAGTCGGTTGAGAAAAAAACTAATACTTACTCTATCAGTCATCTACTCTGCCAGTACCTCAAAAGCCTGTCCCAACATTGCGAGCTTACTATAACCTTTCTGCGCCATATTTATATATTCTTACTATACAGCAGAACTTTGTTACGGTGATGTGGCTTCCTGGAATTGTTTTTCTCAATCTGTCATTTAAATTGCTTGTATGAGCACTACAAGCTTATCGGAAGTTTCACAGTGATTTTGCTTTGCGGCAAAGCAAAGTTGTTAAAAACTGGTAACGCTCGTAACAGGCACTTGATGTAAGGATGAACCAAAAGCACAAATGTGGTGTTTCTTTTCCACCGGTAAAGCTCTTTTAAACTTTTTTTCACAGCTTTGCGCTTAAAGGTGCGGTGCAACTATTTTCGCACTGCAGCCCATTCGTTGTGAGAATCAGTTTCCAACACTTGCAGAATAAAAAGAAGAAAATCATTTCCACTTACGAAACAAATTTAAGTTTGTGGTACCCCTCGAGTATTATACAGTTTAAGCTCATTACAACAGACCTGGTTACAACAGACATTTGGTTATAACATACCGATATGTGAAGTTCGATTGGTTTTCCTCTATGCGCTATTGACTCAACTTCATATCTGCATACAACATACTCCTTTTACAACAGACTGAAATCTTGGTGAAAATCAGGGTCTGTTATAACGAGCTTAGACTGTACACCATCTTCCGAGTCATGTGCGCAGTGACATGAAAATGGGTGATGGAGAGTTTCAGGTCGCGTTCTCGAACACGCTTGTCGAGCCTTCCTTCGTTCTCCGGTAGTCCGGAAGTTTTCGCCTCGAATTAAAACGTTTTTCAAGCTCTAGTTCAACCGTTCTCAGAAATTCACAACCATTTTGGCATCACCGATATTCGTGGCGGGTAGCCGATCTCGAACGGGCAAGAAAATATAACAGTGCCCGTCTGCCACGAAAGCAACGGAGAAGAGATGGTTTTGTTGACTTGGGGCACATGTCGCCGCAGTCGCTCCATGAAGTGATTCAAGACAATAATAAGAGGCATACATTCATTTAAGTCTAAATGATGAGGTTTATTAAACTTAGCTAGGGAGATCATGGCACAATTTGCTAATTCACTACGGGGTAACTCGTGATGACAACATGCAGTGGTTCCCACGGACACCACACAAGGTCGGGAAATATACTGTCGAGACCGGCTATTACGAAATAGTGGCTAAAGCGAACGATCACGATTTCCCATTCCCCTTTGCACTTGTTCAATGCATTTGTGTCTGTTTGTAGCGAAAGAAATTAAGCAACTCCCGCAGATGTAGCCAAAAAAATTTTTTGTGACAATTAAAGAAGAAAAAAAAAAGAATCTGAAACTTTACTAAGTCTTGGACTACCACACTTTGCTGGCGCAGCCGAGCAGCCACCCAGAACAGGCCACAGACAGTGCTACAAAGGCCGCCGGTGACAGCTCTGCATCATCGTCTGCTCCACGCTCCTTATCTGGGAAGCTGCTTTTCTGCATCACATGCAGAGAACCTGTTGTGGCATTCCGATAGGGGTGTTCGGAGTGCTAGCAACAACGTACCGGCGGAGATGACGAAGAGGGCCTAGATTTAAGAGGGACCTCCTCCGACCATTGAGAGCATTCGAAATTTAAGGGCAGACACCTCCTGGGCAGATTGGTGAGAGTACACCTGCATTTGATTGTCGCGTGACCAGTGTGGGGAGGGGACTAGGCAAAGAGACAGACCCATTTGCAGAAGGTGAACGCTTTTGAGTTTTAACTCCTTGCATGCTGCAGCTCGTTTTGCAAACGAGGCCCAGAAACCACGTGGCCCCGATCCAGCAGTTGACCCTTCTCTTAAATCTATACCAACAAAACCAACGAAAGACGAGCTTGAGCGTGAACACGGTGCCGTGCGCGCTTTGTTTGCTTCATGTTCCATATCAGCCTCGCTGGTCGGTGTGGTAGCTCTGGCGCAAAAGTCTAAGTTCGCTCAAGTACCCATTTGGTGAATCACTGCAACACAACGATGGAGAGTTCTGGCACCGCCGGCCCCTCGACGGGGAAGACAAAGGCAATCTTCTTGAAACAAAAGCATGCCATCTTCTACGAAATTAGCATATACTTTACGTATATGCTAATTTCGTAGAAGATGGCATGCTTTCCACCGCCGTCCACCGCAGGCGTCCTCCGTGACGGCAGTCGCAGCTGTTGACATGGTCCATACGTAGCTCACAGGATCTTTTCTCGATAAGAGCTTCTCATAGTTGGCGAAAAGCAGCTCCGATCTAGCAAAGCGTGTGGAGGGAAGCCTCGATTGCTTTCTGCAGGCACGATAAACGTGTGACCCTAACAACCCGTTCTATCTTTTTTTTTTTTTTTTTGCGTGTTACTTTTATGGGTAAAAAACAAATAAGCGGATATAGCGAAGTGATTTCCGATTCCCGTTGACTTCGTCATAACCGGTATCGACAGTAGTCAGGTTTTTGCTTTCCGATTACACAATAGGATCATGACATTCTGAGGAAATCCGAAGTGTTTCCTTTTACTTGTACTAAGATAAACAAATAAAAGTAACATGCTGCAGATTCCAGCAGCTTTAAAATAATAGTACTGCCCCTTTAACTCTGTTGATCTTCCGAGCTACCCAAACCAACAATATTTTCTTGATACCGAGGCTTTACTATTTTCGGCATGCTATTTAGTAACTCTAGAGAAAAAATGGTTACTGTGAAAAATGGAAATGAGGGCAATGCAAAAATCAATGTTTTAGATTGATTGCCCTTTTGAGTGCTACGACATCACTGGTGGGCAGGCTGGCAGGTCAGACAGGCAGTCCAGAAAACGGAGTATGCCGTGCATTTGTATCGCGGTGCTGAGCAAGTGTTGGAGAGAGCTTCTACGGCATTCATTTCACACCATCAAACTTACTGTGATGTGATAGGAATAAGTTTTACTGTCCGAACAATGAACAATGAAGCTGCCACTGATGTCACTTGTTTAGGGCTATCAGTAGGAACTTTGTTTTAAAAACTTTCAGCCTTTTTACTTTGGTGAAGGAAGACCAGCGAAGCTGTACTATGGTGGGAATGAAGTAATGGCCGGCCGCAAGTCGGCAAGCCAGAGTGGAAAGGCTGTAAAGGTTGCCGCCATCTATGAATGACGGCGGTAACCAGGCAATCGGCAAGCCGGTTGTCTGGTTGCTGCCGTTGCTCTTAGATGGCGATAACTGTCCAGAGTTTCGTGTCGTCATTTGTTTGCTGACGAACACGATACTGGGGAAATTAGCCCTTAACAGCTCCGCTGTTAATTTTGAAATTTCGGTGCAAATCAGGGACCTCTTGGAAAGATGAGAGAGTAACCCTTTACAGCTGCTAGCAACTTTGAAACTTTTATAACAAATGCAATACTGCTACTATACCTTATTTACCAGATTCCAACGATTCAAATGCACACCCAGTTTTTATACGGCAAAATAATTATTCTATCATGCCCCCAATTTCAGTTTCATATCTATCTCGTAGGCAGTTTATAGGTATATTTTTCTCAAAACAAGGTGCAGGTTAAAATTGGGTAACTATGGCATCAGCATCTTAACTCACACCCGCGCGTTTGTAAAGCTCACACACTACGACCGCAGCTTTTTTCCAACCCCAGCGTCGGACTTCGTCGAAATGGAAGTGGGCCCGCACCTTGTGGAAGGGCAGCTTCCCGGTGAGCTGTAGGGTAAGGGCCACCATGCGAGCCACCCAGAAGAACAGGATGTCGTGGCCGGTCTCCATCAGCGAGAGCGGGAACCAGCTGGGCAGGGGCTGCGCACGGCCGGATTTTGACGCCCATACTTGACTTTGGAAACATTAGTGTCAAAACAAATTCATTGATATGTTTTCCATGGGTCGGTGTTAAAAAAAAGCATGATCTGGGAAAACACAACTACTCATAACTAGGGTACATAACGTACCTTATTCATCATGTAACTAGGGTACATGACGAACAATAAATGCCAAGATCACGGAACCTACTCATAACCCTTTTAGCGGCCTACGGATCAGACAGAAGACGACTCTTGCACGGCAATTTATTATACAGCCCCCAACCCTTTCCTTGATGCTACAGGATGTACACACGCGCAGCGCGCGAACAGTGCATTCTGGGTTTGTTGCTGGTGACACGCATGATGGTCGGCTACTTGCACCAAGATGGGGTCTAGAAAGAAGGAGGAAAGCAAAATTGCAGACTCCCAGTTTTTTTTTTTTTTTCTCTCAATCTTGTAAAGAAACTAACTTGCTAGTGCAAACATACTTAGCCGCATTCTGTGAGAATGGTAATAGCCTAACAATAGGAAATACCAAAGTAGATTTCGACAAGTACTGAATGTATTCGAGACACTCTGTATTGGGCAAGTGTCGGCGCAATTTCATTTTATCCGACATTATTTGCTTTAATGTGCCACAGCAGTGGGCTAGGCCTACTCGCGGCCAAAGTTCCAACAATTGCCGTGAGCTGGCAGACAATGGCGGTGACATTCTTTTGCCTCAAAGCAACCTCAAAGTTTTTCAAGACCAAAAAACTTTGGCAATGAAAAGATTCGGGATTGCTGCGATGCGTCGAAACATGTGCTCATGAACAGAGGTTTCTTTCAATGCTGCTCTTGCGGGAAGAAGCTCGCATTCGAGTCGGCTTAACCCGCTAACGCGACATGTTGAACAAAAGCAACCTGTGCTGACACTTACCCGAGAGGCTGAGGCTTTTGATTCACGCGAGCTGGTCGCGTTCTCACAAGCCGAGAGCGACAAAACGGTTGGCTCCTTGCACTCATGTGTTCGTGCTGTTGAATTCTCCTAGTAAGCCTCGGGAGTCCCAACTGTGCGGCACGACATTCAACCACAAAAGCGGGTTCGTCGTTGCGACGCTAGCCGCCATATTTACTAGCATAACGAACACACTTTGTTTCCTGAAAAATTTTTGCATTTACACACTTAGTGCAAATGTCACATTAGGTACCAATGTGACACAGCAAGGTACTGTGGCACGTTTCCACTAATGGAGGCGCACCCATGGCTGGTCGGGGGCACGCCACAGTAACCATGCTTTATAAATTGCAAACCTTTTGAGGGCAGCGTGCCTTTTGCAGATGGAAAAGCGCCCTATGAAGCTCACTCAGCACGGAAAGCAATGTGACCGTTCTTAGGCGATATATATTGCTAGTATTTGGTGGCATACTCAGGTATATACCACGACTACGCTTATAAGAATTCGTACGAAGTCGAACCGCCGACCACCAAGGCCCCCTCGCACGGATCAAGTTTCGTTCACAGAGACGGCTGTTACCAGGGGCTACCAGACACTCTCAACCTAAGACGCAGCGTGCACCTTGCTGTACAGTCCTCTTATGGACCAAATAAACAGATTTACTTTGAGTATATGAAATTAGGCCTAACCACTTTCACGATGTCACTGTCTAAAAGCAGACCACAGACGACGGCGTGTTTGTTGACATCAATGCATCCGATAGGCGAAGAATGTCCGGGGCTGGGCAATGCAGAGCACAAGTTTGTCTGCTTTTTTTGCAGGGGTTGTGATGACGTCAGAACGCCGAGCGCTGATTGAAGGGATGGGGAAATCAAAGCAAGCTGCCTTGAGGTCTACCCAATATCCTTCAATCAAAGCCAATCAGAGATCGGTGTTCTGATGTCACCACAACCCTTGCAAAAGAAGCAGACGAACTTGCACTCCACGAACTTGCACTCCACTCCTCGACCCAAGCTTCGACAAGTGTGCGTGCCGCTCAGTTTCACGTTTGATCACTTCCGCAATTACCACAACTATGCACTTGCAGCAGCTTGCGGCCATTATGAGCGGATCGGCTTGGCTTGAATTGGCCTGACCACTTGGTGGCAAAAGAAAATTGGCTTGATGGCTAGCTAAATTGGACGTAATAGACTACTTCCATAAAGCCCTGCATGCAACACGGCGTGCGTTGCAGTCTGGGAACTAGTTGGCCAGGGAGGAGAGTGGCATGGTTTCAGTTTCGATCGACACGCCGACAAGAGATTATACACAGAGCGTGGAGCATTAACAGCCGTTATTTCATGTTTTCTGGTCCCGAGAGCGTCATTTGTGGTCTCTAAACTAACCTAAATGGCCAGACCTCGAAGCTTTAGCACAAGCCCGAGACGTATAGCTTGTCTTAACACATGCTTGTTGTATTTTTGTACTTGAGCCTTTCTGTTAGCGTTTCGAGGGATGTGGACGAGCCAGTGCTGGGAATGTCGACGCTGCGAAGCTCGGGGATCTTGCTTATGTACCAATCAACAAGCTGTGGCAACCAATAAGTATGCATACATCGAGCTCGCGCCTTTACATTATTGTTGTTGATCAGGAATTTTGTTTGTTTCATGCGTCCATAGACGAAATATAACTTTTTGCAATTACTGTTTTTTTTTAATACGCCTGAGTACCCGAGGTACAACTCGGAGGCGCCATTGAAAAGCTCCATTTGAACACACTTCTCATCACTTATCTGTACTGCCCCACAGCACTGCACAAATTCGTGAAGTCCCCGCCCGCTTGCATTTCACTAATATTCAATATCGCGTATGCGCATAACATTATCCTGCAATCGTATAGGCTCATTCGCACATACAAACCAAAGTCGAGCACTTGTGTGAAAAATGTCACACCGTTCGCCGGCAGTACGCCGGACGGGCATGAACCCCTATGCGGTGCCCCAAACGAACGAAATTATTCAAAGTGCATTTGATGGTTGCTAATGGCCATAATATGTGTTATCTGTTTGCTTTCTTCCTGCCTGAGTATGCCGAGATAATTTCAGACACACCGTTCAGGCACAGATCTTGGGCGTCAGTAAAAGCTCGTCCAAAAAGGCTTAGCGAGGTGTAGGGGACGCTTGTTAGCGCCTCCGTCGTAGCTAGCCGATCTCAGCGTTTGCGAAAACTTAATCTTCTATCAGCATAAAATTTGAGTGGGAGGTGATGATACGAGGAAGACATCATAGTAACCTTGGTGCAGACTGCAGTAGTGAGGTCGAATTTATGGCGTTTCCTTAAAACTTCATGCGTCAACGCTGGTCTCAACTTTGATACTCCTGTGAGGATGCAGCTTGCTTTTCGCCCAATGAAGTAACAAGAAGCGGACGTTTGGCAAACAAAATACGTGCAAGGCTCCAGGTGATCAAATTTCAGTTGTAGTTCACTGGTACTAGACGGGATGATTGAAATTGAACTCAAAGGTAAGGTGACCAAGCCACGTCTTACTACGTTTGCATATGCACTCATAATATCCGGTGTTTCGGAAAGCAAGAAAAGTGCCCCGGTCTTCGTTTTGTATCGCTCGAGAATGAGTGTATTGTACGTTCGTAAAAAGTTAGATAATCGAAAACGCAAGCAGCGCGTTCGGTCGCGGCGCGATAGCATGAGATGGAGCTGCTCAATCGAAACCGAAACTGAGTGGCCAACTAGTTCTCAGAGTGCACTGCATAGTATTTCGCCGCGATGGGGTGCGTCGGTTTTGGAAGAAGCCCATTTAAGAATCACGAAGCTGAAACTTGAAAGCGCGTTGATTACGCAAGGGAAAAAAAAGTAAAAATATTAGTCCCCGTTGTGGGGGTGTGATCATTATGCGAGTGCGTTCATTATGCGAGTAAATATGGCATGTTCCTGGAGCACAAGTCAAACACCAGACACGTTGATAACAGCAGCAATGTTAATTCCGACATGACAGCAATAATACCAACAGTGCTAAATGCTGGCAACCGCCGTCGAAGTTGGAAACATACATTGGTCGAACGATCGGTCAAAAAGAAGCTTGATTACGAGGTGTTCACTCACCATCACCAGATAGTCAATAGTGTCACCCCAAACAATTCTTCCAGCACGCTCCCGACTACCACGCAATGAGCCAAAGCCGCCGCTCCAGGAGTCCCCAACCAAGGTGCATTTCCCATGGTTTCCATTAGTTTTGTTGAGATACTGGGGCTAACTGGCCAATAGGAGCAAAGTCATGTGCTCCTATTGTTCGCGGGCCCGGAGATGCCCACTCGTAGGAGGAGAGCGGGGGGGGCGTCCCATCGGGATACGGTACTGCCCTCTCGCTGGTGCCCCCCCCCATGGTAGCATGGAAGCAAACAGATGCACGTGCCACGCCAAATGTTCGGAACCACGGTTCCCACAATTCTCCCTGGACTTTCAGAAAACGAGAATTCACAACTTCACTTTCCTTCCCTTTTGTTTTGACTGCATCTAGGTGCAGCAGCCGACCATCACGCACGACACCGTACTCGCCCTGCAAAGTGCAGCGTTACTTGAAACAGAGAAAGATTTGCTGCACACCCTGTAAAGATGATACTTATTGTTTAAGGCTTTAATGAAGATATGAACCTTTCTGTACTATTGTTAAATGTATGTCCCTACCCACCACAGCCCAGCAGTGTCTAAAAATGAAATAAATACATAAATAAATGAGGTTGGTACTACGGTCACTTACACAAAAAGAATGGCAGGGCATTCCCTTTCGACCCCCGGCCTCCAGCACGCTTTCGCTGTCTTCTATTGTGCTTTGGCTGCTTGTGCACACTCAAAGCACACAAGACACGGAAGCACCACCGAAGGCACTGGAGGTAGGAGAACTTAAAGACCTCCCTGCCGCTCTCATATTGTCAGTGACTAGAGTTCTTCACTTTACTTTTCAAGAAAACACCGGCGTAGCACATTGCATAAAAATAAAAATAAAGTTGACAAGCACTCAAACGACTTGAGCGCCTCGCACCAGAAACAAGGATGCCCCACCTATTGCCTGCTTTCTTTTTTCGTTTTAGTTGCTCTGTTTGTTGTTTTTTGTCTCGGGACAACCGACATCGGAGCTTTAATTTTGCCGCGCCCTGCTTCCGTTTTCGCCGCCCTGGTGTGACTGGGGTCACCTGCAAAGCGTACCTTCTCCGGCCAGCCAGAAACTGCCAGAGGAAACAAGGCCGAGGAAAACCACGTGTCCAAGACGTCCTCGTCTGTCGAGAGAGGAAAGACGTCGTCAGATCCGACGACAGCTTCCGACTCGAAAAATCCCGAACCACACCGAAATCAAGCAACGTGTCATGCAGCATTTAAACTCAACAGCTCATAAAAATATTTCCACGAGCTCGATCATGCTGACAAAGAGAGAGAAGCGCGGAATCTGTTGTCAGTGGATTGAGGAGACCAAACTCGGTGCTTATATAGGCACTTCTTCTCATATGGTTGTAAACAGTGGCAGATTCAGGGGGGCCGGGTGTCCGGATGTCCTGACCCCCCTCTTGAACTCTGCATGTGTAAAAATTTAGGGTGGGGAAAAGGGAGAGGGGGGGGGTTCTCAAACAAATGATAGGCTGAACCCCTCCCCCCTGGAAATACCTGCGTCCACCCCTGGATGTAAGGTAATATGTGGTATAACCCTCCCCTGGTAAACCTAATAGATTTTCAAGGGAGGGGGAGGGAGTCCCCCTCCCTTGAAAATACCAGCGTCCGCCCCTGGCTGCAACGTAATATGTGACATAGTTTTACGCCAGATGAGGTGATCCATCACGTGTTATGACGTAAAGCCAACTGTTAGCTGCTCCCCTATGCACCTGCTTCTGAAGAAGCTACTCTTCACGCAGCTGCACTGCATAGCTCAGTCGGCTTAGTATCTGGCTGAGAATCGATTGGCCAAAATTTCAAACCCTGACGGGAGTGTTTTCTTAAGTTCATTTTCAAATGGGCACTGTAGGCCTACATGCTTTATACGAGGTGCAATCCAAAATTACCAAGACCAGTTTTGTAGCGTGAAAAGAGAAGGCAGCGTGGTGATCCGCACGCAGCTCTCGAAGGCAGGGACCTTTATGTCCCGTTATGCCAAAGGGCGTCATTCTGTGAACATTCGAAGCTGCGCTACGCGAGTTTTTCTGACCCCGTGTGCAAGAACTATGGTGATTTCAGCATATACTGCAAACCAGATCCACAGCAAACGTCAATGCTCTGGCGAACTCAACAAATCTTTAAAAAAAAGACCCTCGAAATGATTCCGCAGAGTTCTAGCCAAAAAGCAGTGAGGCATGAAAGATATTTTGAGTGGCACTCAGGCTTCAGGAATGGCAGAGCATCGCTGAAGGAGAGGTTGGCCCCTTGGCATAACGAGACGCGAAGGTCCCTGCCTTCAACAGTTGTGCATGCATCACGGTGCTGCCCTCTCTTTTTACGCTACAAAACTAGTTCCGGAAGTTTTGGATCGCACCTTGTATATGACTTTAAAATGGTTGAGCATGTCGATCAAGGGTGTTGGACAAACCTAACGGATTTTTCAAAGAAGACGGCTTATAAAACCTATCCTGTGTTAAAAGATTGCCATTAAGAAGTAAAGCCTAGTTTGCACGAGCCGTGAAATGCCTTGGATCTAGGAGTATGTTTTGAAGAATAGAATATATGATAAGAGACGTTATGCAGCTGGAAGATAACCAGGCATTACACTTTAAAGGGTTTCTGACACCTTGAAAGTATTTTATTGTCTCAAATGCTTTGCACTGATGTCATACAACAAAAAAATATTGCAATGCAGAAAGAAAATTTCTAGCCCACAGATACTTACTTTGTTTTTTTCTGGTCACATGTGGTGACAAAAACAGCAAAGAAATTCAGATGCCTGCAAAGTTACTTTTACACTTTTAGGGGCGAAGCTCCTTAGGGTCTAGCCTTGTCCGTCTGTCCGTCCGGCCGCGTCCGTGCTCACATAAAAAGAAAAAATGTTTGCGCAGTCGACAGGATTCGAAGCAGTGCGGGGAGACCCCAATGGATTTCTAGTCCATCGCCTTAACCACTCGGCCAAGACTGCGGGACGAGTAGGGGGCTCCGAGATATGGTAGTGACTCAAGAGCTGGGGTTTCAGTCATGGATGAAACGTTGCATGTAGCCGTTCAACGTCTATACAGGAGAGGGCGCTGCGGTCAAATGCGTATATAATCGCGTTAAGCTTTGCATGCATTGGCTCAACGTTTACAGACGAAAGGGCGCTGCAGTCAAATGCTCAAATGCGTATATAACCACGTTCCATACCAGACATCCTCTTTCTGACATGGACAGTTGACTTAAGCGGTGGAGATGCATTCCCACGGCTTCTAGCGGATCCAAGCTGATCCGCTAGAAGAACCACTGGCTCTGCATTTCACCGACCATAAAGCAGTACTAATAATGAAGTCAAAACTCAACCCGGAACTCAGCACTACCTATGAGCAATAAAAAAAAATCAGCATCATCAGCACTACCTTCAGCACCACAGAGCTTTGCCCCAATCAACATCATTCACCACGTGGAGATGCGGTCATTTTTTTACTAATGATTTTCATAAGACATACCTTCTATAGCCATAGCAAATGAACTAACTATGCAGTGGGTTTTCAAATATCAAAATCCTTGCCTTGCTTTCTGCTTGCTCTCAATTCTCTTGTCAGCACCGGCCAAGTATTCAGGTACCGGTATGAAAAATAGGAACTAAAAAACACAGAGTCTGTATGACAAAATAAATCCCCTTCTTATACACCATGAAGGTTTGTCTTCCACTCACGATACTTCTCAGTACACTTTTCGTTGAGGACTGTCATTCAATCAACAAAATTCATGACTGCACAAAGTTGCAACACTCGTGGTTGCAAATATAAAGCAATGAAACCATAGTTTCCCCAAGGTTGCATACAATAGACTATTCCAGAAATATGTAGTGCCTTCCATTGTTTCTTCTACGCGCTATTGCAATTCAATGTATTGTGCATGCAGGGGTACCCATGAATAGAAGTGATTTATGTTTGTTTAGCATTTTGCGATTTCAGAATACAAAGGAAGCAGGACGATAACAATGCAGGGGTTCCATATCAACTTTAAAACGCGTTCCCACAGTTTCTTTTTTTTTTTTTTTTGGCGTTTTTAACTTGCAGCAACATGAAAGAAGCAATTTAGCCACTTTCTAAATCTACAGAGCGTACAAACGGGCCCAAGCATAGGTCAGAATGGCCACACGATTCTCCGTGCCAGGCAGTGCAAAGTGGGATTCACGAGAGGCCTCGTGAAATTTTCCGGAAAGGTCTACTAAAAGAAGCAAACTAAAGTTGCGTTGAAGCATGAAATCGCTGTGTTTCATGGGAACAACTGTTCAAAGTCCTCCTCCAGTTGTTCCACTGAACTGCAGTAATGAATATTACAAGTGAGAATACAGCACACGGGAGCAGAGGGAAAGGCCACCTTGTTTCAGGCAAACGTCCTCTCGAGAGATTCCCAACCGTGCCGCGGCCTTGCTAGCCGCCTCCTCTTCTGTCATTCCGCTGACCCAAGTCTCCTCCTGCAAGACCACTGCAAAGTCAGAAAGACTACGCAAACACTGGCGGTGCAAACATTGGTAACCCAGCCCTTACAAAGACAGAACGATCATGGTTCATAGCAGAAAAGAGCTAAAGTAGCTTATGCTCTGTTTACTGACTCAGTTGATGCTGACTGATTCGGAAGACCTTGCCTACAGCAGTGTTAATACAACACAAAGCTATTTTGGGCTCTCTTTCACCACAAAAAAATGCAGGAGAGACCCTTTTGGAAATATACAGAACCCTTTCAGTTTTCTGAAAGCATTACGGCAATCCGATGTCTGGCGTGTGAAAGAGTACTCAAGAATAGAAGGAGCTGCTTATGTAAGTTTCATATTTTACAATTTTAAAACGCAAAGATGGTATAACAATAAGAAAACAGGGTATGCAATGACTATGTAATGTGTTTGTTTTGACTCTTTTTAATTTTTTTTGCGTTCTGAACTTGCAATGTAAGACAAAAGGGATCACACTGTTTCCAGGATGTGCGGAGCAAACCTCGGAAGAGCCCCACAATGTCCCGCACAGCACGGTGCGACGTGGGGTCGTTGAGAATCCTTATGGAATGTTCCAGGAAGGTCTATTTAAATCTGACAAGAGTGTGACTGCACACCTTCTATCACTACCGTGTCTTGAAATACCTCGGATAGACTAGTACTTTACGCAAAAGTGGTTGCGCTTCGATTCTGATGAGTTTAAGAGTTCAGGATGGAGTTGGAATCAGTTCTTGCAAAGCAGGTGGTGCCCATGCAATAGACCGTTTGTAAAACAAGTGCCGTAGTGCTCTCCACCATTGTTCAAAAGGTGTTCTGGGTTGTACAAGTTCCACAGCAGAAATCTGCTGCTGTGCTCTCACAATCAAAGCAGCTACTGCGGGAACCCATAAGAATGTTTGTCACCAGCTACAAGAATGTTTGCAGCCCAGAACTCTCGGCCCATGCCAAAAGTTTCTCAGTCGTGTGGGGTATATGGGTAGCAGACGACGAAGGCAACAAAGAGGGTGGACGATAGTAGACAAGCCACTGCGCCAATCTCTCTCTTTATCCTGTGTCACATGGAAGCTCCTATGGGTGTAAGATTTGCCAGGAGCGTAGAAGACGTTCCCACAAATCGTCATGCACCTTCAACTTATTTTTTAATTTTTTTGCAAATGTTTTCGTTTGCCCATGAAAGTACTCGGCAACGTTAGTTAAGGGTCTGCACTTACAAAATACAAAGAGGTGCATCTATGTTTTCAAGTCCAGCTGTTGGGACACTCTTCTCAATGAGGGTAGGGGGCTGGGCCAGCGCATAAGCTTGACAATATCTGCCTATGGCAGTCCGACCGACAGCATCATACTTGCATCCAAGTTCTCGTGCAATTAAGAAGCACTGCGGTTGTGTCCAACAGGAAACACCCTGATGCCAGATTGTCTTGGACTCAAGGGAATGTGGTGCTTGAGCGGGAACTTTGACAATCGAAAAATCCACAATGAGTTGTGCCGATGAACAAACATACCTCTGCATTGAGAACCCTGTAGGCCGGGATACGATGACCCCACCAGAGCTGCCGCGATATGCACCAATCCCTGCGAGAACCAAGCCGGTGGCACTAGCGGTGCGTGAGAGTGTCTAGTATTGGACACACTGGGAGAGTGCTTTCTTTGTGCGTGATTTCAGACTGTTCCAGACAAAGCTTGCATGCCAAGGTCCCAAGCAGTATGTGGTCAAGTTACAAGTTTTTATTTATGAGCATCAATAATAAGATACTAAGATCGAATTTTGCCCTAGGCCCTTTTGTGTTGGCTAAAGGAAAACTAGCAATTCTCAAGGCGAAAAGAAATGTCAGTTTCTGGCTAGAGCTGCCCTTTAAGAGTAATGCCTTATACTGACAACAAAATGAAACAAAAAAAAAAAGTAAAATACTTTGAGAAGGGTTGGGAGAACTAAGGCACATCTGGAGTTTTGAGCAGAGACACTGTGGCATTGGGGCCACCAGCTGAAGGCCCGTTCACACTCTTGCGACCGAGTTAGACCGAGAAACACCAGACCGGTTTTTAAGCCTCTTGCGACTTCTTAGGACCAGCTCCGCTGCATCGCATCCGGTCCTAAGAAGTCGCAAAAGGCTTAAAAACCGGTCTGGTCTCTCTCGGTCGTACTCGGTCGCAAGAGTGTGAACGAGCCTTAAGGGTCACAAGTTTACATTTTTAGCTGCACTACACAGTGCACGTTATAATGCAACTCAGATTCCTGTAAAACGCTTAGTGTGATGAAAGGGCATTACACTAAAATTCACCAGTATAAAAACACTCCAGAAAGAGTTCCTCGGGTTCGAGTCAGATGCTCAACCAACTGCCAAATACGTGTGGTAAAAGTGAGCTTCAAATGTTGTCACAAAGCAGCAAGAGTGCTTGCATTAGTGGCGGGGGAGTGTGCAGAGGGCAAGGGAGGAATTAAAGAACAAGCACATGCTTCAAGGAAATGGGGGGAGTCCTAAAGCTTGGGCATTCGACTACAAAAGGCAAACTTCACGTTCCACCCCCGCTGCAGCACTAGCTTTGGCAGGGCTTTCCTTCAGTCACTATGCGCAACAATGTTTACACCTTCGAGGAATAAATTGCATACCAAATTCATCAGCGCAAAATCATTGTGAAGCAACACACAACACATGCTGTGTTACCACTGCCTTTGCCAATTAACAATGTGAAAAAGGGGCAAGTCTTTTTTTCTTTTTTCTTTGCAAACAAGCATTTTGTGACATTGCACAGCCAAATTTTTTAGTAAACAATCTTTAGCTCAAACTCCTGCAGACGCTCAAATTCAGAAAGCAAAGTGCACATTGGTATACATTAGTTAGACCAACATCAGTTTGCCTACATTCTTACTATAGGCAGAGAGAAATGGTCTTTGCAGGGAAGAATAAATACCAAGACAGACAGCTTTCTGTCTGTTCGTATTTTCAACCCTACGCCATCAAAGAAATGGGGACTCACTCTGGTTTCGAGAGCCACTCGCTCCAAGCCTTTCTCCAGTAGGCCGGGGTAATGCTGAGATGCCCCTCCTCCATGCACTGTGAGAAAGTGTCCATAATGAGCGTGCAGTTTAACATATCATTTCCACATATTTATATATTTATTTATTACATACTGTGGACCTTGGGATGGTTCAAGCAGGAAGGGCAGTAAACATATTAAGAAAAAATAACAGTACAGTGTAGACCGCATATAACGTATGTCAAGGGAGTCGCGAAAATCCGCACTATAAGCGGTACCGCGCTATAACCAAAACATCAATTTTTCAGGCCAAAATACATGCCATGAGACAACTTACCTTTGTAAAACAATTTATTTTATATTAGATGAAGTAGTTTGAGGAAAGTCTTTATTTCACCAGACTAGTACACTTCTCTCTCAAGTGTGTCACACATTTTGAAAGAAATGAGCGACTTTTGCCTGGCGCAGCTTTTTAGCTGCATCGCGGGTTGCGGACGGACATTGCGAGCGTTCAGGATTGCTAACCGTAATCACTTTTCTCCGCAGATGAAAACGCGTGAAAATTTGCATCCTTCATACGGTACGCGCCAGTAATACCTTGAACTTGAGCACACGCATGAAATGCGCCAAATAAGAAATCCGGGCGATGTTCAAGGACACAAATGCTTAGAAATCACCACTGTAGTCGAAGTGAACAAACACGACGACACTTTCGCCGTCTTGAGAGCGCCGCCACGACATCGCCGCACGAGTAGGTGGATCTTCCCTTCTAGTACGCGCTGGGTTATCATAGCGATACACAACGAAAATTCACAGTCAAGGATAGCGCTTTTACGCGGAACGATGAGATGAACGCCGTCTACGACGACGATTAACGCAGCGAAGGGATGCACGCACGTGATTGACACGTGCGTGCGTCCCTCCGTTGCTATGGCAACTGAAGCCTCTCTTCGCTTCTCCCCACTTCTTCGAGCAACCTCCTTGCCCCGCGAGTTCTGCTTGCGGCTAACGCTGTCAGCGCCGTTATCTAGTGTCGCACAGGGAAGCGTGCTCGCTGCTCCGGTCGTCGGCGCGATCGGCGGGCTGTGCCAGAAACCGCAACCAATATTTCCTTTCGCGTGCCTGCATTTTAAGCGGTATGTAATTACATGGAGTTCTATGGGAGGCGAACCGGTGGTTTAAAAAAACCGCGTTATACCCGGTCCTGCACTATAAGCGGTTACATTGTAAGTGGTCTATACTGTAATACAGCACCGCAACAAATCAGCAATGAACAGTTATGTGAATAAAAATATGCAAGCGAGCAAGATTTTGAAGAAATACAAACACACACACCATTACTATAATCCTAAATTGATTAAAGGGCTGAAACACGCACAGAAAAGGGAAAGAACACTTGTAGAGTACATTTTGAAGTGATGATGCAAAATTACTTAATGATATAATATTGCAGGGGAGAGCATTTCATTCATTGACAGTGAGGGAAAAAGGAAAATTTCAACATATTAGTATGAGCAAAGTATGGTGTTGAAAAGTGCTAATGATGACACTTAGTACAGTAATCCCTCGTTATAACAAAATTGCTTTTCTCTAGAGGTGTGCGAATATCAAAATCTTTCGAGGCAAATCAAATCGAATATAAAGGTTATGAATCAAATCAAATCAAATCAAATATTTTTGAATATGAATAGTAGTTTCGAATAAAAACATTTTTGAAAACAAATATTTTCAATTTGATGTGAATTAAAGAAGGATGATAAATCCAAACACAACTGGAATTTTTGTTTTCAATAAACATTAAAAAAGGTTACTTTTACTGCAACAAGAAAAATGTCACACATGTGATTGCTACAAAACAGATGAAATAAAACATCAGGCAGTAAAATGCCATTCAAGAAGTGAAGTTACAGAACGTAAGTAAAAAGCACACAAGTGGAGACGGGTCGGCAAGCCACAACATGGTCGAAGATCGCATAACGGACGAACGCAACCACGTGAGCGTAAACAAAGGTACACGAGCGGTGGCGGGTCGGCAGGCCACAATGCAGGGTCGAAGATCGTGCCACGCAGCTGCACCAACTTTGTCCAATCTCTTTTTATGCAAGTGAACGCAACCACGTAAACATAAACGGAAGTACACAAGCAAAGGCGGGTCGGCAGGCCACAGCAGAGTTGGATATCGTGCGATCGCACCACGCAGCCACTGATTATATTATTATTTTAATTTATTTGCACTATTTCTTTTCATGTGTAACAGTTTTGCCGATAGAGGGTGCCACAACGAAGCAATAAATTAAGAATATGTTTTTTGTTTTTTTTTGCGGAAGGAGCAAGTCTCATTTTTACCAGTGAAGACAGGTAGAAATAAATAACAAAAGGAATACTGGCGAATTGATGAACCGGAAAATCAAGCAGAAAATAACACAACTCAGATATCGCCAATAGCCGAGGCCAGCCGTAAGTCCACATCCGAATCCATAGAGCCTTGACTACTGTAGTGACTGTAGTAAGGACTGTAGTGGGTGTGGTCTGTCACCTTTGTACTCAGGACGATGCATGTGTGGTTGCAAACCGTAGTCCTTGATCAAATCTATTGCAGCGTTTGTGCCACGACCACTTCGCCAACTCCGCAATCCAGAAACCATGGCAAAAAAGGACAGATTGCGCTGCCACGTGCAAGTAACTTTCCAGTGCTTCGTATAAAATAAAAGACACCTAAGTTGGCTTTTTCGGTTTGCCAAGCTTGAAAGCATACTGCGCAGTCCAGAAACAAAACAGGGAACTCGAATGCGAGTTGACAGTAATTAGCAAGTTGCGCATTATTCATCGTTTTCAAAGTATTCAAATAACTAGAATACTTTGAACAGTGGAAGTGCGAAGCGAATCAAATCGAATTGAATAGCAAGCATTATTCGCAAAGTATTCAAAGTTGCGAATATTTGCACACCTCTACTTTTTTCCATGTATCCCTTTTATCGAATTTCAACGTGGTTCCGACCGAAATGCACGCATTTTGAACCAGAATATTCAAAGTGTATAGGCAGCCGACCATGCTTATTACAAAGGCCGAGGTGCCAAAAGCATGCAAGCCTACACTGAGGCGGACGGAGACCCTTGCATTCCCTCCGTGTTCTCCACGAAGAAAACTGGCAAACAGGGAAAACGGCAAACAAGAAAACAGAGCAAACGGGTGACGGAGGGCAGAGCGCACAGAGTGCCACTTCCAATGCCGCTCTGCCGTCGCAGCCAGGGAGCAGCAAGAGCAGCGTCCACATTCCGACGCCTCACGGCACTCGCAACCAACGCTGCCCAACTCTTGTCGGAATTGGATCGCGAGAGAAATAGAGCTCAGAGAAGATCATCCATTCGGGAGCCCCCGACACACACATCTGCGGCGTACTACATGCACACGTGCGTCGTGTGGGAGAGTGGGTGTGTTTACTTGTGTTTATTGAAGGTCGCATAGATCTGCGAGGTTTAGAAAAGTGGCCGGCCCAAGTCCAAAATCGTCAAAGAATTCAACATTTTGGCACTGGCTGTTCGACACTGTGAACCATTTTGCAGAACAAGCAAAGCATACTGGATGGGTTCGAGAAGTTTCTCAGGCAAAAGAAAGTGTGCCCGCGACCCGAAGATGAAAGGTCCCCAACTGCTTAGTGCACGTCTGATTTTCTCTCACGAGCATGCTTGCAAAGCTGGCATCCGATTCCCAGAGTTGCAACAACCTCTACAGGAGAAAGTGAAAACATGCTGACGAAGCCATTGAGCAACTTTGGTTCCTTCGTGCTTGTCGATGCAGACGTTCCTGTTGTTTCTCTCGCCACAGGAGCTGTGATCGTAGGCCTTGTGTGCGGCCAGGGTAAACACGAAGGGACTTCGGAGGCACCTCGGGAAACGCCGACGACAGAGAAGAGGCAAAACATTCCGCGGCTGCTTCGAAACAAAGCGGAGTGCAGCGGCGGCGCGGTGGTGGCAAGTGTTCTTGCGATGCCTGGAGCATTTCGAGAAGAACTGATACCCAGATAAAATTATCGGCAAACTCCACTGAATTCTTTTTTTACTCGGTAAAGCTGCCACATGTTGTTCATAACCAAGGTTTGTTTGATTAAATACAAAATGAGAGTGTTCCGTAGTGTTCCCAACCATCTTCAAGGTTGCTGGAGCTGTTTTTACAGCGAAGCTGTTATGTGCTAGGATCTGGAAAAAAATGTGTCCTCGGATGTCGACAGAAAATTTCCCATTGTTCATGGCAAGTATGAATAAATAAACATAAAAAGAGTAGGCAACCAGCATGAGTCAGCCTTCCTTGGCATTATTAGATAGTGAGATCCTGATCCTTTGTTACCATCTATAGGCATCATCCTCGGGATCGTCCTAGAAGTTGTCCTTGAGGTCATCCTAGAAGTTGTCCTCGAGGTCGTCCTAGACGTTGTCTTTGAGGTCGTCTGAGAAGTCGTCCTCGAGGTCGTCCTAGAAGTAGCCCTTGAGGCCGTCTTGGACGTCGTCCCAGAAGTTGTCCTTGAGGTCGTATGAGAGGTCGTCCCAGTCGTCGTCCTTGAGGTTGTCTTAGACATCATCCTCGAGGTCGTCCTTGAGGTCGTCCTAGACATCGTCCCCTAGACGTCGTCCTCGAGGTCGTCCTTGAGGTCGTCTTTGAGGTCGTCTTTGAGGTTGTCCTCGAGGTCCTCCTAGAAGCTGTCCTTGAAGTCGTCCTCTAGGCATAGTCCTAGATGTTACAAAAATAACAGCTTTGCTGGTCCTCCATCTTCACGTGAAGTGGAAGGGCTCTAGAAATTTTTTACCTCTAGTGCTTTTATCGAATTACCACTTATATTGAACTTGTTTGCCGTCCTGGTGACTTTGTTATAATTAGGGATTACTGCATGTCTTGTTGTGAGAGGTCTAAAGGGCCCATGAAACGAATTTGGGTTAGAATAAACCATTTTAGATCGGGATTTTACTAATAGCACATCGTTCAGTGGGCTAAAAGAAAAAAGCTAGAAAGTCAAAAGCCTGACTTTCAGTGCGAAAATTGGAAAACACAGCCGACTATTTCGTACCTCCTCCCCTTCGTAAGCTCTCTGCCTTTTCATAGGGATACATCCGGGGTCCCAATAGCGCGCCATCGGGTCCAAATGCATGTCACACGAAACCGGACCTCACTTAGTCCCTTCACCCCTAAGCTGACATTGCGGTGGAAGTTAAGCGCTTGCCGGACCAATCAGCCTCCTCCCTTTCATTACCTGACCCCATTCTTTGCACGCCGGTATGTGCGAAGGAGCGTGATCACGTGACAAAAGTGTGGCTGGCCCAACGAGCACGTAGCTTCCACAGTACTGTCAGCTTCGGGGTGAACGGGTTGGGGAAAGCAACTTTTGTCTGAATTTTGAGCGACGGGCTAATCTCCTATGGGGAGAATGGCTCTATCCGGGTACACAAACCAGATTCCGAGCAAGAGGGGCCTCCCTTCTTTTCGTCTTCTTGAACTGTTTTGGTGGAATGCGCGATTTATAAGTTGAGGAGGAAAGCTAAACAGGGAAAAGTTGGAAAAGCGTTTCATGACCCCTTTAAGGAAGGCATACACTGTGACTTGGACCAGCATACTTCGAATGTGTCGAAATCTGGACTTCATTGAAAGATTGTTGCATCACAAAATGGATCTCTATAGCCACTGTGTATTTTATTATCAGTTGTCTAGGAGAGGTGCTAAACTGAACAATAAATATCAATAAAAAATCCACCCAGAAAAAAAAAAAAGTGAAGCCCTTTTACTTTACAGGAAGATGGAGGACGAAACCTAGAGGACGACGTCTAGGACGACCTCAAGAATGACTTCTAGGATGACCTCAAGGACATTGCCTAGAGGACGACGTCTAGGACAACCTCAAGGACGACCTAGAGGACGACGCCTAGAGGACGATTTCAGGAACGACTTCTAGGATGACCTTGAGGACAACGCCTAGAGGATGACCTCAAGGAGGACTTCTAGGATGATCTCAAGGCGACTTCTAGGATGACCTCGAGGACGACGTCTAGGACAAACTCAAGGACGACTTCTATGACGACCTCAAGGACGATGCCTACAGATGATAACAAGGCATCAGAACCTCACTATCTAATAATGCCAAGGAAGGCTGACTCATGCTGGTTTTCCCCTCTTTTTATTTTTATTTATTCATACTTGCCACGACCAATTGGGAGTTTTCTGTCAACATCCGCAAACATATTTTTTTCCCAGACTCCAGCGCACAACAGCTTCGCTGTAAAACAAGACAAGTTAAAGGCTACATAAGGGTAGACACAGGTCTTGCACAGTTTTTTGTCATTTCTCATTCGGTTTAAAAATTCTCACAATTACTTTTAGGGTGGGGTTTTGCATTCATACATGAAAATTTTTTGCCGGGAAGGGGACACTACAGTAGAACCCCGCTACAACGAAATTGACAGTAACGAAATTGACGGTGTGCGAGAAAAAATTCATTGTAGCGAAAATTTTTTTTAATGTGAAATTCACAAAAAAATGGCATATCTGAACTGGTAGGGTACAAAAATCTGTACAAACCATGTGTACATAACCTTGTTGAGATCTTCGTGCGCCGACGGTGTTACTGTCGAGGAAGGTTATAACAAAGTCAACGGGAACCGGAAATTACTTTGCTATATCCACCATTTCGTTATAACCGACTTCAATTGTAATGAAGTACAAAAGGAAATGGGAAATCGTGATCACTTCGCTATGTCTGCCATTTCGTTATAACCGACTTCATTATAACCGGTCTCAACAGTAGTTTCTTTCACTTGGCCGATGTCCCCGATGCAAATGCTTTCTCAATTGCATCTTTCGACTTTAGGATCGTCGACAGAGAATTCGGAAAAATTCCAAACTTTACAGCGGTGACAGCTTTCTCCTGTCCAGTTGCAGCTTCGGCCAGGGTGCGAGCTTTACCTTCTAAAGATAATAACTTCTGCACTTTGCTTGGCGGTGGCATGTCCAAAAATCCCGCGTACTGTACTGAGAAAAGAACAACTGCCAAAACGAAAATGACTACTGAGCTTCGGCTATGGATAGTCTGCAGCAGAGGAATATCAAGCCAAGAACTAGGGTCCAACAGCGAAGGAAGGCTTGAAAGGCCAGCCTCATCGCCGTCGCCATCGAATAATGGCAGCCTGCATACCTGGGCTACGTTGCGCTCAGGTTTCGGTTATTTGTGGCAGTTTCTGGTGGTTCAACACGTGATTTAAACTTTCTAGTAGACATATTTTATGTGCCAAAATGCACCACAGTGCTCGAAAGTTTGTTTTTCGTGCAGAAAATTAAACTTTCAAACTTTGAATTGTACTGTAAAATTTTATTCAAGCGGAACGGCGCAAGAAACAGTGTACGCTGTAGTGAGAATTTTTATGCATCGACTCTACAGTTCCTTAAAAGGAACTGTAGAGTCATACAGAGAGCTAACGAAGCCACAGGAGTGTGCGGTCTCAAGCTACATGGGCCCATTGTGCTGGCAGGGAGAGGAACCACGCAAGCCTGGCGCCGTCTGCTTCCGAGATTAGCGGCTATCATCATCTGGCTGTCCGGTCTTGCTATGTTTAATAGTGCTGGCCTATTTTAAATCATTCACCATAGGCCATTGCTATAAAAAGCAAGGCCAGATAGTCGGATGTTGATAGCCGCTAATCTCGCAAGCGGCCGGCACCCGGCTCGCGTGGTTCCTATTGCTGCCAGCATGACGCGCGCGTGTAGCTCGAGACAGCATGCTCCTGTGGCTTTGCTGGCTCTTTCCACCACTGCACATTGTGCGAAGCCGAGAAAAGAGCGACTGACTGTGTTGCCAGTCTCAGCTTCTTTTACAGGGACTACATAATCTAGAACATTCTGCACAGGAACAAGCGATATGTTACAAGATGATACTACAATGTTCTAGAAAAGCCACGAAATGTAAAATAAAGGATTAAGCTAATGGGGTTTGAATCTTATGCCTTCCTGTAGGAGCCGCACTCGATGCCGACTCAGCCATGCACGCAGCAATATTAGCCAAAACAACGAAGGACCTACTGCTAGGGCTTGCCGAGCAAGTTTGGAGAAGTCGAGGAAGAACTGTGGCTTGAGCCGGACGTCGATGAGGTCGCCCGTTCGGCTGCAGACGGGCACCGTGGACTCGTGTCCCACCCTGCCCCTGTACAGGCCCTTCTCCTTGAGCAGGGCCAACACCGCTGCCTTGGCCTCCATCCCCGAAAGTCCCTGCGAGACAAACACAGGCAACAGCCATTGTCTGCATGTGTCCCCTGCATATCATTACCAAATCACAAGCTGATGATAGTAATGATGAAGAGCCATTGTTTGCACAAGAAGGACCCACTGGGCTATCCCCAGATAGTATTACACCTTCTTCACGTCATCATTATCATCAAATCCCCTGATGAAGAAAGACAGCCCTTATTTCCACAGGGGTTACCTGCTAGGTAAAGTGAAAAGACGTCCCGCTTTTCCGTCCGTGGTCCCGCTGTCCCGAAGCCTACTTGTGGGACGGTGTTTTGTCCTTTTTCGGCTCCCCCGAATCGCGAATAGATAAAAGACACGGCTAGACGAAAAAATTGCACCAGTGAAAAGGTGTTTTTTCTGAACAATGTACAAGGTCCACTTGGCAGAGGCGAGGCTGATACTATGGGCATGTTATTTGCAAAAATAAATACATCAATACTAAAGCAATACTCCATCCAAATGTATTAAATGTGCATGGAAAGAAATGTGTACGTTCTACATGAAATACTAAAAAGGTATGATTTGTTACCAAAATTCAAAGTTTTCAAACCCCACAACACTTACCCCCCCCCCCCCATAACGCGTCCCGCTTTGGGGCCTGAGGAATATGGTCACTTTACTGCTAGGCCATTCAGTCACCACATCATATGCACTCCATTCTTATCAAATCACCAGCTGATGGAAAGGATGGAGAGCCATTGTCTGCACAAGAGTATCCAGTGGGCTATCTCCAGACATTACACCCCCGCACATCATCATCATGAAATCACCAGATTATTACGATGATGAAAACAGAAAACCCTAGTTTCCACAAGAGTTACCTGCTGCGCCATCCCCAAGTACCACATCCTTTGCATTATATCATCATCGAGCCACCTAATGATGATCAGCCTGAGTTGTGCAGGGTTGAACTTAAGGGTGAGGAAGAGACAGTACTCACAGAGAAGGTACCGTGCCCCTCCACCACCCGGCCCTGGTCGTCAAAGCACTCCACCACGGGGAGGCCGTGCTCCTTGGCAAGCTGGTGGTCCACCCTGCTGTAGCCAGGGGTCACTTTCATGGCTCCTGCACAGGTACATGCCACCAGGCTCAGTCACTGCAAGAACCTTTCAGCGTTCCCCAGTTGCAACATTCCGTAGCTTCATCGGAGCTGTTTCTCAAGCAAAAACTGCAGGCAGAAATTAAACCACAACTATTTCAGTGTCACAGGTGTTAGCGCCAAACCCCGATCATGTGCAAATGTCTACCCACCTGTGCCGAAGGCCCTGTCCACTTGAGAGTTGGCAATGATCGGCAAAGATGTCCCCGTGATCGGGTGGCAAGCCATGCGACCGATCAGGTGCCGGTAGCGGTTGTCCTCAGGATGCACGGCTAGAGCGGTGTCAGCCAACATAGTCTCTGGCCGGGTGGTGCACACCTCCACCTCTGAGGAAAAGAAAAATGACAGCTGTCTGTCAGCCATTTTCCGTGCACTTTTACATGAAATAAGTTACTTCTATCGAGACAATTCATAATTGAGCTTGTTTATACTCTGCGGGACTATGTACTTTAGTCACTAAACAAAAATTCATTGTAGCAGGCATAATGACACATTGAACACACAAAAAATGGGTCAGGACTTCGTTCGACGGGGGTAAGTAAAAATTTATCCACACTTTTATTTTTTTTTATTTATTTACACAAATGAAGGGGTTGAACAAGTATGTATTTTTCTACATGCCATAAAATCCTGAGCAAGCACCCACACAAAATTTGGAGATAATCATGTAAAACTGAGGAATGGGTGTTCCTTAGGTCAACAATATCCTTTGCGTATTTTCTGAACATTAAAAAATTAAGTGGTGGGCGTTAGTTCGGTAGGGGCATATTGCTAAGTATTTTTCTTCTTGGTGTGTGTGCATTTAACGGCGGAGAAGGGTGTAAGTTACAGGGGCGAATGGAACGGCACACACATACTGCTCCCGGCAAGAGGCTGCATTTTGAAATGTTTATGCTTGGGGTACTGGGAACTGCCACTGTCCTGCGGGAGCAAGGAGTCAGTGTAAACATGAGCTGATACATCTCAGCTCGAGTGTCGGAAACCGCAGGAAATAGACGGCAGTGTTTCAGATTTCGTGCAGGTGGTCACGGCCGGCTCGTAAGAAGGTCATGACATCCATCTTGCCAGCGTCTGAGGAATGTATACAGTCTGCCGGGTGGAGCCTGCTGCTTTCTATACTTTATTGTTCGCCGGGTGTAGAGCACGCATTTGCATTTCAAGTTGTTTAATTATACAGCCGACAAGTTTGAAAAAGAAAAAATGGTGCCAGAGTCTCGCTGATTGGTTAGGGTGAGTGAGAGAGGGAACCGAGGTTCGGCTCTATTAGGGGATTAAACGAGTGACCCAGAGGAGGACTTTGGATTTTGGGTACGCACTAGAGGCCCGTTCACACTCTTGCGACCGAGTACGACTGAGAGAGATGAGGATCTCTTAAAACTTCTTAAATGTTTTTAGAATGAAGGAACACACTGGTATTGTGGCGCCATCTATGCGGTGACCCTGGAACTGCATTTCACAAGAGCGAAGGTTTTGCGGGATTTCCGAGGTCAAATGTGCGTAATACCCATAGAAAGGCTCGTTTATAACATTGACAAAAGTTTTTCGAGCCAAAAAAAAAAGGATAATGCGCGAGAAAAAAAAAAAAAAATATTCCGGACCGCCGAGTTTACACTGCTTCCCAATAGATGGCGCCAGTGTGTTCTCTGGTTTAAGAGGTTTTAAGGAACCTAGGTTTAAGAGGTCGCAAGAGTGTGAACGGGCCTTAAGGGGGTCAAGAGGTGGTTGACGAGAAAAGCAGAGTTTCGGGTGGGAACATTCGACCCTGCCTGACTGCTGGAATGTGCTACGCTAAATAAACCTCCTGAAGTTCCAACGAGAAGTCACTTTGCAACGTGTTTGTCACCAGGCCCGCTTGTCTCAAGCAGGCAAATATAGAACATCATCATCGAAGAAAGAAAGGAAGATCAACATTGTAACTGGCAAAGTTGACAGGATGGTGGCAACTTTCTGCAAAGCAAGCATAGGCCTGATGGCCAACCAGACCAAGCATGACTCAGTGGGTGCGATTCAGTTTGGGCCACTGAGGTGAAGAGGAAGAACGAGTGGACACCTCAATGGGAGGACTCATGCGTTTCGACCCAAAAGGTGCGAAGTGGCACTTCAGCGAAAGGCTTCTAGGGCTAAGGCCCAAATGTACTAGTCGGCACCTCAGCGGGAAGACTGGGGTGTTTCAACCTAATAGTTCTGAAGCTGCACTTCAGTGGGAGGCTTCGAGAGCTCAGGCCCGCATGTATGAGTCGGCACCTCAGCAGGAGGACTTGGGGGGGGCCCCAACACGAAAGGTATCAAGTGGCACCTAAGCAGGAAACTTCGGGGGCTCAGGCCCGAATGTATGAGTACACAACTCAGCAGGAAGCCTCGTGAAAGGGGAATCAGACCCGAAAGGTACCCCCAGCGGGAGGCTTCAGGGGCCCAGGCCCGAGTGTATGAGTAGGCACTTTAACGGGTATTTTACGATAGTCCCCTTTCTTTTCGATGCACTTGGTCCAGAGGTCCACAAGCTTGTGTTTTCCCTCTAAGAAAAAAGTTTTCGGTTGGACACCCAAACATTTATGCACCGCCTCCCGCACTGACGGGCGTCCCAATCTTTCTTCGTGCATCACACTTGCCCTATCATTTCTAAGCTTTTCAATCCACTTGTAAATTCTTCTATGTGGCACAGCACTGTCCCTGTTTTGACTGTCACACTTTTTGACCAAAGAAATCAGGTCACTGCTCTTTATTCATTAGTGCACAATGCTAGCAGAGTGGCCATGTTTACACTGCAACAGAAGCAAAAAAAATTATGCTATCAAGATCAAACTTTGATAGCATGACTACAGGGCTAGTATCAGCTCTCAGCATGCATGAGCAGAAGGCAGCGTCGAGAACCTAAAGATGTGTTATGGCGAAGGTGCAGATAATTTTTTACTTCCCCTCATACCTTGTTAAGGGGGCATTCCCATAGAAGTTCATTATCAGGAGATTTCACTGTAACTTCTTCTTCCACCTATTTTTCTGGGGAATGCTTCTTTATAGTCTTGCGTGAATAGTGGGTTTTGAGTTCGAAGCGAATACGAAGCGAATAGTGGTTTTGCCCAAATTTTTTCGACTTGAATATCGAATAGTTTTTCCACGCCTTTCACTACCATTGCATAATACTTAGACAAAAACCCAGCTAAACTTGTGAAGGTTGTCCCACTTGTTTATTTATTAACTAAGTTTAGTCTATCTATATCTATATTTATGAACTGTGACCTCAGAAGGTCTGGTGTCTTGGGATGGCAAGTAAATGACGGATTTGACATAAATTGAATCCTGTAGAGATGGCCAACTATACCCAAAGGAGTGAATTCACAAATCTTGCAATATAAAATATTCTTTCTTTAATCTCGAGTTAAAAAAAATTAATTGTGCATGATGAATGCAGGTTGTAAGGGCATCTCTGCCTAACATAGTATACCCTTGCATGACAGTTTAATTTTGAAACTTTTACTACAATGTAGATATCACACAGCCGGCACATCTGCACCATCCCGCTTTGAATGTATGTTTTACTTTCAAGCACGCAATTACGATATTCATACTTTTCCAAGTGTTTATCGCGGCAGGTTACCCTTTGAGTGCGCTTCTCACCAAGCACCAGTGCGCTGCGGAGAAGCAACACCCACGGAGCTCGCTTCCGCGTATATTGCTTCTTCGCAGCGCACCGGTGCTTGGTGAGAAGCGCACTCAACGGGGCTAACCCGCCGCAATCAGCACTTTGACAAAGGCGAATAGTGCCGTTCTTCTCGAAGTGAATATCGAATAGTGTATTATTCGGAACTACTATTCGAAATTTCGAATATTCGCACCCTACTTCTTTAAATTGGGTTACAAGTCTTCTAACTCACAAAAAACACAGAGCTCTATTAGCAACTATGATAAAATTAGAATTTGTTTGTCACATCAAAAATTTGTAAAATCATGTCTAGTAAAATTCAGTTTTATGGTCTGACAATCTTCACCATAAATTCTTCTTCCATGCTTTCCATCAAGTTGGGAACATACTTTTGGGTTGCATGTCATGCTCAGTTCTTCAAGGAGCTCAAGGACCTTTGAATTATTTTCTGTGCATAAATTTCGAGATGTTTTCATCCCCTCGAGTGTCTTTCCCTGAATTCACTTCCTGCACCTGTTCTGATTGCAAGCCGCATTTCAATGGCAAGCCCCATGAACCCAATGCTAAGTCAATTGGGGACCACAAATGTTATTAAATAATTCAGGAGCGCCCTGTACAAATTTTTGACGTAGACTAGAGTACTTTCTGCAAATCCTCCTCTCCTTTCATCACCTGGTAGGTAAAGCATCTACTTTGCCGTGCGTCTGCGCAGCTGCAGCCCATCGAGGAGCAAGCCCTACCTGTGTCTCCAACAGGAAAGGCCAGCCTGTCCAGGTAGCCAACTTCTACAGCCTCTGGACAGCCGGGCACCCTAAGCAGAGTTCCTGGGGACACTTGCACATGCTTCACCTGGGGAAAAGCCACAACCACAAGTTATTGATGTGTAGAAAAAGCACCAAAACAGACAAGGATGGGACATGTTTACACATGGCCAGGCTAGAAAGCGGCTTTCAATTTCCTTACGAGCTTTGCTCTAGTTTAGAAGCAATGGGGTTTTTTCTAGCCAGCTTGGGGGCACAACCATGTTACCCGTTTCAGTACTCCCTGAACCACCCTGGACATGTGTTCTGACCATGGTAATTGAAAAAGCGTGCCGATGTAGTACTCATCTTAAACTACTGTAATGTGCCAAAAGAAATATTTCTGGCTTGCAATAAATTAATGCTTGTTTATAAAAATTGAGCTTTTAAAAAGTGAAATCGAAGAAGTGTTTTTGTAAGTTCCTTGAGGCAGGCGGCCTCATAGCCTATAGGTCTAACTATAGTCGAATCTCATTAATTCAAACTTGCGGATAATTCAAACTAACATGCAGGTCCCATCCTATACATCTCTATGGGAGGAAACTCACGGTAATTCAAACTTTGCTTTATTCAAACAAAATTTTGGTCCCCCTTGTGTTCGAAATAACGAAATTCAACTGTAATTTGGAAATGCCTCCAATTCGACTCCAAAGCGAAAAAGGCCCACACAGCAATGTTGGGGCTCCTCCTCGGGAGGTGCTAAAATGCTGTAGAAAGGATGAGGTAGCAGCAACCCCACCAAGCTGCAGAGCCAGGAAGAAACTATTCCTATGTGAAGGCCTTTTTACTCTAGTCCGGCCATAGTTGAGCAAAACAAGCTGCATTGTTTTAGCACCTTGTCTCGTGCAACTTGTCCCCTACTTGTCACTTTCTTTGCTTTTTCTACACATCGACATGAACCAACTGGCCCAAATATCTATTCTTCTGCATTCGTTATGCTTCCTCTGCTGCTGAACCGGCATACAGCAATTCAACAGTTCCTTGAATTTTCTGAGTGTGGGGATGTGCTTAAACCTCCAGATCTGCTGAAGAGGCATGTGTCAAACAGTACAGTGCAATAAAACCTTTCTGATTCGAACTATGCCAGACCATAAAAAACATCCATATTAATGTATTGGCAATGTTCTGAAATCCATAAATGACCTTTTCCCCCTCCAAAAAGCAGGCCCCAAACTAGACAGCATGAAATCATACTAAGCAATCAGGCGGGGAGCTTTTGATATCCAAAAGCAACCTGGGTGTGTGAATAATTGGGAATTCTGCAAACATGAATAAAAACATTTTCCTATTTTAAGAAACCTGTAATATTTCTAACAGTACAAACGTACGCTGCAAAGTGAATGAATTAGCACACAGTATTTGCAGGTTACGGAAATATCTGCACTCTTCTAGCTGACAGTGGAGACACCACAGCATATAGAATTGGCAGCACTGTTTTACGTTTAGACCTTTTTCAACGGGCTTGAAGAGCTATGGCATAGCTCTTTATGACATTGGTGCAATGAAATCCAACGGCCGATCCGAAGTTGACCGACCTCACTGTCAGAGATGGCTGACTGCAGCCAGCAGCACCAGTTGACCATCCTCTTCTCCCTGTACACTAGGCCGTCGTCAAACAGGCGACAGAACGCCCACTTCACTGCGTGGCTCATCGACTGCGTTGGGAAGATAGACAACCGTCAAGTACGAAACTCTGAGTTGCCAACCGTGCTCATACAGTAGAGTAGCAACCATAAAATATTGAGCAAGCACCCACATAAAATTTGGAGATAATTGTGGAAAACTGGAGGTTGGGCACTTGTTAAAACTACTAAAAGCAAAAATGCAGAAGAGAGACACGATAGGGTAAGCTCTACTGCTTCGTGTCGGCGTGCTTGGAGAAGCGGCCAACGTGGAGGAGCATCTCGATTAGCTAGGTGGGTTCAAAAGTGTCCGGTGGGACCTTGATATGTCTTTTGCCTGGTTTTCAAACGTTTTAGAAGTGGCACTTGGGTACTTATTCTGACATGGGCACATGCTCGATATTTTACGGTAAGTACTATTAATGATTTTTAGCCCCTTCCCTTTCCTTATAAAGAACTGCTTGTGACTGCCAGTTAAAAAAAAAGTTCCGTTAGTCTAGTGTTTTAACCTCCAGCTCCAGCATACTGGCTTTGCTGCAATGTTACTTCTAATAGGCATTGTAATAAAAATGTTGAAGAAAAATTTACTGTATACCGTTTCATACTTGCTCGTATGAGACTCCTTTAATCGCCAAAATATGCCAAGAATGTGGGTGGAAGAGCAGAAAAATCGCATGTTGGAAAGTGAGCAGGCAAAAGAAAGTAACGAAACAGAACATGTGGGTTCTCAATCCCATATTCTATATGGAGGGGAGGGGAGGGAGTGAAAAAAATGAGTTAAAAAAATGAGTAAGTGCACATGATGGATGACTGTCTCACCTCATCCATGGTGAAGGTGCTTCTAGTGTAATCCAGAGAAGCCCCCAGACGCCTAAGCTGCCTCAGAATGTTGGCTTCCTTGCTGGAAAAAGATTAGGGCTGTTATTTGAAATAATTAAAAGACAACTTTGCTAAAACCCTAGAACAGAAACAGGAAGATCTAAGTTGGTTATTGTAAAGTGTAGTTCAACTCCAAATATTCTATCTTCCCAAGCATATGCATGCACTGAGCAATGTGCAAACAATGACTGCATAAGCACTTATTTTTGAGCTTCATCCTGTGCTCCATGGGCACTTGCTTTTAATTTAGAAGCCTAGAGTTCCACGAAGATACAGTCATGGTCACACTTGACTAGAGCGCAGGACACGGTATAACTAAAGCCTAATAGCCCTCGGGCGTATGTATGGGAATTGACATAGCACAGATGCGACGGGACATAAAAAAGAAATATGATTAGACACTAGCAGAAAAGCATGTACGGGCACATAATAGAAGAGCAAAACATGTCAAGATTAGGCTCAGTATTTGTTCCAGTCAAATATGATTCTAACTGTACATGGCTTCCTACAAGGTGACTCAAACCCACAATGTCCGTAATGCATATTATGCATGCTGCAGAAAGCTGAGTAATAAGGAAAAACGAGATAGCTCATCAATCATGTCAGCTGTGCCAATGCAAGGGAGGGAAAAGAGACGTAAGAAACGAGGCTTTCCTGTGTCTCACTTTATGTTCAAGGGTTGCCTTTTCCCGACCTCAAACAGATGACAGTAAATCAGAGCAGACATCGGATTCAGGCATCATAACTACGCCCAATTAGAGAAAATAATTGTGACAGTATCAAGACACTGATACGCTACATCAATTAGACCAAAGCTTAAGAGTACCAAGCACTTCCAATAAAGGGTGAGGCAAAGATTAATAAAACAGCCTTTGAAAGTGGGAGTAAAAAACCCAACTTTCTATTTTGTTTGTGAATTTTGTGCATAGTACCTATGCGGAGTGCGAGTTTGTCTGCTTCTTGCGAAGGAGTTGTGGTGACGTCAGAACGACAAGCTCGGATTGGTTGTGATTGGAAGGATAGTAAGTACCGTATTTATTTGCAGAATGAACGCATTTTTTTTTCCCGAAAAATCGAAGCAAAGTTGAGGGGAGCGTTTATTAGTTCATTACCCGAAGTAAAAATTTTTGCGTCCGTGTTTACTCGCATAGTGAACGGACCCTTTATCCTGAAAACTCGACTTAACTTCATATCTCTTTGCGCGAGGCGCCCGACCCCATAACCAAACAAGGCTATGCCAAAAAAAAAAAAAAAAAAAACATTTCTTTGTTTTCTTTTTCTCTTAGTTCCGTGTTTTTTGTTTTTTTTTGCCTTCTTTCGCAAGCTGTTTCGTTTGCTTAGACGAGGGCTTCCCCACTTCTCTTCCTTACCTCCTTGCGCGCGGCGAGCGACCCCCCCCCCCCCCCCCCCCCCCGTAACCAAACTGCGCTGTGTAAAAAAAAAAAGAAAAAAGAAGCTCCTCTTTGTTTTGTTTTCTCTTAGTTTCCCCCTTTTTTTTTCTTTTTGCCGCCTTTCGCAAGCGGTTTCGTTTGCTTAGAGGGCTTCTCCGCTTCTCTTTCTTACCTCTTTTGGTGCGGCGCTTGCGCGCGTCCCAAAATCCAGACTGCGATGTGCAAAAAAAAAAAAAAAAGCCCCTCTCCATGTTTTTTTTTTCCTTGCTTCGGTTGGATCTTTTCTAATTTTTTTAACGCCTTTTGCAAGGCGTTTTGTTCGCCCACGCTGCCCATGCATTCACTACCTCGCTACACCAGGATAGAAAAGTGCATTCATTTCGCGCGCGTGGGGGTAGGGGGTCAAAATTTTGACGTCCGAGTTGGGGGTGCGTTTAATACGCGAGTGAAAAAAAAAACAAACGAAATTTTGAGAGCCGACTTGGGGGGTGCGTTCATTACGCGAGTGCGTTCATTGTGCGAGTAAATACGGTAGACCTCAAGGCAGCTAGCACTGAGGTCTACCCACGATCCTTCCAATCAGAGTCAATTGGAGATTGGCGTTCTGAAGTCACCGCAACCCCTGCGCAAGAAGCAGACAAACTTACGCTCCTTATAGTTAATTTTTTTAACTCAAAAATCACAAATAAGAGTTCAGCTCCTTATGAAGTGTTAGTAGCTCCCTCTCTATCTGACTAAGTTTATTAAGAGAAAATACAAGGATGGTCATCTGCTTTGATCTGCTCCCCCTCTATGTAAGTTAAGATAATTACTTTTTGTCTACTTTCATCCCAACCAGACAGACTTCTGTCAACCTGTGAAACTGAGACTGCACATTCACTCTGCCCCAACGTTCTTTGCGTTTCATTGTACCACGTCCCTCTGTAATGTTGTATGACTTTGAGGGTAAATAAATGAAGAAAGAAAATGTATACAGCGCATCCAAGTCCGATGAACCACACAATTTGCTCACGATCAAGGCCTAAAGGCCGATTCAAACACTCGCGACTGCTTAAAACCATGTGCCTCAAGACTTGTTAAAACCTGTTACAACGAGAGAACACAAACTGGCCCCATCTATCGGGTAGCCGCGGAACACTTGGCATTTCCGTATATATCTCTTATTTTTGTTTCGCGTATTAGTCTTTATATTTTTTTTTTCAAAAACTTCTGACATTGTTATAACCAACCATTTCTCATATAGGCACGTGCGAAGTCGCACATATTGCAAAACCTTCACTCCGGCAAAATGCAGTTCCAGACCCACCTTGTAGATGGCAACGGTGTAACACCACATTCTATCGTCGCAAGAACTCAGCTGTAAGCAGACGCCAGTGTGCAAACTATGGTGCCCGGAACAAGTCTCTGACTCGCATGTTTAGCGTCCTTTTCCACCAGCATATCGAAAGCGGTTTCAAAGTGACAACAGACGACGTCTGAAAAGCCGGAGCGTTATGCCGTCAAATGCCGCGATCCCGGTGGTCGGTCCTAGACGTAACGGCAAAAAGTGTGAGCAAGGGCCTGCGTCGCCACTGTAACAACATCCCAACACCCGGCTGCCGAGGCTTCTGCAGACTTACGAGGTGGGGCTCTAATCTGGACACTTGGCTAAAAGGCCAGCGAAAAATCCGGCGGCCGTGATTGGCCAACGCCGCACTTGACCTTGGCGCCGGCCAATCATAGCCGCTGGATTTCTCACTGACTTTTCTGCCAAGTGTCCAGATTAGGGCCCCTGAAGAGCAGCCTGTAGTAGAACGGGAGCCCTATGCTACATGGCGGGACCGAGCGGGACGGGGAGTCCGGTGCATTGCTGCCTGCGATGTCCCGGATTCTCTGTCCCACTTGGTCCTGCCGTGTAGCATAGGATCCCAGGTGTCTGTCACGACCACTGCCACGAGGCGACAACATGACACTTCTATGACATTATCGGGAGGAACTCGAGGAACCACTTATTTGGACGCGGTAAACGCACCAGTCGGAGAGGCATCCCAGGCATTTCCGTATATATCTTCGTATATAGCACTTTTAAGGCCTGTGAACGGGCCTTAAAAGTGAGCGGCAGAAAGGGAAAGGCCCCGACCTCCTCCTCCAGGCTTGGGCCTCTTGAAGGAACGCCGTGCGCCCCATCTGGTGCCTGGTGAGCCCGCCCTGTGCCCAGGCCCTCTTCTCCAGCACCGACTGGGTGGCAATGCCCGCGTGGTCACAGCCGGGCACCCACACCACCTTCCGCTGCTGCATGCGGTGCCTGCACCAAAGAGTGGACGACGCCACTGCTGGCACCCACTGTTCCCCAACACGCTGGTTGTCAAGGCGTCATGATGCAACCACGTCCCTATATTTCTCAAACTTTCCTAGGTCCTTCCTTCCGCAATCTAAACAAGCAGATTAGAGATTTTCCATAACCGGTATCAAAAGAAAAGGATTGGTGACTGAGTGTGCTAATGTACTGCGCCTTGGAGCACGTGGATCGTAAGCTTGTGGCGCAGAACCATGGGATCCTGGGCTCAACCTCCACTCCTGCCCAATCTGAATGAGCAGTGTGCCGGTGTGTGTAATGCACATCAAAGGCCCTGGGCTAGCAGACACACTGCACTGGCTAAATGAGAAAGCTTAAGAGATTGCAGCTTTCTCTACATTTTTCCACTAAAGTAGAAGTTAAACTAATAGTTATTTCAGATTGGCTACTATAACGAATTCACACACCATGAATATTTATGTTTAATTAATTAGTAAACACATCATCCCTCAAAGTATAGACGACCGCACTAGCAAACTTTCGTGTTCTGAAGGAATAAATTTCACATGTACCCTTGTGTCACATGTTCTAGCGGCACCTACATGCACTAAACACCCATTTCAGTTTTGCAGGTCTGGTTGTTTTATCTGAAGTAGCGAAACAAAGTGACTTGTACAACAAACACTTTCATTGGTCCATTTGGATTTCAATATAAGAATGTCCGACTTTATCGGGATGACCCTGCTTTGTGAAGAGTCATGACTGTGCAGGGGCGAAAGCCTACCGGGGTTGAAAGCACGCACATGCAGTTTTGGTTCATCATTCAACGAACGGGACCGCTGGCATCTTCTTTCAAAAGTTCACCCTCAAAGCTTGCGTGGACATGCTGCACAAAACATGACAAAACTAAATTTTTGGAAACACTGGAAAAGTAAAAGGATATTACATTTTCGGTCAGTTTCATTCAATTTGTTAGGTAGGTGTTGAATCGAATTCAACCTTTTACTCAACTCAACATAGGAAAGCTTTGAGTATTTGCGCGAGCCTGCGAGAGAAAGTCACCTTGGAACTACTACAAAGCTACGCTCCGAGTACCGGCAAACCCGTTCGCCCATTCGCGTCACGTGACATTTGTTTTTGTGCCAGCGGTTTGTATGCACTGCCACTTTGGTGCTTGGACTCAGACGGACACCGCTAAAACAGTTAGCGTTCTGAAATGTGATTTTTTTTTCTCAGCAAAAAGTAATCTAGTGAGGTCATTACGGCTTTGTTTTGCTTTTATGCAAACTGATCTAGCAAGCAAGACGACAAAAAGCCCTTCTTGCATCTTCTATCAGGCACATCCGCAAAAACAGCAAGACTGATTCCACGCACCAACATGGCTCGAGCGTCGTTACCCTAAAGCAAGTGTTTTGAAACCGGGTTCCTAGAAACCCAGAGGTTCTCTTAAAGCAACCTCACATGTTCCCCCCTGAGTTCCCAAATTTCCCCTATTGTCTCTCTCCTAAGCAAAGCGATTTTTCCAAGTTAAACGCTATTTTGGCAGACCTCGGTCAACCATTGATGCTTAACCATAATCCAAAGGCTCCCTGGTTAGTGCGTTACTCTTTACAAAGTCTGTAGGCTCCTGCACTGCTTCCTTGCATTCCTGCTGAGATGCAGAGGGGCTTGTCGACTTTGAGGCAAGCCCATGGAGGCAGGAAGCTTGTGGAGGCGACATGATGCCACCAGAGGTAAAGCCAGAAGAGTGGAGGCACATGCCCCCCCCCCAAAAACAGCTGTTGGTCAGCAAACAAGCTGACCAACAGCTGTTTTGGTCATTCTCCAGGCTGGAGCGAGACCTAAACAGCTGTTCGCACCAAGTCAGCTCTCCTTTTCGTCAAATAGAGTCTCTTCATTTTCGTCATTGTTGGGGGCGTGTCCCTCCACACCTCTGGCTTGGCGGCATCATGTCGCCTCCACAAGCTTTCTACCTCCATGGTCATGCCAAAGGGGGGTTTCTCAACTTAAGAAAGGTTGAAAGCCCCTGCTCTAGAGCATAGCTGATGTAGCGACTCTAGGCCACTTCAGTCTCTTCGGACTGAAGGCGCGATGCGGGGAAGTCTCACTCTCGTCGGAGGTGCCACTTGCGTGTGACGCAAGTCAAGAGTCGAAGAGGTCCAACGCTCACCAGCGCACAAGCGTGTCCTGTATGGCCACCGTGAGGGCATGGCCCAAGTGCAGGTCCCCTGTGATGTTGGGTGGAGGGAGCACCATGCTGAAGGACCCGCTGGTTGCCTCCTGCAGCGCAAAAGAGACACAAAGCAAAAAGTAACTTTTTGGTATCTTTACGAGTGCTGTTCCTTGATTTGCGACATAATAGTTAAGATCAGAGACTTTTTGTCCGGCTTTTAAAATCACTGAAATGCGTGATCATTTGTTGCGTTGTTATTTTGTGATGATATTTTTACTTCGTGATCCACTCATGTCATCTGTCGCATTGAAAAGTCCATTTTGTTGCTGGACCCCAGACTAGCCTTCGTGGCTATAGGTATGACCACTGATTGTGTATTGTTATTGGATATAATGAAATAAAATATAATGAATAAATAAATGTTGAAAAGCAATTGTTGGCTGCCCTCGTTTTTGGCTATGCAAACAATGTTTCACAAAATGTCTCCCCCCTTGGCCATAATGCGGCTTAGGCTGGAACTGTCACATACATCAAAACAGATGAAGAAAAAGCAAGAGAAAGACTAAAAAAAGAAAAAGAAAATATAATTTTTTTATGTTTTTTTTTAGTTGTTCCCGAGTTTCAGGTTTATTTGAATCAGGTAAACTTGCGTTAGGTCATATCTATGCAAAGAGACACTGAGGATAGTTTTAAAATTTTTTACAGAAAATAGTGTTTTCACTTTATAAGGGGCTAAGTGTACATTAAAGATCCCATGCTAACAGTTGTACTATATTGAGCAAATTTCACCCCTAGAGCATTGAACCAGTGTCTACCGTTTCTCGGGAGAAAACTGACTTTTCTCTTCATCAACATTTACAACGTCCAATTATGCATCACTGTGCAAGTGATCTGTGGTAGGGGGTCATTAACATTGTGAACAGAAAGCCCTTCCTCACCTTCAGTTCACAAAATACTGGCAACAAAAAATTAATTTTATTGTGGTGTCACACATCAAAGACTTTAAGGTTATGCAAACATTCAACATTGAGAATAGTAGTTTTGAGTGATACACTATTCAATATTTGCTTTGAGAAGAACTGCACTATTCATATTTTTCTAAGTGTCGATCGCGGCGGTTTGCGCGCAAGTTAGCACCACTAAGTGTGCTTCTTACCAAGCACCGGTGCACTGCGGAAAAGCAACATCTGTGAAAGCGAGCTCCGCGGGTGGTGCGTCTCCACAATGCACCGGTGCTCGGTATGAAACGCAGTCAATGGGGTAACCCGCCGCGATCAAGCCGTGGAGAGGTAGGAATATAACAATTGCGTGCTTGGAAGAAATGCACCTTTTCAAAGCGGGGTGGTGCACGCGTGTGCCTGGAGAACTTCAAAGGAAATGGAAACTCTGTAAATGTTGATATCTACATTGCAGTAAAATGTTCAAGATTAAACCTTGACTGTTATGCAAGAGTATATGTTAGAGAGAAATGCCCTAACAAGCTGCATTCATCATGCATAACTCCTTTTTTTTTTTCTTCCGAATTTGAGATTGAAGAAAGAACATTTGCATATAGCAATATTTATAAATTCACTCAATTGGGTATCGATGGGCCTCTTTATAGGATTAATTTTAAGTCAAATTCGTTGTTTACTTGCCATCCCAAGCCATCAGATTTTCTGAGGTCACAGCCCATAAATATAGATAGATTAAAATTAACGTATAAATAGACAAGAGGTAGCTTAGGGACAACCTTCACAAGTTTAGCTGGGTTTTCATTTAAGCATGGTGCAATGGTAGTGAAAAGCGGGGAAAAACTAGTCAATATCTGATTAGAAAATATTTGGCCAAAACCACTACTATTTGCTTTGAATTCCTATTAAACTCAAAATCCCCCATTGGCACATGACTAAAAGATTTATACGTTTCACCGAATCCCACAAGGAAGACAGAAAAGAGGACAAGCCAAAGGAATGCCTCAAATTGCACAAAGAAAAGATGGAGAGTGACAACTTTACTAAAAAAAAACAACTTCTAGGGTCCGTAGTGTGGCAGCAATTTTCGTAGCAGTTTTGAGGCAACCAATGGTACATATAGGTAGGTGTTTTAAGCACAAGATCCAGGAAACAGAACAGGCCATTACAAATGTCTTGATTGATGAAGTTGGGATAAAGACATGAAGCGTGAATAAGAAAACCGGGCCCTTTAAGAACGCACGAAATAGGAGGTGCGAATGCCAGACGAACCTCACTAGTCGTCGAGTGCCAGTGGCTCAGTCTTAAGCCTCGTAATACATCTTTTCCTGTTAAAGCTGCGTTTATTTACACTATGTACACTTTAAGTCGAAAAGAAGCTAGCCATTGCTCATGGCGTTTGGAATCAGTCTGTTTCTGCTATCGCAGGTGCACGCGTGCTTTTTTTGAGCCTTGTCTTCGTCTTGCTTGACCGCGATATATGTCATATCCCCCTTCTTGATTAACATCCAGTACATAGACTTTAAAGTATGCCGGCTGCTTGACCTGGCGACCCCCTCGGGTAATCCTTGAACCGGGGTCTGCCTGGACGTCCGCGTTGTCGTCCACGGTGTCTCTGTCCTGGACGTCCGTATTATTGTCCACGGTGTCTCTGTCCTGGATGTCAGCATTATTGTCCACGGTGCCTCTGTCCTGGACGTCAGCATTATTGTCCCCGGTGCATTTGTTTTCGGGCTGTGTCATTTGCGACTCGTCTATGCCCTGCGTGGTTGGGTAGATTAAGAATGGAGAAGCTTTTTCTTTGGCCTCTAGAGTTTCCAAGTGTGATCTTCTGGGGCGAATATGATCAACGTGTCGACACTGAAGTTTTCCGTCCTCCATTCTTGTTTGAAATGATCGAATTCCTAGCGGTTTCATGATTACCGCGGTAACCCATGCTGGTCTTCCACCGAATGTGCTCACGTAGACGGTTTGACCTGCCAAATAATCTGCCATTACTCCGTCCGCCGGAGCTCCTCGGTCTTCGCTTGTCGACGAGCTTTGCTTCATGAGATCGAGAGGTGTGGCGATCCGTCGGCCGAACATTGCTTCGGCGGGTGTTTTCCCCGTGGAGGTTGAAACTGTGGTATGCTGCCTGAACAAGTCCTTCGTTAAGTTTCAGGAGGGCCTTTTTTGTTTCGCCCACCATACGCTCCGTTTGCCTGTTTTGTGGCTGGATGATATGGGGCACTGGTGTAGTGTGTGATGCCGTTTCTCGTTAAGAACTCATCCATTTCGTTCAAAACGAAATTTGGTGCGTTGTCGGAGAAAAGGATTCTCGGTACTCCAAAAGTTGCAAAGGTGGAGCGAAGGGCGTCAATGATGCGTGTAGACGCTGTGGAGTGCACCGGCTTCACCTCCAACCGCTTAGAATAAGCGTCGACGACGATGAGGTACGATATCCCGTCGATTGGTCCGGCAAAGTCGATACGAATTGTCTCCCAGGGTCGAGTGGCAGGTGACCAGTCAGGCGTTGGTACCGTAGACTTGGCCCGATGATGTTGTTGGCACGTCTCACACGCAGCTGTGGTTGCTTCAATGTCTGCGTCAAGCCTCGGCCACCAGAAATGGCTCTGAGCAGTACTTTTCATGGCAACAATACCCCAGTGGCTGGCGTGCAGCATTTTCAAAGCTTGCTCGCGTGCTGCTTTCGGTAGAACAACACGTGCCCCCCACGTCACACTGCCGTTGTGTGTTGCCAACTCGGGTTCTCTGCGCTTGTACGGTGCAAACTCGTCTCCTGTCCAGTTTGTGGTGGTTCCGTCTTGTAGCGCTTGGTAGACTTTTGACAAAACGGAGTCTTCCTTAGTTAGACGCGCGATGCGTTGATCCGTCAAGGGTGGGCACTCCATTGCTCCGAGCATAAGTACATCTCCTGGTGGTGCGGCTTCGTCCTTCATAATTGGCAGCGTTAGACGGCTGAGTGCGTCCGTGTTCTGGTGCACCTTGCCTTGTCGGTAACGCAACTCGTAGTCGTAACAGCCAAGTAGAAGGAACCATCGGGTGACAGCATTACCGGAATCTGTCGACCTTGGCTCATTATTCCCAGAAAGGCTTGTGATCGATGTACACAGTCACTTGTCGCCCGGTGAAGTACTGGTGGAAATGTTTCATGCGAAAATGATGGCTAGTCCTTCCTTATCCAGCTGAGCGTAATTACGTTCGCTTTTGCCCAGTGTTCTGGATGCGTAAGCAATTGGAGCTTCCTCTCCGGCGTTGGCCAGCTGCGACAGAACTGCCCCAACACCGTATGGTGATGCGTCGCAAGACAAAACAAGTTTCCGCTTGTCGTCATAGTGAGCGAGCAGGGGTGCTGAACTAAGCAGCACCTTCAGCTGCTTGAAAGCCTTGTGCTCTTCGTTCCCCCAGCGCCACTTGGCGTCTTTATGAAGCAGTCGATGCAGTCCTTCGGCAGAGGATGCTCTGTTCCGCAGAAAACGACTGTAGAAGCTCAGCATTCCAAGGCAGGCTTGGAGCTCCTTTTTGTTGCTCGGTTCCGGGGCTTCCATGATGGCCTTTACCCTCTCGGCTGTTGGTCGCACGCCATTAGCGTCAATGTGGTAGCCTAGGAATTCTATTGCTGGAACCCCGAATTTGCATTTGGCTTGGGAATCCCGAAGTCCGGCTTCTGCGAGCAATGAAGAACGGCTTTCAAGCGTTCTAAGTGTTCCTCTTCAGTTGCCCCTGTGACCGTTATGTCGTCAAGGTATGCTCCCGTGCCTTCGATGCCTGCCAACAGCGTGTCCATGAACTGTTGAAACAGCAAAGGCGCAACCGAAACTCCAAAAGGAACTCGTTTAACGCGAAAGAGCCCCATCGGTGTCGTTACAGTCAGTAACTCTGCTGTGGCGTCGTCCACTTGTAATTGCTGGTACGCTTGTTGCAGATCTATCTTTGAGAAGATCTTTCCTCCCCCGTACGATGGACAACAGGTCTGGTGCTGTGGGAAGGGGATATGCGTTTGCCTTGAGTGCCGGGTTGACCGTGCACCGATAGTCCCCACATAGCCGTAGTGTACCATTCTTTTTTCAGACAATGACTAAGGGTGTTGCCCAGGACGACGACTTTACCGGCTCCAAAATGTTCTGGGCCTGAAGCTTGTTCAGCTCTTCATGTACTGCTGTTCGCAGAGCGAAAGGCACTGGTCGACTATTCAGGAATTTTGGAGCTACGTCCTGCTTGAGGTCTATGTGTAGCGGTTTGCCGACATGACCATCGAGCTGTCCCTGGAACACTTGCTCATGGGTTCTCAGTAGATCTTCTATGGTTGTTGCAGACACTGAGTATACGCCGGAAACCTTGATGTTCAACGCAGGAAACCAGTTCCGACCAAGCAAACTTGCTCCCTTTCCGTTAACCACGTGGAGGTCGAGACGAGCGTCTTTGTCCTTGAATCGTACGTTGACCGGCAGCTTGCCAGCCAGTTGCATCTTGTCTCCAGCCCAGACGCACAAGGAGAGGTCGCAAGGTTCTAGCTTAGGAGGTCGTCCCTGCCAAAGACGTTTGTATGTTTCGGAGCTGATTATGGAGTGGGAAGCTCCGGAATCCACTTCCATGTCGAGGTGTCGTCTGTTCACGAATCGCTCCGTGATGACCCCTGGGTAATGCTGTTAACAGCAAAAAGATCACCATGCATCTCATGCTCTGTTGCGGCCGCGTGATGCGTGCGACACTTCGATTCCTCTTGGGACTTGCGCTAGGCCCTGCGCTTGAAGCAGGCCTCTTTCAGACGACCTTTCTTGCGGCAAAATGTGCAAGTTGCTTTGATGTGCTTGCAGACATCCGGCGAGTGCGAGCCCGTGCAGCGGAAACAAGGTTTCTTCGCCGTTTTTCCGCCCTTGGAGGTCTTGACTGTGGAGGTGCTCTGGACCTTCCCTTCGTTTTCACCTTGAATGTGACGTTGCTGGCTGGCAGCAGACTCGATAGCCAAGGCAATCACGTAAGCTCGTTTGAAGGTGATGTGACGTTCGACCAGCAAGCGTTGCTGTAGGTGCGAGTCCTTAATGCCACAGATGAAACGGTCACGGAGCATGACATCTAATGGCAGAACGGTAGAAAATTCAGCTCCTGGTGTTTGTGCAGCCTGGGCCGCTTGTGTCACCTCGCTGGACGAACTAGCGGTTGTAGCCGTAGTAGTCCTGGCCGGCACGTTAGTCACCGTTCCGAAGCTGCAATCGGCTGCGATCTTGCGGAGGGCGGCGACATACTCAGAGATGGTCTCTGCCGGTGCTTGGTTTCGCTGATGGAACTTGAAACGGCTGAGCAGTTCTGCCGGCTTCGGGTCGTAGAGTTCGTTGAGGAGTTTCACAATTTCTCCAAACTCGACTTCCGAAGGCTTTTTCGGAGCTAGTAGAGCCCGTACGGTGTCAAAGGTCGACTCACCGCATGATGTGAGCAGAACTGCTCGCTTCTTCACGGGGCTGGTGATGTCCTTGGCTTCGAAGTAGAACTCAAGGCGTTCCAACCATGAACTCCAGTTTCCTCCGGGGTTAAATGCCGGAATTTGTCCGTGAGAGCCGTAGTCTTCCATCTTCAGGGTTCGCGAAACTCCCTCGTCGCCAATTAATACATCTTTTCCTGTTAATGCTGCGTTTATTTACACTCTGTACAGTTTAAGCCGAAAAGAAGCTAGCTATTGCTCATGGCGTTTGGAATCAGTCTGTCTCTGCTATCGCGGGGGCGCGCATGCTTTTCTTGAGCCTCGTCTTCGTCTTGCTTGACAGCGATATATATCACCTCGCCAAGCCCGGCCGCCATGCTGAATTAGGTCCAGCCCTCAAATGCCGATTGTGCAGTCAGATAAGGTGCGGCTACTCTTTACGAAACAAGACGTGCCAGATTAAGAGCTGTATAGAAGGTAACGCAGCCAAGGAGTAGTAAGTCATCTCTCTCTCAGACGTGTAGAAACCAACCTGGGCGTTTTCTGGCCGGAAGAGTCCGCTCTGTTCCCACCACTCAAACCAGCCGGACTCCACCAGTTCAGAGTTGTAGATTGCCGGGAACACACCAGAGACATCTGCCGAGAGAAAATGGGTCTCAGAGTGCCAAAGAGGGCAATCAGCCGTGCAGCGCCTTACCTTTCGGCAGCTTTGTTACAGGCCGTGTTGCACAGTGGTGCTTCTGTAAGGAACAACACATCGGTCAGCTTAGTTTGCCAACTGTACTACTGCAAGACGGTGAAAGAGCCTCAAAGAAATCGGAATGCTACTGTGGAAACAATGAGGACTTTGTGCTTCTTCGAGCCGGGTTCATACATTTTGTCGGAAGTTTAACATATTTTACAGACTTTAGTTTGCACATAGTGTACAGTCTGCAGGAGCAAATTTCGACTGCAAAAGAAATTCTTTCTTGTATAGTTTACTTAGTCCGCACCCAGTACATATTCTGCACCCAAAGATATCATCCTACACAGCACACCTCGAAAAATGTCCATTTTATTAGCACGTGAAGAAGCTCATATCATACAGGAATCCTTATCAACATGATCTGTCATTCCCATAATCTATCACGTCTCCTAATAATGAACGATCGATGATACACGCGCCGTCCGACTTCCTTTCGGATGGCACTTGAACGCTCACCCTCTAGCAACCACTACCGAGACATGGGCGGCTTTAACTCTCCCTCTCTGCAAGAGTGGCGTCGGACGGCACTCAAAGCACAACCAATAAATTAAAAAAAAAAAAAAAATCATTTTACAAAATTGTGTGTTTTGTACCACCGGGACATTCGAGACCGCAGGGCGATGTGGAAATGAGCTGGTTGCCTCACTGCAGCGTTCCGCCACCAGTATTGTGATTGTTAATAATGTAAACACGACGGCGGTCAACGGGTGCCGGTAACAACAGCCATCGAGACTTCTCAGACAAAGTCGGCACAAAACATCACCTGCAAAAGCTTACGACCAGGAAACAGAAACTGCCCGCGTTTCGGACAAAATACTCACTTTTGGGGCTAGAAGAAGAGTGCATCGTTTTTGGAAAGCACACAAGCAAAGGAAATTTGAGTGGGACTTCGTCCACATGGTCCAACTCACTGATCTCTATGACAATTGCTGGATCGCGTTTGCCCGCTCCGCGAATGCGGTCACTGGCGGCCATCTTTAGGTAGAGTTATATCACCTCTAGCCAATGTAAGCTGCTGCAGCCGCTATCATCCATCCATGGCAGATAGCGTTTTGGCAGGTGAGTTGGCAGGCTGCGGTCAAATCAGCGTGGGTGATATTGCGTGCTTGATTAAAATTATTTGACGAAACATGTTTTTAAAACCCGGCGTGAACAGTAGTCTGGTTTTTGAGGACCTGGTAAAAGTTTCACGAAATCGCAGCACCGGGAGAAAAGCAGCACAGCACGTATCGAAAGTCGCATCAAAAGAAGCATCGAAAGCAGACGACGGTACAGAGTCTGCTTTTGATGCGAGCTGCACTGCTTTCCCCCGGTGCTGCGCTTTCGTAGAACTTTTGCCGGGTCCTCAAAGATGAGGCTACCGTTCACGCCGGGTTTCAAGAATCTGCTTCGTCGAACAACTTCAATCAAGCACGAAATGTCACCCACGGTACAGTGTACTAGATCTACGGCTATCTTTAGGGCAGCCTGCCGCCATGCGCTGTCCGCCATATTACTATGATGGCTAGAGATGATATAACTCTACCTAAAGATGGCCGCCAGTGACCGCATTCCGGTCCATAGGAGGAGCTGGTCAAACGCGATCCAGCAAATAGACATAGAGATCAGTGGTCCAACTCCACATGCTCTAAGAAGTAAACAGACGAAACAGTGTTGCCAATACAAAAACAAACCTCACAAAATAGGCACCAATAATAGCTAAATTTGTAGTAAAACAAATCTTGTTTGTCTGGAACAGGCAAAACTGCCTACATAATATCGAAATCGCAGGAATCAGTATTTATCTATCGAAACAAAATGTAAGAAAAAGACGGGATGTCGTGAAGTGAGGTTGGCAAACCGAAACCGAAATTGGCCAAGAGGTACACAAGATACCATCAAGATACTTTGCATACTTTGAAGTCGCCTTCTGTGTGCTGCCATCTTTGTCTACTGGGCTGTGGAAGGCGTTCTCTTCCACAAAATATAGAACCCACGCACGCGTCCACAGCCCAGTGGCTCGACATTTTTCGCCTGGATGATAAGAGCAGGTAAACGGAGCGAATATGCGGCAAAGAACCAACGAACTTCGCCCGACTGCGCAACAGCCCGTACAGCTCGTTCAACAACATAGAGATCATACATACTAACTCTAGAGGAAAAGGTCCGCCATTTTCCCATACATTCTGGCTACCGCAAGCGGCGGATCATGCAGGCAGACCCTCGGGGTCCCAAACACGGTTACATCATCAGAGCAGTTTCGTGAACTTCAACGATTCACGAACTTACCGGTGGAAAGATATTCGCGTTCCTTTCGAAGCTTTCCTTTTGCATAGCGCGCAGATGTACGGCCTCGCGTTAACGCTAAACTAAACCATATACCCGGCTTCGCCGGTGGGGCGCGGGTGGGCGCGGTTGAGAAATACGAAACTGCGCAACCGCCAGATTTCCGAGATTTCGACAGAAGGGAAGTTAATGCAGCGTAATGACTTTATTGCTTTTTATAAGCGTTAGAATAGCTCAGAATTTAGTTTACAACGTTAAATTATCACTGTTTATATTGCTGAGAGTTTTCACTCTTCGCGTTTCCCTTGGCAACGTTGCTTTCTTTCTCTCGTGTTCTGTCGCTCTCTTTTGCGATCGTTCACTCGGGACCCCGGGTGTCGGCGCACGGGATTTGCCACTCCTCCTCACCCACCTTTACCCCCCTGTTCAACAACTTGTGACGACAAACGACACGCAAAGAGCGAACGCCGCCGGTCGAAATTTGTCACTTTTTTCGCCCCATGGCAACCCCCCCCCCCTTTTTTGTTTTCTTTTTATACGATTTAATATGGTGTCAGAAAACTACCCAATCAATATTTTGTTACAACGTCACGTATATTTTTTTTTAGAAAACTCTAAAAATGCAACTGTTCGAAACCGAAACCGAAACATGAGCACAGAGTTGAGGAGGTGCCACTGGCCGAAAGCTGGCTGGGCCAACGCACGCCAACGTTACTGGAGCGGCTGTCACGAGAACTAGCAGCGCTGCAGTCGAGCCTTGCTTCTAGGGAGGCTGTAGTGAGGGTGGGCGCAACTCAAAACCTGGAGAGCGTTTGCAATTTATTGGCGGCGCCTGAGGGAGAGGATTCGAGAAAGGATATGCGCCAGTGTTGCCTGCACGAAAGCAGGCGCCCGCTCTGTTGCAACTCTGTTGCTCCATGCGCCTTTCCTCCTCTCGCCTCCCATTGCAAGCAACGAGCGCCTTGGCGCAGCCTCTCTCGCTTCCTTCTCGCTCCGAGAATTGCAAACGTCGAGCGGAGAAAGCAAAGTTGCCAGACAAGCAGCAACGTCCAAGATGGCGGAATTTACCATTTTTCGCGTTAAAAAAATACTTAACCTATCGCAACAAAACTGGTGGCTATGGAAAAGTAATCATTTATACCTTGTGTAAATTATTCAAGCACCTTAATGGGCTTTTATGACCCGAGTTAGGAAAGAAAACGACCCTTTGCCCCATAGACTCCCAGCAAAATTTAGCAATTAAATGGCGTCCATGTCCCGTGATCGCCGATCTAGCAGTTGCACCCACCCTCACTTGAGCCTCCCTACTTGCTTCTAGGGAGGCTGTAGTGAGGGTAGGCGCAACTCAAAACCTGGAGAGCGTTTAATGGCGGCGCCCGAGGGAGAGGATTCGAGAAAAGATATGCGCCGGGGTGTTGCCTGCACGAGAGCGGGCGCCCGCTCTGTTGCAACTCTGTTGCTCCATGCGCCTTTCCTCCTCTCGCCTTCCATTGCAAGCAACGAGCGCGTTGGCGCAAGTTGGCGCAGCCTCTCTCGCTTCCTTCTCGAAGCAAGGTTGCCAGACAAGCAGCAACGTCCAAGATGGCGGAATTTACCATTTTCGCGTTAAAAAAATACTTAACCTATCGCAACAAAACTGGTGGCTATGGAAAAGTAATCATTTATACCTTGTGTAAATTATTCAAGCACCTTAATGGGCTTTTATGACCTGAGTTAGGAAAGAAAACGACCCTTTGCCCCATAGACTCCCAGCAAAATTTAGCAATTAAATGGCGTCCATGTCCCGTGATCGCCGATCTAGCAGTTGCACCCACCCTCACTTGAGCCTCCCTACTTGCTTCCGGATTGTCTAGCCCGCCAAGTTTGAATAGTAATACTTGAGCTTGGGCGAGTAGTTGATTCACACCAACGTTACTAAACCACTTAGTTGGGAAACTGCCATCGAGACTGCTCTGAAAAAGTGGCACCGACCCGTCTTCCAAAACCGAGCTAATGGCGATCACAACGCCGCCATTTTTACCGCAGCGGCCACTCGAGGAACTGCACGTGACTTCTATTTTGGCTTTAATTTGCCGTTATGACGCAGATACGGTGGAAGAGGTTACAGGGTAGGGAGGCTCAAGTGAGGGTGGGTGCAACTGCTAGATCGGCGATCACGGGACATGGACGCCATTTAATTGCTAAATTTTGCTGGGAGTCTATGGGGCAAAGGGTCGTTTTCTTTCCTAACTCGGGTCGTAAAAGCCCATTAAGGTGCTTGAATAATTTACAGAAGGTATAAATGATTACGTTTCCATAGCCACCAGTTTTGTTGCGATAGGTTAAGTATTTTTTTAACGCGAAAAATGGTAAATTCCGCCATCTTGGACGTTGCTGCTTGTCTGGCAACTTTGCTTTCTCCGCTCGACGTTTGCAATTCTCGGAGCGAGAAGGAAGCGAGAGAGGCTGCGCCAAGGCGCTCGTTGCTTGCAATGGGAGGCGAGAGGAGGAAAGGCGCATGGAGCAACAGAGTTGCAACAGAGCGGGCGCCTGCTCTCGTGCAGGCAACACTGGCGCATATCCTTTCTCGAATCCTCTCCCTCAGGCGCCGCCATTAAATTGCAAACGCTCTCCAGGTTTTGAGTTGCGCCCACCCTCACTACAGCCTCCCTATTACAGGGATGCCACTCCCGTCCCCCCAACGGACGCGCCGCGCATTACTACCGAAGCTAAAATGCACCTAGGTCGGGACGCACTACCAGAAATGATCGCTGAGGCAAACTCTCCTACGTCACGCCGCGGTGGTGGCGCGCTGGACGCACTTCCGGTCTGTGGCGGTGGGCAGAAGTCGCCGTGCCAGACATGCATTCCTGTGTTCCCTTGAAAGAAACGAGACAAAAAACCTGCTTTCTCGTCAAAATGCTGCAACGGGGGTTGTACCAAGAGAGTCTGGAAAAGTTTGAAGATCAGTTTTCATGTGTTTTTGCCCCCTCCGTTCGTCCGAGAACGTGGATAGTAGCCGCGAAAAGGGCAAACCAGACGCTGTCAAACTACGATTGCGTGCGCGGGCAACACTTTGTGGTCGCCAGATGTATTTGCTTTGTTCCAACATAAACGAGAGAAAACCGCCACGTTGTCCGAACCACCCACGGGTTCAGTGCGTCTTCAAATTCACACGGCCGCTTGATTGTTCGAACTTTCGTCTGCTCTTTCAAACGTCTGCTTTTTGCCGTCTGCTCGTTCAAACAAAAGCGGCCCGTAGACCAAACTTTGACCCGGTGATTGCAATAAGAAGTAATTGCAGACCTCAAAAGACTTAAGTAGGCTCGGTGTAAAAAGTAGATACAAGCTGTTGATCATTGGTACCGGTGGTCATCACCGACTTGTTACGCTTGGTCTGTTCCCGCTTCCGATTTTCAGTATCGACGTCGATCATCGCCGCTACCTTCTACACTTTTGCAACACGAGCGACCTCGCTACCGAAAATAGCTGGAAGAATCTCATCGTGGTTTTGGCGTCCATTCTGCGGCTTTCATGCGAATGAATCGCCGCACGTCAAATTATTCAGGGAAAGTTTAGCGGCGTAACGAGCCTTGATAATTTCGCTTAAGCGATTAAAGTGGTAAGACATTGCGATGAGGACGTAGAATCGACAATTCCAACGCGAAAAAGAATAGGCAGACTCACACAGACGCCGACAACGTGACATTCGAGT